GAGCCCTTCTGTACCCTGGCAGGCCCCTGGAACGCCCCTGGAACTCCCTGGAAAAAGAGATTACTCTGTGTGGAGATAGGATCTGGAAAACGCACACCAACAAGTGAGTGTTTGCGGTACTCAGACCCATAATCCCTAAGGAACTGTACTGTACTGTACAGTACAAACATACCTTACCTTACGTCCTAGGGAGAACCTGGTCTTTGTATACAGTAACTACAACGTAACAGTATGGAGTACGAAGTATACGGAGTAGTTCAAGTCACTTGAAGCAGCTCTCAAAGCTACCTTCCCGGCACCCCGCAAATCCTCCTTGGCGCTCCTCCACCTCTTATCCCGTGGGTACGGTGACTGCAACAGAGAGCATGGAGTACTACATAGCGGAGGTAAGGCTCGAGTCTCAACTATCAGTGCAGCTATACCCGGAAAGCAACAGAATTTATGTGGCATTGCATGTGCTCTTTGTGCTGATTCAATCCCTCACACAAGGGCGCGTGACATGCTCGGCGACTTGAAGAGCTCCCGTCTCTCGGTCCTGAGTCTGGGCTGGCAGCTTTGCTGGCTGGCTGAGAGAGAGAGGGTCTCAGATCTCGCTAACTTCAACTCGGAGCTCTGCGTCCAATCATGACGGGTATGCAATTCCCCTTCAAAGCAGACTCAGCAGAGCAGCCCCCGACACGGCCAACACCCCCACTTTTCCGTCTCCCGGGTTACTCGCCTCCGTGTCTTGAGCGAGTCAGTGGGCCAGACATCCGTGTCAGTTGCCGCGGCGCCACTCGATATCTGCAGACAAGCGCGAACAGGAATTGGGGACGAGGAAACGACGACCATATGGGGTAGAGTGGTTAGCGGTTCGGCCTGGGATCGCTAAGTCAGCCAGACCAGCCAGGCGAGAGCCGTTGCTGGTTTCTCCCTAGCATGGCTCATGCTGGTTGATACTGTAAAAGAGTGCGTGCTTGTCTGAACCCCTGTCAGGGCACCCTCCCGCACGCTTCGACAGCACGGGGAGCTGTAGTATGGAAGGAAAGCTGCAGCGGCACAGTATGAATTCGCTGCTTCGAACCGTTTCCGTCAAGTCGGGACTTGTGAGAGCTTCCGTCATACATACTGCTCTTCTTATCTTTACCAATTCTGTCCAATCGAGGAAGCCGACTGTGGGCAGCTAGGGAAGACGGGAGAGGTAGGAAGTGAAAAGGAATAACCTATGTACTTAGCTATCTCAGCTCGACCGAAATTCCGGGTACGGATTGAGCTGCCTGAGCAGAACTTACATAATTGCTCCCCTTTCAAGCCCCCGAGGCAGAAGCTGCTTTTCGCCATTCTCCAGGTACATGCCTGCTGGTGCTGGTGAAAGGTGCGGTCTCTGGTGTCCCCGCCTGGCTTCCCACCCCACCCTCCTTTTCGAGGTGGACCGTCCAGACTTGTAGGTGCAGTCTTGCTGAGCTCCCGCCTAAAGAACATTGCCACCACCACCCACTCATTCTTCGAAACACCTCTTGTTACACCTGCAGAGAAAGCTTGGAGCTCTCTCTTCTATGACTTCAGGCCCCCGAGCATTTTCCCTGGGCTCCGAGCCGACAAAGGCCAAATGCAACAGCTTCGACATCGCAGGCCGCCGTTATCTCAATTGAGTCGCATCGATACCGCCTATCTTATCAACCATAGCCTTCATTCACGCCTCCCCCGCTAGAACCCCTCGACGTCGTTTGGCGGGGCTTAACCTCTCAAGTTCAAGATGCCTCGCTCGTCCCTCACCTCATCCTTCTCAATCACCGACGCGAACAATGAGGTTGTCTGTCCACTGCGTAACCAAGATGGCTCTAGCTGCCGAAAACGCTGTATCGGGGTGAGTCGAGTCGCCGTCTGGCAAGCCTTGCTCCTTCCCTATCATGACCGGATTGTCTTTTCCTTGACTCCATGCAACGGAAGCTGACACTATTAACATTCAGGAGAAGAGGTACCGCTCTATGCAAGAACATATCCGTCGAGCGCATCCCGAGCACTACATTGCCAAGCTGCCTGCGACCGAGGAAAGCTTCCTACTCATGATCAATACCCCGCCGAGTGAGCGACCCCCAACCCAATCGAGTTCGGGTCTCTCCCATGTGAGCCAGACAAAGGGAACCTCGCACGACTTCCGGCACGATGACTCCAACGGACCGGGAACTCCGCGCAGGCTCGATGAGTATTCTGGTACTGCTGTGTATCCCGCTGCAGCTGCCCTAGCGCAGCTGCACAGCAACCACAAAATAGACCACGGCTGGGAGTCAGATGGCGTAAGTGGAACCCATTTCCCAGACACGGTGCTGTGGATGATCGCTAACTCCGGGCGCACAGGATTGGCACTCTGATCAAGAAGGGGGAAGGAGGCCGAGGAGATCTATCGAGTTGCCGCCGATCCATCTAACAAACGCCGATGTGACGAGCATGCCATATCAGCGTGAAACCCTACCATCAATCAACTTGAACTCACCCCCGGGCCGCTCTTCGACGCTTCCACCGCTCCATCGACCTCTTGGCCCAAGTCGACCTCGAAAGCAATCAATCTCAAAACGAGGCCATCAAAGAAGAAAATCCAGGGGTCCGGCCACGGATTGGCTGCGTCGCATCCAGAACAGCGGTCAGGCCGAGCTCTTGCGGCCTGGCGGTGGGGACAGAAAGGCTCTTTCGGCCGAGCCGACGGCGGACTTTGGTAAGCGTTGGGAGGATCTGATCGACGCAGCGGCCTCGGCGACGGAAGACATCGATGAGGACAGAACTCCAGTGAGTTTGAGATCCCCTTCCATGTTCGACCCTCGCCTGACGAGCCAGGTCCCTCGATCTCCCGTATCCCTTCATCGGGGGTCTCTGCCCCCGTACACTCAAAACGCCTTTACTGGTTACCAAGCCTCCCCACTTCAACGAGCGCTTACGCCTCCGTCCTACAACCCTGAAGCCCCTGAACCGTTTCCGTCGGTCGAGAGCGGCGATAGCGGAGAAAATTTTCACATTGAGTCGCGGGGACTGTCTGACTCGTCGCCGAGCTATTCATCCCAGAACACGCAGATCTACTGTGCAGCCTGCCAAGGGGTCTCGTTGTTGAGGGAATCCTACGCATGTACCGAGTGTATTTGCGGGCTCTGTCAGGCCTGCGTCGATGTTCTGATGGGTGAGCAGGGCGCGCGCAGGAAATGCCCTCGATGTGCCACGATTGGGGGACGTTTCAAGCCGTTCCAGCTAGACATCCGGTAGTGCGCCGTATCTTGTGCGCTTTTTGCGGGGGCCATCCGAAGAGGGATGCTCACAGATTTCCTTTGCCCCTCTTCCTTATTTTTTCCTTTTCTGCTTTGCCTCTCTCATTCCTGGCGGCTCCATGGGGTTCTGGTGTCAAACTTATGGTGGCTGTGTGCACAAACGGTCCTCTGCGCACCAGCAGCATTACTGGCGATTATGAACGAAACGGGCAGGAATTTCAACGAGCATGTATGGGACCGGGAGGATGGGATGCTGCACTTTGCTTCTGTGGCAAGATGAATATCGACACGTCTTACGACACGACCATTACTGTCCGACATACGCGGCTACGGACCGGCAACAATTTCGCTTTTCGACCTTCGCTTTGGAATATCCAGGGCACTATTGGAACTCTTCAGACGGCATTTCGCATCAATGGGTAGGACTAGGCGTAACGGTGTTGCTCGTTTAAATTCGCTTGGATGGGGCACAAGGGAGCAGCTTGAGATACCTCTTTTTTTCCTTCTCCCACTTCTCTGCTAACTTGCAGCTTGCTTCTTGGGTTTGAGAAATAGTAAGTTCTGCTTGCTTGCTCTTGGACAAGTATTTCCTCTCTAGGATGGGTTTCGTGGCGGGAGCGCATAAGCGCAGGTCTGCTGATATGGAGGTTATAGGATTAGCTTGGTCGCTGTCCTGGGACTTGGCTGCCGGATGCATTTTGTCATGACATTCGTTTATTGCGGGCGGGATCCTTCGTATAATTCGTCTAATGGATTTAGACTTGATATATTATATATACCTATACACTACAAACCATGAGCTTATGGGATCCAATATGACGGTATCATAGCGGTACTTGCTACTGCGAGGTAGCGACAATGCCGCCTCACCCTGGGGACCCAAGTGTACTGGACAACAGCCATCTCAAAAGGTTTTTGACCCTTTTCAGGCACGGCGTCTAACCACACGTAAAGCAAGTTGCTGAGCTCGTTCTTCGCTTACTGAAACTAGAGACGTCTTCAACATTGCTCCAGCAGACACTGATTTTGGTACCACCACTCCCAGGTAGATGAGGGCCTCATCCATGATGCCGTTTACGGCCTCTGGAAAGCACCTGGTTACATTTAACAAGCCAGCCATTGCTCGGTTTCTCCTGAGGTTTAGGGGACGATGTTTGTTTGTTGGGCCTGACGAAGTAGTAAGACGCCAACCACTGTAGTAGTCCGTACCGGTCCAAGGTCCAGGTCCCTTGCTCGCCGGGCCGAGCCTAAAGGGGACTGTTACGCTGCCACTCGTTGCAGCTCAAGAGGCCGACCGTGCTGGTTGTGTCTGGGTTCATTTTGGGGACGGTTTCTCCCTCAGGGGCCAGTGGTCTCTCGGCGGTTGCTCAAATCGACTTTTAGGTTCACTAACTCGTCGGCTTGTCACGGCAGACACGAGCATCTCGGCCAGAGTCCGGATCACAAACACGATGCGCTCTTGTGGTCGTAGTTAGTTAAGGCCTCTAGCAACCGTCCCTGGTGCTCGATCTGACGGGGTTCTTGCTCGTACTTAGGGCGATGCCGTGCAGGGGAATTCTCTGCTTGTCGGGGGAGACTCTTTTGTGTGCTTTGCTGTGCGTGAGGGCGTTGCTATTGGAATCTATCAGGCATGGATGAGGTGTTCTTGGTTCCCAGTCCATCAACCCAAGTCCAACATTTCGACGGTGGTGTATTCGGGGTTCCAGTCTTCCTCTAGATAGGTAGAGATTGCTTCTCCGTCGTGCACTGCAGTGGCAACTTGAAGTCATAGGTTATTAGCAGAGTGCTGTGCCACGTTCCAAAATGCAAGTCCCCGATCAATCAAAGTATTGAGCTCAGGGGTAGGTATTCCTCGCATCTCCGAGCTGCTATTAAGCTGGCCATTTCAGAATCCCATCCCATTGTATTAGTCGGTATCACCTACCTAACGATAGCTCTGGATCAGTTAGCACATCAAGCGATCTCCTGGGGTATTTGTAATCGCCATAATATGTCCACCTCACCTGTCATTTGTCGAGTAAGCGTCTGGCCTGGGGATCAGCTACGTCCGTCTGTACAGGGCGGCTCTCTAAATCGTACTCAGTCTCTAGCTTAGTAAAAGTTATGTTCCTTCACCTTCTCTAGAGATCTTCCTGAAAGGTGGGGAGTTCTTGACTAGGATCCAGAATGAGCACAATGAGGATGAGGACGATCCAGTTTGGTCATCGGATGCAGTGATTGAAGAAGTAACAACACAAAATCAAAACGGGTGGTGAAAAGCAAATGAAATAAAACAAAATAAAGGGGTGCAGTACTCAAGCTTTTACCAAGACGAAGTGGGTCTGCGACTGCGAGTCAACTCCGTAGCCTCATCTCCAACTCCCCTCGGCATCCCGCTCAGGATTCCTAGGATGACTCCGACTTCACGATTCTCACGAGTTCCCGACGCTTTGCCAGCTCTTTGTCTGAGCCGTGCTTTTGCGAGTCTCAACTTATGTACCTAGTCTGGGAACCTTCGCACATCCATGGATCTCGCGACTCGCAGCGGTCCAACGGGTCCTGGGGATCAAAATTGCCGAGCCGCGGCGCCGTGGATCCAGAACATTGAAGCTTTAGCAATATGGATGAATTCCCGAATCTAATAAATTGGCATCTCAGGTTCCTCGGATCGCCTTTTCAGCAATCGGCCAACACCACCATCCCTCTTATATTCTTGTCTTAATGAGTGTAACCTGACTATGTACCCACTTCATAGCCATACACCCGGTGAATGATGAGCTGCCGGAAGCCGGTCTAGGATTGGTGCACCCTGGGGCTGAAGAGCCATGTTTTCTCAGGTCAATTGAGAGTCTGAAGTCAATATAGGGGCCGCGTTTTGTTCGTCATCAGCTTTCTGTACAGCCATTTAGCCTGCCGAGCTGGATTCCTTCCGCTGCAAGGAACGCCCCGCCAGACCCTAGCCCGTCGGGTCAGCTCGAGAATGTCGTCGACAGGAGAGGAGCTCGTGGTTGGGAGCACAGAATGGCCAGACGGGACGAAAGTTGTCAGCTTTCCACGTTGTCGCTATAGTAGCGGTCTATGGTCTGTAGTTGCTCCGCTTTTGCGTGCTCAATGCAGGCATCCGTCAGGCCGCCTCATAAAAGCACCTCTCAAGACCGTCCATGTGTTTACCACTCAAGTCAATCTCCTGCCGGGTAACACAAACGGCCGATTCAACTGTGTTTTCGCCGCAGTCCCGTTCGTTCTCAGGACATCAGCTATACGCGAGCCATGGCAACTGCTTGACTTAGTTGGGCCGGTGGCATCATAGCCCTCGCATCTCTGTGCCCAGGCCGGTTCAGGTTATCACCAGCCCTGCTAGCGCAGTTATCCGGTTCGAAATGAGAAACAGCCGTTTGCAACGGTGATTATCTCAAGACCCCTGTCAGTCGTTACACACCTTCGTATCGGCTGGAGTAGTCAAATCTCAGGCCTGGCCTCCAGGGGGGTTATCATCACGTTGGGCCGTAACTGAGCCGGACGAGAGAACTACTCGAACTACCTCGAACTCCTTATCAATTCAGGCCGAAAGCAACGGAGCGACGCAACACTGGTTTTTGGCCGAGCGAACCTATAGAATCCATCAGAATCTCCCTTAAACAGCGTACTTTAGGAGCGGCGATACTCAGATCGACATCTAGCCCTGGAGGGGGCTAGCGAGGGAAGATGCCGGGCGGTATATTTTTTGTGTCGTGGGAGTTATGGCAGCAGATGACCTTTGTACGAACACCCTCTGCTTCCATGACACTGTCTCAGGGAAAGTTTGTTGACTCGAGCCCAGGTTCTAGCGATGGGAATCGTGGCCGTCTTCTGTGCGGGTCTGGTGAGATTATGGTGGAACAACCGTTTGATGAAGAAACAAGAGCTGCTGGACGAAGAGAAGAGGGCCCGGCTGGAGCAAATGCGCAAGACAGGCCTCCCCATCAAGCGAGCTAGCGAGATCCCCTTCGGCATTCGCGCCATCCAGAGCGGCGTCGAAGTGGAAGGGATATGGATCTCAAGGCCAACAACGCCTAGCGAGGCACTGGCGGCAAAGCTTGCTTCGTCAAGTACCTCTGCGAGCCACGACTCGGAATCGAAGAGAAAAGGGAGAGGCCACTCGGATGACGGCAAGTCAGGTTCGGTGACGATTACCACCTCGGAGCGGCCAATTCCGAAGCAGAGCGTATCGGACGCTTCCACCCTCCAGAAAACCAGCGATTCCGATTCCATGGATGGTGTTCACTCCGTGCCGACGCCGGCATCGAGATTAGCACAGAGGTCCAAGAGACCGCTATACCGAACCCCCGGTGTCCTGAACGAGGATACACTCCGAAGACTAGAAGGCCAAGGGCAGTCGAAGATACTCTACGACACCTATATGCCGACATCCTCTCGCCGGGATCCGCGGCAGCATAGCGTGCGGAGCTCGGCTTCTTCCTCAGGAGAGTCGGTGGATTCGCAGCCACGGTCAGCGAAGAGCATTAGCGGCAAGAGCTATACGTCGTCTCACAGCTCCAGGTTATACATGCCCAGAAACCCACATGCAGGTAGAGCCGGATACGACGCTGTGCCTCGACAAGGGCCGGAGAGAGAAGTTCGCAGTCCGTTTGAGACCCCAGCACGGACGCACAGCGGATTCTCGCTATTTTCTCAGAGCGACCGGCATACCTCTCTCCTCCAGAGCCGCGACGTGTCTGCTCTGGAGCCCACCTTCGCCCCGGGAGACTTGCACCTCAACAAGGCCTCGCGGCGCGTCAATGATGGATTTGAGATTCTTCCCGCCGGGACCTTTGGGATGCTTGCAGAGATGAATTACGCGGACGAAGCGGATCAGGAGGGCCATAACTCCAGGTCGTCTAACAAGCTGAGGAAGAAGGCTGGAACTTGAAGTAGATCGGCCAGGACCTGGTGCTAACAGCTCCCAAGTCGTGAGCTGGCGTTGAAGTGTAAGAAAGGGGACAAACGGAGCATTAGAAGCTGCCATGCCGGTATTTGTTCTGCTTGAGGGTTGTGATGCTTGGATGGCGCGTATAGACACGGTTTCTCCCAGTGCAGTTTGATTTGTTCACCGAAACAGAGCTGACGGGATAAACGCCTAAAGCCACCCAGTGCGTCGCTGCGAAGTTCAGCTGCTCCCATGGGTGAGGGAATGATGGATAGCTGGCGATGTACTCCGTACGGTCACGTAAGGGATTGTTAGTTCACACAACACAGTAACAAAATAGGAAGCTGGATGGATGAAGAGCAATCCACTCAATTTTGGAAGAGCCTTTTATTATTCGCGAGTCTCTTAAAACGACGGAGTGCCATATTAAAACGACAGAGTACATCCTCGCACACATTATTTCTACCAGCATTCAAGTACCCCCACAGCCAAACTTGAATACACATAACATTAAGTTACCTATATATACAACAATTGAATAGACACACCAAGCTACCTAGGTATACCCATCCAAGCCGAGGCCGCTTAGAACATGATCAATCCGACGTTAAGAACGAATACTGCTTGCTTAATACGCTGTTTGCCCTCTACAATGGCTGCCATTTCCTTAAGGACGTTGCCTTTCGCCTGCCCAAGCTGTGTGGGGCACTTTGGTAGGCTATGTAATTGTACAATGCAGATGTACTCCGTCCTTTTAATACGACACTCCGTCGTTTTAGAAGGGTCGATCATTCGGCCAGCCTGAAGTTGAGCGGGCCTCTGTCCTCCCGCAACTAGGGAAGGGAAATGAAATTTCAATATTCCGAAATTTCAACCCTTCTATGAAATTTTTTCTTTCAAACGGCCTATGAATTTCAATATTTTCATGCCAAGGATTTTTCTCCTATAGTATGTAGGTCAGGAGGCTGCAGGATACTCTATAAGCTTCTCAATTTCATTTTTTTAGGGGCATTTCTCTTGAGTCAGGAATATCTTCAAAATGGCTCTGGATCAGGGGAGTCGAGAGCCCAGCAACAGGGTCGGTTGAAGAAGATACAGGTGGCTGGACATGCATAACCCTAACCCTTGTGGGCTTACCGCCTTCCAAAAGCGGTTAGCTGAAATGGTGGAAATTTCGAAATTCAAGAGCCATTTTTCAGTTTCCGAATTCCGAAGCCGTGATGGAAATTTCCCATCCCTAGCCGCAACCGCCATCGTTGCAGCCTAATCGAGAAGTGGAGACAGCCCCACTGTAGCGCTTTCTCACTTCTAAAGGTTCTGGTCACGGGTTTGCGCGTCGCACTTGCCAACACGAACGCGTTCTGTTCCTGGCTGACAGAACTCCCTTTGTAAACACGTCAAACTCGCACTATCCTCTCCTCTCTGCCTTGTCGCTGAATTTGACAAAACCACCCTATTGAACCATCTCAGCGCGCTGTATCGTAAACTACTACCATGTCTGGACCCGAGGAACACGATGATGCTGCAAATGCCGACGATGGAGGACTGCCGGGTCCCGGTGCCCCTACTCCGCTCTCAGCACTGGAAGTGAGTTGTCATTCCATGCATGGTTTGTTGGGTTACGGCCAAATGGGTTGCTAACAAGGTCGCCGTTGAAGGGTGTGGCTGGAATCACCAAACGCGATGTCCAATTGATTATCAATGGAGGCTACAATACCGTTGAATCTGTTGCATACACCCCACGAAGAGTGCTTGAGCAGATCAATGGGATTTCGGAGCAAAAAGCGGGCAAGATTTTGGCCGAAGCCTCAAAACTGGTCCCAATGGGATTTACCACAGCGACTGAGATGCACCAGCGCCGCAGCGAGCTGATATCCATCACAACCGGCTCTAAGAACCTTGATACACTCCTTGCCGGCGGCATAGAGACGGGCAGTGTAACCGAGATATTCGGCGAGTTCCGAACCGGCAAGTCACAGATCTGCCACACACTGGCTGTAACATGCCAGCTACCATTCGACATGGGCGGCGGCGAAGGGAAGTGTTTGTACATCGACACCGAGGGCACGTTTCGGCCTGTTCGGCTTCTTGCAGTTGCCAACCGCTACGGTCTATCTGGGGAAGAGGTGCTCGACAATGTCGCCTACGCGCGGGCCTACAACTCGGACCATCAGCTGCAACTACTGAACCAAGCCGCAGCCATGATGTGTGAGACTCGTTTCAGCTTGCTCGTCGTCGACTCGGCTACCTCGCTATACCGGACAGATTTCCTGGGTCGTGGAGAGCTGAGCTCGCGGCAGACCCATCTCGCAAAGTTCATGCGGACCCTTCAGCGCCTCGCCGACGAATTTGGCATTGCTGTTGTCATCACCAACCAGGTGGTGGCCCAGGTTGATGGCGGTCCCTCGGCCATGTTTAATCCCGACCCCAAGAAGCCAATCGGTGGCAACATCATTGCGCACGCTAGTACAACACGTATCAGCCTGAAGAAGGGGCGGGGCGAGACGAGAATAGCAAAGATATACGATAGCCCCTGCTTGCCCGAGAGCGACTGTTTGTTCGCCATCAATGAGGATGGCATCGGGGATCCTGCGCCGAAGGATATGGAGAAGGATTGAGCAGCCAGCGAGGCTTACTCAGTCATGGTGGGCCAAAATAGACGGGCATGAGGAAATGACGCGATGCATAGCGAATGGTTCACGGATGTTACGTATAAGAATTGCAGTGCAGCCTGGAGTCTGGAGATGGGCCATACTTGCAGAGAGGACTGATGTTTTATGTGGCAGTGGCTTTCTAATCTCAGAACCTTTTCTGTTGCTGTATGTACATTACATAGGTACGGATTACTGAAGCCCCATTTTTGTAAGAGTCGTCCCCAAAAGTGCAACGAAGTTCCAGTCAGCTGAAGCTGAACGAGCGAGACAAATACGAAGAGTAATTACCAGTGCCAGTGTGGTTAGTAGGCGGAACTTGAGTGCCTCTGTGCGAGAATTTCAAGACACTGTGCAAATTACGGAGTACCTACCTAAGGTACTTGCTGTATTTTGCTTGGCAGACCAGCAAGGCTGCGGGCTAGAATTCTGCCCACCTACCGATATTGAAGCTCAAGAGCTGTATCCCAACCCTCCGTCAACCTACCTTCCGACGACTTTTGGATCCACCGGTTGTCGCAAACAAACGGCGCATGGCGGAAAGATGAGCTCCCGAGATTTTGAGATACTCTACAAAGAGACACGCCTCAATCTAGAGCCTTCGTCGCAATCTTCCATCGTCCAGGTTCGCGTCGCGTCCCACGGACGGTCAAGCTTGTCGCGCAGTATCCCAGCCGCCGACGACGAGAAAGCCTATCGGGCCCGAAATCTAGCAACTGCATCATCCATCTATTACCGAAAACATAACAGCTCGCCTAGGGGATTTTTATGGCGCGTCTTGGAGAATGGCACTGTCCTCAGTCTTCGAGTCGCCGATGTTTGCAAGCAGGAAAAGGATGCCGATGCGCCGCTCATCCTCAACCTGCGTTTCCCTGCCCCAATACGAACTTCCTGCATAGGCTTTGCTGATCCCGAGAGCCATGATGCGCTCTGCATCTATGCAGTCGACTACTCTAATAATCTGCACTCAATCACGCTGCGCCCTGATCACTTCCGGAAGAAGGCTGCGACAGATGGCGGATTCGGCGACTGCTGCAAATCCCACTCGCCTCCCGGCTTCGGATTCAAGCATCCACACCGGCTGATTGTCGTCAATCCCGATCAACTGATTGTGACCATGCACGACGGCGGCATTCTCAGGTTTGATAGGAACAATTCCTATGAATGTACTTGCGCCCCTCCCATCAGTGCGTCGCCGGAAATTGAGGTGCATACTGACATGCCTGCTCCTGGTAGCGAACGGAGCGCCGTGGAAAGAAACCATTTACAATGTTGCCGGATGGGGCCAGAGCTTGCGTGGATTGGTTCCGTTCCAACGGAATCCTACTATCAGATTCGACAAGGTCAACATGGAGTTGACAGCGGCAGCGTCCACAGCAGTCTCGACCATGGGGCGCTCCGACACGGCCTTTTTGTTCACCATCTGCCTCGACCATCGGATGAGGGTATGGGACGTTCAGACAGGCCAGATCCTCTATACCGGCGATATCCTGAACACGAACCGTGATCCACAGGAGGTCGGCAAATGGACCGTCGATCCATCTCAGGGGAACCTGATTCGAATCCTAGAAAACACTCGCGACCAATGCCTCGTCGTAACCTATTCTCCGGTCGGCGCTGGCGAGTTCAAGTTCTGGAAGGTCAAGGCGAACGACCAAGGCTCCATTCATGTTGCCGATTGCTTCCCAGAAGCTCACCTAATACCCCCGAGTCCATCTTCACTGGATGTGTGGACTCTGGCTGATTTCGCCGTCACCCAGCAGCCAGACGGACCTGAGTTGTGGGTGCTGTGGAAGAACAATACTAGCTACCGCGTTCACAGGTTGCAGTTGCACCCCCGGAATGGTGCAGCGCCTTTCGGCGACGGCTGGAAGACGGTATTCATTGATAGCTCTGTCCCAACCGTCCGGGCGTCCGGCCCCTGGAATCCAACCGACTCAGCAGAAAAGTGGCTTGACCTCATTTTCTTCCCGGGACGCTTCTCAAAATCGACGCTCGAAACAGCTCTCGCCATGTACGAAAAAGGGCTGGGTACCTACAAAGAGACAGCCTCGAAAGCCGGCAAGAGCATAGCGGAATCCATCTGCTCCGTGCTCGGGTGTACTACCACACTGGATCGGAGCTCAGGAGGCGGCGTAGATTACGACCAGTTCAGAGCCACAAGCGAGACGCAATGGATGCGTTTTTGGCGCCTCTTACTTGAGCTCGACAAACAGAGGGGCGAGGCACTTTCTCTGGTGTTCGACCCCGAGGAGGGCATGATTTGGGTCGCGTGCGCTGACTTGATTTCCGCTGTCAGGCAGTGCAGCGACCTGGACCGTGTTTACCACAATATCCGGGTTCCCGAGGAGAATAACGAGGACGTGGCCGCTCTGATATCTGCTGGTTTGGTCTTTGTGGAAAGCTTTTCAGACAGCATGATCCAGCTAAGCAAAGCTGCCTTGAGGGCCGAGTTGTATGAAGACTCGGCCCGGTCCGAGAGCGAGCGAATGCAGTTGTTTTTGGACCGTGCAGGATTTTGGACTGCAGTTACAGACGAGGATTGCGCCCAAGTGACAGACACTCTCGGCCAGAACTACCGAACGGTGACCGCAAGACTCTACGAGGACTTGTTCGACCTCATTACTGCTACTAGCGAGGCAAATTCGCAGGAGCTTCGGGAGCCTTTCACTGGATTCGGGAGGAAGGTGGTCGTTCGCGCCGTACAAGAAACCATCGACCTTCACTGGCAGATTCTCTTTAGCCAACTGATTCTGCTTGTTCATATGGAGTTTGACATTGAAAGCGAGGACGCTTCCCCGCTCCACTCACGGTTCGATGTTGGCTCGGTCTATCGACGGTTAATCGACGCTCTTCGGAGGTTGGAGCATCTGAGGTGGATGGCGAAAACCGAGCTGAGCATTTCATCACGGACGACCAGTTCTGGCACACTCTCCCCGACCCTAAGCAAGCGCGGCCAAGACGAGAACCATACCAAAACTGCCCTAGAAGGGCTCACCGGACACCTTTTTGGGCTTCCAGAAAGCAATAATATGCCTCTGCTTTCAAGCATCACAGATCTGGTGCTCGACCTCTGTGCTCCCAGTAGCACGACTGTGTTGTACACATGGCTCCTTCAGTGCTGGCTACTAAAACAGGATAGGCCCGATCTTGCCCTGGAACTTCACCCTTTCGCCGATCAAGATCCATTCTCCACGTATATTCAGGGCCGCGTGTTTATGGCCCTCAGGGACTACGACACTGCCGCCTTCTACTTCAGGAAGGCAGCTATCGGGTTGAGCATATCGATTAAGCACCTAGACCGGCATAGCGCAGGTCTTCTCGACGATACCGAATGGAACCTCCTTAACAGCGGGCTTCCAAATTACTACGCCCATATTGTCAGCCTATACGACCGGCAAAAGGTCTATTCATATGTCATAGAGTTTTCCCGGCTTGCCCTTCAGTTCGTCCAAGCGGACGCACAGGAGGCGGCTGGGACCAAAACTGAGATGCTGAGCCGTCTGTTTACCGCTTCCACAGCGATATCCCATTTCGAGGAAGCTCACTCGGCCCTTCTTGCCATGGAAAACGAAGCTCTCCAGAAGTCCTATTTGCGGAAGCTGGTCGAGAAGATGTGCGAGACAGGTCAGAGCAGCGCGCTCATCAGCCTGCCGTTCTCCGGCCTCCAGGATAAGGTCGACGACATACTCGGCGAGAAGTGCCGGAATACCAAGGACGTGCTGAACGGTGTTCCGTATCATCAGATTCTCTACGCCTGGAGGATCAACCACAACGACTACCGCGGCGGGGCGGCGGTCCTCCTCGACCGGCTCCAGAAGCTCCGCCGCATGGGCGAGGGCGACAAGGTCAACGGCGCCGAAGACGCGCTGGACACCCAGGTGACGCGCCAATACCTGCTGCTCATCAACGCGCTAAGCTGCGTCCCGCCGCAGGAGGCGTATATCCTAGAAGAAGTGCCGCATTGGGAAGAAGAGGTCCGGAAAAGGAAAGTGGATGATGACCTGGAGGGCGGCCTGGACGAGCTGTTGAAGAAACTTGAGGTCGACACGGCGCCGGACGGACAAGCGGCCTTCTCGGAGGAGGAGCAGGCACTCCTGGAGAAGGTGAAGAAATTTTCTACAAAAAGTGTTCAGGAGCTCCCGCCCAGGCGGCTCCTGATGCTTGCAGACCTCCGCAAGCAGTACCAGCTGGAGTTGGACAGGATTGTGGCGATCCAAAACAACCAATTTGGGTTCACAGATGGGGACGACTTGATGGATATGGCTTGAGGGCAACGGGACAGATCGGACATTACATTACGGCGAACGGGAGCAAGGGCAGCATTTCGATGATTGTAATTGTACATGCTCAGCCAAGCAGGGAAGAAAACAAGGGTTTATGATCTCCCAGCTCCTCGAGCCAGTTGATGACGGGCTTTTGTTAGGTTTGTTGCTTAGTCGGTTGGGATGGCATCACCAATGCAAACGACAGCCTAGACGACGAATCAAGTAAACAGCCAAAGAAAACTCTCTCTTAGGAGGCCTGAACCAACGCCTTGCCTATGCTAATAATCACTGGGGACACCGAGGTCTCGTACACGCAAATCGACTCGTTGCCGAGCTCCATTAACCCGCCAACCCCTGAAACCCACACATTATCCCGTGGGGGAAAGTCACGCTGGTATGGCGGCAGCTTTGTTACTTTCAGGGAGTGCTGGTAATGCTTCTTGCCCCCCGTTGGCTAATTCGGGTGCTTGCCGGTAGAGGATGATCTCTGACTGTTTAAAGTATCTCCTGGCGTCTGCGGGGAGGGATTCTGAGTAAGAATTGCGATAATGTCGAGGGCAAAGGAGAAAACTCACCTTCATCAATCAATACAAGACTGAGGTAATATCTGGTTGAGAACTTCTTGTTCACATCTCGGAAGGTCGGGGTTAGGTCGAATCCGCCTAGAAAAAGCCGGATAGGAATTGTCTCTCCCCTTGACGGTGAGCCGTCCATGATCTTGCGAGCTCGAGTCAGCAACCCCTACGAAGCCGCTTTTACAGGGCGACTGAGAATAATCGGCTTACCTCAAAGCGCACCAAAGTCTCGCTCTCATTGTACTGATTTGGGGCGGCGCCCGTCGTCTCGCGCCGGATGATGCTCAGCTCCATGTGTTTGATCTTGAGGCGCACGAGCAGGAAGTAGATGCGGCCGACGATGACGTCCTTGAGGTGGTACTTGCTCTTGCTATACTCGAACTCTATGTGCAGGCAGTCCTCGATGCCCACGTCCATCTTGATGCTGTTGTTCATCTCGGGCGGCATGCGGTAGCTGTAAACCCATATGTCCTTCTCGCGGATCACGTCGGCCATGCGGCGTGACACGGTGACGCGCACAAAGTAGCGCAGCTTGACGTTGATGCCGTTGTACGACTCGTACTGCTTCTCGACGTTCTTGAAGTTGAAGTCGAAGGTCTGCGGGTGCTGCAGCTCGCCTGGCGCGGCCAGCTCCTGGACCAGCGACAGGAACTCGTAGTGGTTGCCCCGGTCGAAGAACATCTCTACAGTGTGGTTTGTCAATCGCAGCGGTTAACCAGCGGTGTCGACCAACGCAACGTGCGCCAAATGGCAAGATTTAAACATAAATAAAAAAAACCAGCGGAGTCGTACCTATGGTGCCGATGAATTGCACCTTAATGCCCGTGTGCTCGAGCCGTTTGCCGTCCTTGGGCCGTATCGTCACGGCGCCCTTGACTGACTCGCCATCCATGTATAGTGGCGCCTTCTCGCGGCGGTTCTTGTCCAGCTTGACGTCGACCATAGACCTCTCGTCGGCATCTTCGAGCACAATGTCGATGTCGACCGGGGTCGCAAAGAAGTAGGACATGGCTGCGACTTGCGGGAGGGCTGCCGTTGCAGCAGGCGGGATTATAGGGTTAGTGCAAACGGCCAGCCGCTTGCCAATTCAGTTTCGAGAGTAGAGACTTTCCGCCAACAAATTGGTTGTTGTTGGACAAAAGAAGCTTTTGAATATTCAAGACGGTTGGCGCTGCGTTTGTTGTCCCAGCTGAGTGGTGCAAGTGAGCTTACGATGGTTGTAACGTTATCGGGGGATGGAGTTGCTGTATTATACTGAAGTACTTCGTACAAGTCAGGTACCTTATGTACTGTACAGTACAGTACAGTACAGGTGCGTCGGTCTTGGCATTCGTCTCCAGGTTCATCAATGGCAGTGATTCAACAGCACATTGGATGCACTGGTTGACAGACAAGCAGACAAACTCCACCTACGCTGTACGTTGCTTCAGCGCTCTAACGAGTGTATAAAGATATCTATAAGACCAAGTTGCAGAGAAGTGTGCAATACACTAGGGCCGTGTACGAAATAGGTATGTACCGTATATTCCTGGGAAATCTGCCCACCGCTACCATAGAGGGGGATGGGGGTCCTACAACAGCTTGCGGTAATACTGTTAGTTTCCCAACAGAGTTAAGATCCCCAGAACAGGCTGTTGTCAGCGTCAACAGTCTTAAGGCATACTATTCAGACCAACAGTATTGAGCAACAGGAACAGGCTGTCTTACAGATATACTGTTCGCTTGGGAGCAGTGTATTTCCAGATTTATTAGCCTGTACTTGGAAATATACTGCCTAGCTAGGAGCACTTAATTCGTTCCAATAGTATTGTATATATCTTTCTTCCCTACCTATATAGCTCCTTCCCTTCCTAACGCTAGGTACCTTATAGTCTTGTATTTTGCATCTCCCATTATGCGTACTTATAGTGTAATTGCCTTGTAATGTAGACTTATAATCTATAAGCTATAAGTTCAATCCTGGTAAGGTTCTTATTTTTCATTATCTTTAAATTCAATCCTTAGGTAGTAGGTAAGGTAGCGCCTACAGGTCCCTCGAGAACGACCTGTAGGGGCTCGACCTTTTGGTCTTGTTTTGTATATAACAGAGATGTAATAGAGCTGTAACAGAGCTGTAACAGTGCCCCCAACAGTCTGTTGTTGTCCGAATAGTATATTAGGGGTCTAACATTATGTACTGGGAACAGTATGTAGTAGTATGGAGCAGTCTGTTCTTCGAACATGCTGTTACGACAAGCTAAGACTGCCCTGCAGGCTACTCTGGCCCGTGTAGGGTAATTACAGCATAGAGTTCAACCACTTATTCTGTTCCGACCGTAATAGACTTACCGAACCTCTGATGTGGGACCCCAATCCCCCTCTATGGTACTGCGCGTACCAAAGCCAGGCGACGTATCTCATTGCTCAATCCTCTTTGGCATCCTAACTGTAAGGTTTGAACCACTGCAGGCCAGTTGCGAGCCGGCTGCCTGGGATTGGTCGCTTGGCTTAGGTACGCGCAGTAGCGGAGGGCGGATTTCCCAGGAATATACGGTAGTCCGTAGGTACTTCTTAGTAATCGACAGACCGCTGAGCTGCGAAAACCATCGATTCAACTGTGCATCGTATCCTGGCGGTTTGTATAAGGCCATAAGCTCCGTACTTCGTAGTCCTGGCTCACCTTGAAGGCTGCATGGCACTTTCGATGTCTTGAATGAGCGATGCAGCACCCCTAAACTTGACAAGTTTGGTGACTTGGGTCCCTGACATGGATAGACGCTCTTGCCGTATCTCATCTCAGCAGAATAGACGGGAACAGTAAGAAGGACACAAGCTTGAAGTCTAGTTGTCTAAGTTGCTTCTGGATCTGCGAAGCGTTGATGCAATATCTCACCACACGAAAGTATTCAACTGACTTGCCCAGTATAAGTACATAACGTTAGTGGTGATGTCTTGATTGAGACTTTTGACAGTGAAGTTGGCGTTAAGAACTTGAGGGAGGTCCCAGCCTGAAAGCACTGGCCCAAATAAGGTACTAACCCCACATTAGACCAGCCTTCCGCCGCCTGGACCAATCACCGCGTCGCTTTTCAGCTCTGCCCTAACAAAAGCTCAAGGCATGATCGGCGCACAACTCGAATTATTCCGGGTCCGCAAAATCGTGGTTTTTCTCGGGCTTGCAACTACCCTTCGTCCACCTCGACGACGAAGCAAAACCTCAACCCTCCTCACTCCCCGGTCACAACGCAAAGATGCGCTACATCCACAGTGAGGAGACCCTCGAGGTCCCCGAGAATGGTACGTGTGCCAATTACAACCCGATGTGCGACCCGAACGAGCGGAGGAGTGATTCGGCGAGAACCCCCGATCCGACGACCGGCAAAGACAAAAGCCCACGATGGAGGATGCAAATGCGGTCCGGGGTGTTGCGGCTGGATAGTGCTGCGGAGCTATTGGGTGGTGGGAAAAATGAACAATTGCTGACAACGTCATGACCTACAGTCAAGGTTTCGATCAAGTCGAGACTGGTCACAGTCGAGGGCCCCAGAGGTGAGCCAAACCCACCCCTACCGGCTGGCCGCAAACGATATACTGGAGAGGGCATATCGCGGAGGGCGTGGTGGGAAATCGCTTTGTCTAACCCGACCGGACACCTTGCAGGCAAGCTCACCAAGGACCTGAGCCACATCGCCGTCAACTTCTCGGTCCTGAAGAAGAACGTGATCGGTATTGAGATTCACCACGGCAGCCGCAAGAACGTTGCCGCCCTCCGTACCGTCCGGACTATCATCAACAACCTGATCATCGGCGTCACAAAGGGCTTCAAGTACAAGATGAGATATGTCTACGCCCACTTTCCGATCAACGTGAACGTGGAGAAGAATGCCGAGACTGGCAACTTCGAGGTCGAAATCCGGTACGTCGCTGGTGGATGAGGATATGTTGGCCCCGCCGCCGAGTACTGCTGGAAGCGACGGCTTGGTACCCTTGGCTTCTAGGAAATGGGAGGAAGGCTGATGTTTGGGTGCAACACAGGAACTTCATCGGCGAGAAGATTGTCCGGAGGGTTGTCATGCAACCCGGTGTCGAGGTCGAGATTTCCAAGGCACAGAAGGACGAGCTGATCCTCAGCGGTAACTCTCTCGAGGGCGTTTCCCAAAGCGCCGCCGACATCCAACAGATTTGCAGAGTGCGGAACAAGGATATCCGGAAGGTGCGTTCAAGCGGGCCGCGGGGTGATATGGGGATGACGGTTGCTAACGCCACAGACAGTTCTTGGACGGTCTTTACGTCTCGGAGAAGGGTAACATTGTTGAGGAGTGATGGACATGCGGCCATGGGTTTCTTTGTGCTTTATGGGTCTCACCGGAGTGGCAAGGGGTCATCGGCATTTGCATGTTTTGTAGCGTAAAAAGTCGCTACTGCAAAATGGGCAACCTTCTGAACCACGGGTCTGGAACAAACCAATATCGCGTTCATGATGAAGCACGTCTTGAGCTAATCGGGAGCTATTTTCCGACGGTCAGGCTGGTTTGAGTTGATGATTCAACCATAGCCCAATTCATACCCTCTTCGGCAATCTATCTTGTCACCGGGAGCGCCAATGTTGTCTCTGGTCAACGCCTCCATGTGGGACGGATGAAATATTGACACAAATGCGAAGATGAATCGGATTGTGATGGCAGGAGGGGGTGAATTTTACTCAGATTCCGTGAAAATGATACTACGGAAAACTTCCACCCAGTCAGAATTGTGCAGCCAGTCTCATGGTACAGCCTCCTTTTACACGTACCCGGCTCGCCGTTATCTCATTCCTCATGCATGCTGCCAAGTCTTCGTGTCCTTCGTATCTTCAGATCTTCATTAACAACCTGCTCCATTCCATCCAGATCTCATGAAAATCGTCTCTTTGAATCTATCGTAACGCCTTAAAACTCCAAATGAAAGAGGAATAGGAGTTCCTGAACAGTTATATACGAGATGAGGGTATTGGAGGGTCGCACTCATGGTGGGAGGTGGCGGGTTCGGTATATACATTGGCGTCGTGGTCTTCATTATGAACTTTGGTATGTTGGGTGGCGGATTGGGTTGTCAACAGGTCATCTGGGCGACCGGTGTGACCTGGCGGATGGCGCCCTCGACACGCGCGTGTGGGTGTGGGTTGTCCTCGTCACCCTGCTCGGCGCCCTGCTCCCCCGTCCGGAGCGCCGGGTCCGTCTGTCGCTGCTGAAAGAGCCTGTGGTGACTGGTGTTAGTGAAGTGGCCCAAGAGAAGACCTAGACAAAGAAGGTCGGGGTGGGGGGAAGGAGAGCGGGGGGTACTCACTGGGGTCACTTGCTGTATAAGACTCGGACCATGAGCTGCTACTGAAATCGCTCCTCGTCTTTGTCGCCGCCTTCTTCTTCTTGTCCCGCCTCAAGCCCAGTAATAGCGCCAGCGTGCCGAGGGCGGCTCCGATGCCGAGCAAGCCCGCACCTTTACTCTTCTCCTTTCGGGATGCTGCCGTGCTGGGGCGGCCGCCGTACCAGGATCCGTGCCCCTCTCGCCGGCCGTGCCGGGTGTAGCGCTCTTCTTCAATGACCGTCTTGGTCTCCTTCTTCTTGCGGATGCCCAGGAGAGCCAGCAGGCCGTGCCACAGACCGCGAACGACGCAGCAGGCGCAAAGCAGGAGAAGCAGAGCCACGCCGGCCAGCGTGCCAACGACGATGCCGGCAATTGCGCCGCCGCTCAGGCCGCCCGCCGTGCCACCGGGGCTCACAGCACCCGTGGTCTCGGATGCGCCCGCAGCAGTGCCTGTTGATGTCGATGTCACCGTGCCGCTGGTTACCCGGTATGGAGCGCTGTATTGGGTTGTGATTGTCTGTCCTCCAGTGACGACGGTCGTGACTCCTGCCCCGCCTCCTCCAGCAACAGCAGAAGGATTCGGCATACATTGCCCCTCACGGGCACAATACTGCCAGGTCGCGCAGCAGATTGTGCCGCAGGCGATTTGGCCCGATCCCGGGGGTGGCACGCAATTTCCTGAGCCTGCGGGGGCGGTAGCGGCAGGGAAATAGGAGCTGTACGTTTTTGTATACGTCTGCGTCACTGTCCAGGTTGTGGTGTACCAAGCGAGGCCACCGCCCGCAGCCGCGGTACACCCGGCGATGCCGTTGGAGGTGTAGCATTGCGACCCGGCCTCGCAGCAGTACTGGTGGTCCATGCCGCAGTACTGTGCGCACCCGCGCGGCATCAGGTATCCGTAGCCGAACTCGTGCAGATCATCTTTTGGGAAAGGAATGGCGACGGCCCGGTGCGCCGCCAAGCCGGCGAACAAAAGCCATAGCGTTGAGCGGAGCCCTGGCGGCGAGGGTCGGGGCGGCATGTTCGGCGGGCGCTTGGACGACCGGGGGCTGACCGGGGGTTTTAGTGGAGATAGGCCTGCGCCGGCCGGCCTGGCTCCCGCGCGGGGGCTCAAGTGAAACTTTTTGAGCGATCGGCAGGGCCGTGCGAGTGTTGAACGGCTGTCTTGTTCTCCTTTTGTTTGTGGCGTTATCTGTCAATTCGGCCCACTGTCGTCGGATGCGACCGAGGTTTTTCTTCGTTTTCTGATTGTGCACCCCAGCCCGCTCAATGAAACCTGGAATCCCGTCCCGAGGTATCTCGGACGACGCTCAAGCTGCTGTTAGTTACTCGAGAGTGACTGTGACTGGAGGCGCAAAAGATTGCCAAAAACAAAAAAAAGGAAGAATGCACAATGTTGTCAGAGATTCCAGTCAGGGTATTCTAGGTCCAGGAGGAAAGCGGAAAGGAATTGGGAGGGTCCAGCAAGGCGGGATTTATTACTGAGGATTTTCCAATGGCTGGTAACATCTAAGTGGTGGTCGGGCGATGGGTGTTCCCAACCTCCTCCGAAGCTCTCAACGCCATGCACCCAACCTCCGGATTTTGTACCTGACCACCCACAAAAGCCCATCACTGGCTTCAAAAAGAGTGTCATTATGGACCCAACGTTTCATTTAATTGACACCTTCATTCCACCTTGCTTTGAAGTTTTCGCCTAGTCGATGCGGCAGGTCCTGTCTAGCTCGAGCGTTGCATCACAAAATGGGGTACCTGCCAGTAGCGTCTGAGCTGGCAGAAAACTGGCTCCTGCTCAGGTTCGGTGCCCCGCCGTTTGGTTCGCTCGGCTCCCATGTCCCCGCCTTGCCGCCTTCCAGGTTGCTGCCCTGGCGTTTGCTTGACGGGACGTCTCGCGCCGGCCCAGATAAGAGGGCCCTTATCGCCGTATAACCCTTGCAGCCCATTAAGCCCCTGTCTGTATCCGTATGTATGTATAATTACACTATACACATACATACGGAGACATGTGGATACACTAGTGACCAGTCCCTCGGTTTGAGCCGAAGCTTTGCACCAGTGGCGCAGGGGCGCATATCGAATCCCTCCAAATGAGGAACCTATTCTTCTTTTTTCTCTGCCGAATTTCTATCGCATTGTCCATAGCATTTAACGCACCATGTGTATTCTTGGGCATCTTGATGCTAGCGTACGAGTCCATCGACGGAAACTCGGAGCGGACAAACGTTTGCCAAGCCTCGTGCTCCACTGTGACCCGGGCATTACGTACGATAATTCTCCGTAACTTACAGTACCGGTAAGCTCTCTGGCTCTGTAACTCTGTTGGCCGTCCCAGCCAGCCAACTGGAACCCACCCACGCCAAGCTTCGGGGGGTGAGCTCAGCTGCCAGACACAACTGGACGACCTAAAACACTTGCATCATCGCATGTTCACCATCGAGCGCATTTGTTTATGTACACGATGTCGCTGGATCCGCCGACGTATCTAGCATCGCTGCAGAGCAACATCCGGCAGCGGCCGATTCCCTGGGACGGGGCTGTGCGCGCGGGCACGCTGACCGAAGAGCAGCTCGCCCGCATCCGCGCCGTCGACAAGGCCAAGAAAGATGCCCGCAAGCAGACCGTCGAGGCCGATCTCGACGGCTATCGTGCGCTGTTTGTCGGTGAGCCTGGGAAGAAGAGCGTGCTGGAATTGGCCGCCAAGCGCCAGGATGTTGTGCATTACATTCTCGTCTTCTTGAGCGATCTGCTTGACAGTGCGTTCCTTCCCTCGCCTCGTTATTCCCTACGGTCAACCTCGCTGCCTGCGCCTGTCTTTTTGGGCAGTCATGGCTGCGACTGATGGGCCTGAGATTCGTCCCCATGCATGCTAACCCTTGTGGCATCGCAGGCGTGCCCGCATTATCGAAAGCTCTGTTCCAAACGGGCGATCCTTACCAGCATTTTCTTCCACTACTCAGCCGTTCCCCCAATCCGGACGATCCAATTCCGCTGCTCACTTCTACCGTGCTCGTTAGTCTCATGGCTGGCTCCAGAGATGAGTCCCCGGCGACGGTAGACAAGGCTTTACCGCTCGTATTCACCTACCTGTCGTCCCTAACCAAGAATTCCGACGCTGGGCTCCAAGACATTGGCGTGCAGGAGTACTCGTCGCTTCTCTACGGCCGTGCGACCAGACAACAGTTCTGGAAGCAGAGAAGCGAGACAATTGCGCCTCTAATCGATATTTTGCGAGCGGCAGCAGGAGTTGGCAGCGGCGACGCCTCGGCCAGCCTTTGGAGTGGAACCACGTCCACGGCCCGGAGCGGCTTCGAGGGTTCACTGGGCGGTGGCATTGGTCTTCAGCTGCTTTACCACGTGCTCCTCGTCATGTGGCAGCTCAGCTTCGAGGCTGCCACAGTCGGTGACGAGCTAAACGAGTAAATCCGTTCCTACGCCCTTTCCCAAGTTTTTGTTCTAGCTAACACAATCTAGTGAATACGACATTGTTTTGCTCTATACACAGCTCCTACGGCTGTCCCCCAAGGAGAAGACCACCCGATTGCTCGTCTCGACCCTGTTAAACCTCCTGGTCCACAATCAGAACACGCTGCTCCCCACAGCAGTCCTTGCGCGGCTTCCAGCTTTATTGCAGAACCTTCAGACCAGGCAATTCTCCGACCCCGATCTCAGGGAGGACATGGATAAGCTTCGCGAGCTGCTCGAGGAATATACCAAGACAAAGACTACGTTCGACGAGTACGTTGGGGAGTTGAACTCGGGCCACTTGCGCTGGTCGCCCCCGCACCGCAATACTGTCTTTTGGGCCGAGAACGCGCGCAAGATTCTCGAATACGAAAATGGCGCCCTCATACGCAAGCTAGCCGACATTATGAAGAAGCCGTGGGACAACGATAAAGCCGTGCTTGCGATTGCGTGCAACGACATTGGCTGCCTCGTCCGCGAGGTGCCCGAGAAGAGGAGCCAGCTGGAGAGATATGGGTTGAAAACTAGGGTGATGGAGCTCATGGGCGAGGCTGACGAGAACGTGCGGTGGGAAAGCTTACGAGCGTTAGGCGGGTGGTTGCAGTACAGCTTTGATACGAAGTGAAGAAGCGTTGGCTCTTTGTTTTTATGGCATTTGTGTATTTCAGCCCGTCCGGGGCCTATAAGCGGGCATATGACATGTTGGAGAGGAATGGCATTTGGAACTGGGTTTAGACTGGCTCAAGCTTATGGATTGTACTTGAATGCGCTTGGTTTTCTCCTTGTCTGCCTGGTAAGTCTCGGTTGACGTGCTCGCGGAGGATGCACATGAGATGTCAATTCCTCGGAATTTTGGAAGATGTTCTCTGGGCAGATGTAAGGAACAAGAACGACATGACATGAAGTTCTTTGGAATTCTCCCAAGTGACATCACGGTACATACAATACATATTGATATCCCTCGTGTCACTAACCCCACATCTCGAAGCCTCATCTTATCGAGTTCTGATCGTCTAAGCAGTGTTCATGCCTCGGACACGGCCAGGAACTTGAAAGGTACTTGTACCTACCGTTAAACTACTTGATCATATCCAAGCTTTGATCATTCAGTTCCCTGCTATTGTCACAAACACTTTATCATCCGCTGAACTTTAATCCTACTACGGCATTGTACACTACAGGACGCACCCTTACGAAAGGCCAGGATGGTCAAGCGAGTATGTCGCTAAATCAAGCCCGACTGAGACAGGCATATGCTAACCCAGCTCCTCACTTATCCAGGTCTACTTCCTAGCGCATGGGGGCATGGTGCAAGGTGAGCCATCGATGCCATTGACATTGGGATTTTGGGACTCGATTGCCATGCAGAATTGAACATGTAGCAGAAGCTCATCGAATGAGTCCTTAGACTTATACCTATGTAATACGAGCGATCCATTGAGCTAACAACTGGTGGACCCTAGGTGTTGGCTTCCGGTAAGAAGAGACCCATTACTCGAACGCCGCTACTATCATCATTCATGCCGGTTATGAACATCACTAAACGAGATCCGACTCGTTTGTATCCTCTCATATCCCCTTCATTTCCTCATCCCAATATTTCTTCTCTACGTAGTCTCGCTCACCTCCGCCGACCAATGTCCAACCAACTGCAAACAGCTACTTCACCCGCCACCGAGCCATCGAGAACAACCTCACCGGCTGGGTCCGGAATACCGACAATAACAAGGTATTTTATTCACACCCTCCCTCTCCCTATCAGTCCTGAGTTGCAGCAACGTCAATAGCAATCCCCCTCGCTGACCAAGTCCCTTTCTCTCTCTTCGTCCCTGGCTCAAAGGTCGAGGGCGAAGCACAGGGCGAAGAGGACGCCCTCGCAACGTTTCTCAAGGCCGTGGACAAGGGACCTCGGCACGCCCACGTAGTCAGGTTGGACAAGGAAGACAGAGAGGTGGTCGAGGGCGAGGAGGGCTTTGAGATCCGTCGATGACGCAGCAGCGGAAGCCGTGTCCAAGAAGCCAGAGACTAGCAAGCAAAGATACCTCGCTCAAGTACCTTAAGATTAATGCGCTACCATGGACGGGATGCATGCAAACACCTAGCCCTAATCTCTAGAGACCAAACTAGTCAAAAGCATCTCTATTCATGCTCATGAACCGCCCCAAGTGCCTAGAGTGGCAATCAATGCCAGAAATTATGCGTCGAACCCTACTCCCCTATTCATTCACAAAACTCAAGTACTAGTGCACTAAGCAAACGTCATTGAGATCTCCTTCTCTTTGCCAAAATCGTCGTCGTCGTCATAGTCATAGTTACCCCGGGTGTCGGCCCAGGGGTCCGCTAGGGTGAGGTTCGGCATGGTCTGTGCCGACTTGATCAACTCTGGTCTCGCAGCAGAGCCCGGAGCTGTCGTTGTCGAGGATGACGAGGGCATGGGTGGTCTGACGTCTTTGTCGTCGTCAAACCCAGTGTCAAAAATCATTTGGATCTGGCCGTCGTCCTCCGCTATCCCATCGCCACCACCATACGCCAAGGCGTATGAAGTGGAAGTATGGTACGCCGGGCTGCTTTCCGCCTTGCTGGCGGGGAATGTGGGCGAACGCGCTCGGGAGGACATTGAAGGGTTGCGGGATTGTTGGCGGTATTCGTAGGACAATCGCCCTTCGTTCGAAGACCGCGGCGGGGCGAGATCGGGGCTCCTGCTCTCACGCAGACTATTGCGCGATGTTCTGGCCCGCGGAGGCGGGCCGGGGCTGGTAGTGGTACTGCTGGAGTTCAATTCGAGCTTGATCGGTGGGAGAGTGCTCTTGATCTCTCTGACCTGAAGCAGCTCTTCGTCGATGTTGCCGTCCTTGTTCCGACTTTCCTTGGCAAGCTCCGCACGGATGGCATCAACATCGAATAGCACGCCGTGGTTGTTGCCCTCCTTATCCTCCGTCTTACCATCCTTGGCGTCCTTGCCAGTCTCCTCATAGACCTCCCATTCGGCCTTCTCTGTCGCCTTCTTCCTCCCAAAGAAGCTGAAGCCACCCTTCTTCCCCTTTCCTTCTTTCGCTAGCTCTCTCCTTGCTTCCTCAATCTCGTTAATTAGTTCACGCTGCCTTTCCTTGTGGTTTTCGGGGTCCGGGTCTTCGATCTCTGTAAACTCATCGCTTTCAACCAGCCAGCCGCATTCGCGCAAAAGGCGAGGCATTGCCGTCCGGTAGTCCATGTGTCCTGTCACAATCCCCGTCACATCCATGTTCTCTACCCCGGGTACGCCCTCGATAGCGGCCAGACCGGCGACGCGCCTGATCCCGCCGTTTGTCAAGCGGAACAGATAGCCCAAAATCCAGTCGTTGCGGTTGTAGCCGTTGACAAAGCGGCCAGATACGACGGCGCGGGCGCGCAAGTACTCATCCGTCTTGACAACGACGGGGCTGCCAAAGAGATAGACGTTCTGCACCAAACCGAAGGCACCCTTCTTGGCGAGCTCCTGGAGGCAGGAGAAAATGACACGGCTGCCAAGAGAGTAGCCCACGAGGGTAATGGGACGTGTGCCCAGGTTACGATCGATGAGTGAATCAGCCAGGATCAAACCGGCCATGGTAGCACGGTCAAGGGAGACAGCCCAGGGGTTGTCGATCAGATACGCAAGTTTGGTAAGAACAACGGGTAACTGAAGGGCCGCCATAAGGGACACAAGGATTGTGCTACCTAGGAGCTGTTGGAGGCCTTGGGTGAGAGCCTAGGAAATCGGTTAATACACAAGAAAACGGTTGATATTGGACCGCGCACGGCAGGGGCTCACCTCAGTGGCAAGGATGTTGATGGTATCACCCATGCTGGTCAGCATTTCGGGCTCCCACAGCACTGAATAAAGGTCGCCCATGACCGGGTCCAGCGTGCTGAAGGGCAGCCGGACATCATCCACCTTGCCTATCATCCACCCGGAGATGGTAACAATCAGGTTCACCCGCTTGTTGTTGTGCAGTGGCCGGTACTCGAACGTCTTGACGGCCCCTGTCCTCCTGTTGGCAGCCCTGACACCGATGATACTGCCTGACGCTGCTGCGCTGGACGTGATGATGGCGGCACCCCCTGCACCAGCGAGGAAACCGCTGGTGCCGCCAACACCGATCGTTGCGAAGCCTGCTGCTAGGCCAGCGCCGATGACAGGCGCAAGCAAACCCGCGGATAAGCCGATGACCAGGCCGCCACCAACCGTGGCAAGTCCCATCATTACGTAGCGCCGCTTGAGGGCGAGCTTGCGGCGGTTCTCCATGTGTTCCTCTTCGTTCCAATTCTCCCTCTCGGCGTTCTGCTGCATCTCGAGCGCGTCCGTTACCTTCTTTTCAAAGCGGCAGATGTCGATCCAGGATATCTCGAGGTCCTTGGCGACCCTCTCCAGTAGAACTCGAGACCTTGCATCGTAGATGGAGTCGGCGATGAGCACCAAGAAGAGGTCACATAGCACGGTCCAACGTATGTCAATGTCGATCTTTTGCGTGGTTGGCATCTGCGACGGCATCTTGACGGGGGTTGTGAGCTCCGTGTCGTCGTCCGCGGAGTAGGGCGGCGGCGGCTCGGCGACCTGCTCGGCCTGAGCATTCACAACCGAGCTCGGCCGCGACGAGGTTGAGTTCGAGAGGGACGTTCTCGGTTCCGATTCGGCGGCCATGGGGTTTCGCACGCGCGCGTTTGCCATCAACACGGGAGTCAGATCCTGCGGCATGACACCGTGCGCGCTCAACTGCTCAATCATGACTTGCTCGTCCGGGCTTATGTCCATATGGGTATAGAGCCTGATCATCATCTTTTGGCTCCACATCTTCATGTTCTCGGCTGCAAGTGCTGTTTGCTTCTTGAACCTGGACGAGGTAGCCTTCGTAGACACAGATTCGAGCTCGCTCAGCATGGCTGAGAGCTCTAATCTTGTGAGTCCAACATAAGCGATTCTCTGACCCTCCGTCAAGAGTTCCTTGGTGGCCTGAAGCTGGCTCACGGCATCCCGCTGATTCTCGTCGTCTTCCGTCATGCTCGTTCCGCCCGCGTCTTTGAACAAATACTGGGTATTTTCATCCATGCTGGTCGCCGACTCGGCGTCGTCATCCAGTAGCACTTTCGTATAGCCTTTCCCAGCGCCCCCGAGCCCCGCATACCCGTACGTCTCATCGTCGGCTTCGTTGTATTCTTTGGCGATCAGTCTGTTGTTGTCGTCATATATGTCGTAGGGCGCGTAGGCGGGCATCACCTGCCACTCCCCGTCATCTTCTTCCTGCTTCTCGGGTTCTTGGGAAGTGAGTTGCTGGTGCGAGTACGCGGACATGGCGACTTTCGCGGCGGCTCCTGGCCCGTCGGCGACGCTCGCATCGTGCTTCACCCCGCTAGCCGGTCGTTGAGGTTTACTAGCCTCAGATACCGCCTGGTCCGCAACCTTGGTCGACACGTCGGCCGACCCTCGCTTGCTCCGCAGCTGGGCATCTTCTGATCTGACGTCCGACGGCCGTTCCTCGGCCTGTGCAGTCGTCCTGGATTTGTTTGCGGCGGCGGTCTCGGCATCCCTAAAATCCTTCTCGCTGGTCGATTCTGCGCCATCTTGTGGTCCGGCCTTCGCGGTCGCCCCGTGCACTTGGTGATTCTCGTTCGACGTGTTGGCTGCGGCTTCAGCATTTGAGGTTCCCTGCTCTGTCTCAACCGGAGTCGAATATTTCCTTATGGGTAGGCCAAAGTCGTCGAGCTCAACAGTCGCAGAACTGGCGGGTTTGGGTTCTGGCTTGGGCGTCGCAGCGGACATCTGATTCTGGGCGGGTTGCGGCGGTCCATCTTCCGTTGCTGTCTTGGACGGGCCGCTCTGGTCATTGCCAGCAGAAGGCCCGTCAACTGCCGGCATGACTGTTTGCTGCTGCTGCTGATGGATGAGGCACGCCGCGCGTCTTGACCGTGAGTCCCGCGAGATTTATTGGGAAATAACGTTCGGGTTGTCAGGCGACCTTAGCATAGGGGCGGGTATGTATCCGACAGAAGGTAGGTGTTTCCCTTTGTTTCAAAGGGTCCAAAGTCTCCAAACCAACCAGCGTAACCGCGCCCAGGTCAGGTTTATTAGTGGGTTGATTGCTGAGCCTTAGGTCCTATTTACAGCATTATGACAGGGGCAAGCCCACTTAGCACCGACTTAGCACTGCCTATGGAGAGGATAAGATAACGCGGCATGTGACATTACCCCCTGTTTGCAGCCCCTGAATTTACACGCGTACGGAGTACGGTGTACAGTATAGTAAGGAGTTAACGTGCAGGTAAGCCGCTGACCAGCCCTGCCATTGATCTAATCGACATTCGACAACCACCCTTAACACATTGCTAGTACGAGTCTGTAGCGTAGGGTGTCTGTAAAATGGCGGCTAATCAATGCCAAGATCTACTTAAATCAAGCCTCAACAGCGTCGGTCCCGGCGCTCTCGTGCTTCTCAGCCATTTCCTTGACAGTTCCATCCTGGGTGGTCCCTCCCTGTGATTTCTTGCGTCTCTTGCGCTTCGCTTTGGCCTCTGCCGAATTTTCGGTCGAGGGGGCAGGAGGCTTCCTAGGGGTCTGGTTCGCAGCACTCTTCTTGGGTTTCTTCACTGAAAGCGGATTCGGCCCCTTTGGGCCGTATTTCTTCCTCTTCTTCTTGGGCTTGTCTTGCTCCTGAGCCTCTCTAGGCTGGATGTCCTCGCTATCGCCCCTTCCCTCGTCTTCTCTGTCCGCATCGTCTTCCTCAGAATCGTCGGCATCCCGCTTTCTCTTCCGGGGCCGCCTGACAATGCCATCCAGGAATCTGTGCTTCCAATTAGCCATGTTACAACTGACAGAACTTAGGAGTTGGCTTACTTTGAACGTTCTTCTCGTTCTCTGGCCCGTGCCGATGACGAAGACATGGGCTCAAGGATCTGTCTCCATGGTTAGCTAGGCTGACACATACAAATTCGTGTGATGAAGGCCCGAACTTACCATTACACTCCGCCGCACGTACATCAGAGGCGTAGGAACCACGGATCGTAACCTCTCCCTCTGTGGCACAGGCCAAAGTCAGCCGATGAGCCAGCGAGCGCGGTTATGATGATAGCATCTAACGACGTACCAGCCATTCGTCTTGGGTAGCAACGACATATCTGAATTTGTTCTCGCCTTTGCCCTTGGGGTCCACAACTGACAACATGCACTCCCTTTCGGTAAGGGGGTCCTCGTCCATGAGATGGCCACACCGCCGCCTCTCAAATGTCTTTGCCCTGTCGATGGCAGCGGCGGCGGCAGGATCTCTGTTCGGTCCCACGTTCTTCGCATACAATGCTCGCTTTGCGTACCACGTTAGCGTCACAGGTTTCGGAGCGCAGGCCAAGCAAGATGGAGCTTACAATGCAGCATTGTGTGATCATGGGCTTCAAGTTTTTGGTAGAGAGTGTCTTCTCAAACAAGGCCATTAGATCGAGCTTGAGGGTGTCAAGGATGATGTCGCTAGTCATCAGCAGCTGATATGGTTCACGAAAACCGAGCAGCTGGAAAGCTCGCATGAGCTTCTTGTACTGCTTGGTTCGTTTGCCCATCGTGAGAGGCTGCCTCTATTAAGAGGCTGGCACTACGTAAGTCGAAATGGCGACAGAGGGGCAAATGAAGTGAGTGATATAGGTAGATGTGGATTTTGAGAAAACGTGCTCTGGTCCGAGCGGGAAATGCTTCTGGTGAAGGTTTGCGGCAGACAAATGCTCTGAGTGCCCTCACTTTGCTTGTTGGACCCAAAAAATTTCCAGAACACTGCAGCCCCACTACCAAATCAGCTGCAAGCCTGCAGTTAGCTCCGTAGCACTACGTTACTGTAAGGTTCCTTCCCCGCGCCAAGCCAAGTTTCACTGCAGCACCAAAAGGCCCCACCAAACCATCCAACGGGTTCGGATTTCAGAGCCCTGTGAATTGCTGCTGCATTTGGGCTTTCGCCCTCATCAACTAGGTACCTACATATCTTTGGGCGAGATAGCCTGACAAGCTCGCATGCCAATGGTCTCTTCTATCGGGACAGTAGACTGCGTTTAGTCCACAGTGAATAAAGTCGGTGACCAAGCGGTGTCCTTACTAAATACCGGACCCTCCCATCCTGGTCATCCTTGAGCCCTTCCTCTTTCCTCCGCCCCCATCCTTCCTTCCGCTTCCTGGAAAAGGCACACCTATAAACCCCCCCCCCTCGCGCCCCACCCTTCTCTCAGGCACCATCTCCTCTCAACTCAGACACACCGAGTACAGGAAATGATAGACTCAGCTCTTCGTCGCCTTGGCCCTCCTCCGTGCAAGCGTGTTGGGTGCGGATCTCATCAATGAATGCAGTCTTTCGGTAGTGTAGAGAACAGCACCTGAGGAAAGACATGAAATGTCTCGAATTGCACATGTCCCACCAACCGCTTTTCCTGGCTCGAGAGGTCACCTCTGTGCACAGTTCCCAAGTTCCTAAGAAAACGACCCTGGTTAACAGTAGGTAGTAAAAGGGAAGATCAATCTCGAGCTGCATCTCTCCTCCAGTCCTACATTACATAGGAGACAGTTTGATACTACTATCACCGCATTCAACATCTTCAAGCCGGGTTATTGCCGCTGCACTCTGGATGATAGTTTGGAGTGACCCAAGCTGTCGGGGCAGCCTCGGTGCAGGGGGCTAGGGTTTCGGGCCAGCCAAGGCCAATGCGGGGCCGATTTCCGGCTCGTTCTTCTCGGCCAAACCTGGAAATCGGGGAACTGAACACAGCGAACAGTGAGGTCACACAGAGATTCCACCCTCTCCTCCCTCCCACTACTCTTTCCCTCTGTCAGCCGTCCACCAGCCAATTTTTTTTGCGGCCTTCCTCGCCAGCGTGCAATTGGCTGCCACAATGCAGAGCGTAAGGCCAGCAACGATCGCGAGAGCCCTCCGGGGTGCTTGCAGGACTCAGTCTCACAACGCCGCCAAGCGATACCATTCCCGCCTTGTCTTCCAGCAGTCTGCCAGACACCATGGCCGCTCGCTTCAATCTACCCCCGCCTTCCACCCGCGGCAACTCCTTCCCCTTGCCCAAGCCCGCAATGCTTCATCATCATCATCATCATCATCATCATCATCCGACACCAACCATGGCTCCTCCTCGAACGAGGCGGCCCCGCTCCAAAAGACGCCGCTCTACGACTTCCACCTCGCCCACGGCGCAAAGATGGTCCCGTTTGGCGGCTTCCACATGCCGGTGCAGTACGCCGACCTATCAGTGGGCCAGTCGCACATCTTCACGCGAGAGCACTGCTCGCTCTTCGACGTCAGCCACATGGTGCAGCGCGTGTTCTCGGGCCCGGGGGCGGCACAGTTCCTGCAGCGCGTCACCCCGAGCGCCGTCGAGTCCCTTGCCCCGCACCGCAGCACGCTGTCGTGCCTGCTACACCCTGACGGGTCCGGCGGCATCGTCGACGACACGGTGATTTCCCGCCTGCCCGAGGGCCGCTTCTACGTCGTCACCAACGCCGGCTGTCGCGACAAGGACAACGCCTACCTCGACCGCGAGATTGCAAAATGGAACGCCGAGCCCGGCCACGAAGGCCTGCAGGTGCACGAGGAACGCCTTGAGGGACAGGGCCTGGTCGCCCTGCAGGGCCCGGACGCCGAGGCGGTTCTGGCCTCCGCCTTGGACGGCGAAGACGGACTGGACCTGAAGAAACTCTTCTTTGGACAGTCGGCCTACGCCAGACTCAAGATCCGCGAGGGGAAGATCAGCAGCAGCCCCCTGCTGATCAGCCGCGGCGGGTACACGGGCGAAGACGGGTTCGAAATCTCCATCCCCGGCGGCGAGACGGTCGCTGTGGTCGATGCGCTGCTGGCCGTGGGGGGTGCCGAGAGGGTGCGGCTCGCGGGGCTGGGCGCGCGCGACAGCCTGCGGCTAGAGGCGGGCATGTGCCTGTACGGCCACGACCTGACCGAGTCGACGACGCCCGTCGAGGCCGGGCTGAGCTGGATCATCCCCAAGGAGCGGCGCACCGCCGACTCGGGCTTCTACGGGGCCGAGGTGATTGCCAAGCAATTGGTGCCCAAGAGCAAGGGCGGGGCCGGTGTGAAATATCGGCGGGTCGGCCTCATCGTCGAGGGCTCGCCGGCGCGGGAGGGGGCCGAGATCTGGAGCCGTCCCGAAGAGGATGGAGGTGAGGCCGTCAAGCTCGGGAGGGTGACGAGCGGATGTCCGAGCCCGACGCTGGGCAAGAACATTGCCATGGGCTACATCAAGGATGGGTCTCACAAGCCTGGCACCAAGGTGAATGTGCTCGTGCGCAACCGGCCGAGGCAGGCCGTGGTGACCAAGATGCCCTTCGTGCCGACAAAGTATTGGAAGGGTGAATGAACCCTAGATGGTAAGGAAAAAGGTTTCAAGATACCGGGTACGGGATACGAAATACGGGGATACAGGTCGTTCAACACCGCATTTGCGTCATGGCGTCAGGTTTATTTGGTTATGCTTCTCATGGACAAGGTGTACTTCAACATTAGGCAGCACTACGGTGCAACACAAAGGAGGCTTGTGTCATTATAGATGAGGTCGACTGTTTTCAGTCTTTCGTCTACTACATTATCAAGCAATGCACACATGGAGATACCAAACTCGCTTTGGCAGCCACCTCAACCGTTTGCCTCTGACCTTTCCCAACGCCGTGATTATGGGATGGTGGTCTAGTCATTCTCTTGTTGAATCCGGTTTCGGGCTGTTCTAACAATGTGAGATTAGCACGGCTCTGAGATGTTGAATGCATGCTCTGCGCGTGCCGTAGGGTTGCCTATTACCTGAACACCCAGACTCCATTCCTCCAAGCCGCAGCCACTATAAGAGGATCGTACGAGCAAATGGCAAATGCTCTTGTGCTGAACATGCTGGCTCATATCTTTCGTCGCCGTTAAACACCGTTCCGCCTGCACAGCGCGGCGACAACGCTAATATCATCCAGTTTCCCTGTGTTCTATCAGCTTTACTCGCCAAAACCAGAACATGACCAGGAAGAAGTCGACTCACCACCACCGCTCGCCAGTCCCTCCTCAATGGCATGCTCCATAAATGGGCTCTCGGCAAACGGATCTACCGCGATCGTTTTCGCGGCCTCCATCAGCTCCTCGGCGACATATCCCATGCCGCCGTCATCACTAGAAGCTCCATCCAACACAGCACTTCTACCCCTGCCTTGCCCAGCCCGCCACTTCTCCAGGCTCTCGCAAACCTTTTCCACGATCTCGTGCTCCCATAGATTGTCGATGACGCCGTCCGACATGGCCAGCACCACATCTCCCTCGCGGATCGGAACTTGGTCTACCACGGCGCACGTGGCCGGCGTGTCTGGGCTGTTGGTACCAAGCTGGCGCGGGCAATCGAACCAGTGCCACTGCTCGGTGGACTTGTAGATCATCTCGCGCGTCGGCGGGCGGATCACCATAACCTGGGAATCGCCGAGGTTGGTGACATACAGGAGGGGTTCCACCGCGGCTCTTTTAGCATTCTCACCGTTCCCAATGGCGTCACCACCGACACCATCACCGGCAGCAGCCGCACTTTCACCGCTCTCAAGGCGCCGGTAGTGCAGCTGTGCGCCCGACGCCGTCGTGGTGCCCTGCCAGTCGTTAGGCGCGCTGGTAGCCTCGATGGTCTGCTCGTACGCACGCTGCAGGTAGGCGACGGGGTCGGGCTGGTACGAGTTGCCCTGGCGCGCGGCGTCTTCAAATATGGCGGTGGCCCAAAAGTGCAAAATCAGACGCGCCCACAGTCTGAACGAAACCGAAAACCGTGGGGTTTGTTGTCATTAGTAGGGGGGGAAAAAAGGCACAGCCAATTCAGCTCCAAGTAAACTCACCCGGCGTGTCCCCTTGGCCTCGTACACCAGGCGCCCACCCCGTCGTTGGCACAGATGAAGTAGTCGCTCGCAAACACGGCGTCGTCACCGTTGGTGAATCCCTGGATCAGGCGTCCGCCTACATAGGCCCGGCGGCGGCGGTCGCGGCTCCTGTCGTGCGTGCTGAGCGGGTCGCTGAAGGAGCCCGATGGCGGGGAAAGGAACGGGGGTGGAAATGGCCGCGGTGTCCGCTTCGCAAAGAGGGCGATGCCAGTGTCGAAGCGAAACGGCAGCTTGGGGAGGGCCGACGGGTCCAGCCTGCCGTCGTCATCCAGGGGTGGATACACCGCGTCGGCGGCCGGCGGCGGCTGCTGCTGGTGGGATGTAGTGTGGGTGTACCGGCGTGTCAGCGGCGGAACTTGGGAACGGAGCGATGCCGATGCTGCCAGAACGCTCGTCGGTTGGCCTTGTTTGGGCCTGGGCCGGTAGGGTCGGCACGGTCGGCAACAAGGCCATGATGGGGTTGACTCTGAGGGCAGGACATTGATGGCGGGGGCGGGCTGGGAGAAGGCCAGTGAGACTGGACCAACCGTCGCCCGCAATCTTGGGTGTGGTGCTGAGGCTAGCAGTCGGGGAGCTGGTCTTCTCATTCCAGCGGCGCGCGAGCGACTTGATGTGCCGTGACGCTGGTGGGCAGCATGCAAGAGAACGAGTGAGCTGCGATACCACAGCGGGGTTCTTTATGGTGATGTCGGTTGCACTTTCATCCAGAATCTAAGCTGTGTCATGGTTTCTGGGAGCGCTCAGCCTAAGGGAAGGCAGGCACGAAGTAGGAAGGCATGCAGTGATCCAGAACCTTATCTTATCGACCACTGCTTCACTGTGAAAGTTGTATGTATGTACTAGAAATGCAATGCACTCTTTACTGTGATATGAACGTCAGCATCCCGCACTCCAGGAAAGAGGAGCCAGTCTGCCGGGACATGCAGAATGAGATCCTCCAGTTGACCCACCGTGCTATTCGGACCGTTTGTTCTAGCCTCGATTGCTCAGTCCAGACACTGCTATGTACTGTACTGTACCAGTGCTATGACGTTGCTGTAATCAATCCCTCGTCTACTACTTACACCAATTTCAGAATACTTCGAACGTTATGTGTGTAATGTACTGCTGTGACCTGCAAACACCAGGAGAAAGCGGATACCCTTTTGCCCAACTGGACCCACCGCTGCGCGCAACAGGTCGACTTGACTGACCTTGAGCCCAATACTCTTCCCCATACATTGGCCTAGGTATGGCATGCGCGTACCCGGAAACCACATATATATAGGCAATTGAAGCTGTAGAATCCGAATCCACAGTCGGATTGATGGCGCGCGCAATGCGCGTAGAGGTATTGATGACCTGAAAATGGCCTCTTCTACGGGCGATTTTGCCAAGGACTTGCCAAGAACGTTGGAATTTTCCTTGAAAAAAATATGAAATTTCATGAAAAGTTGTAATAAAAACGAGTCATCAATAGCTCAACGCGTATATCGCGCGCCATCAATTCCACTACGGATTCGGATTCTACAGGTTCAATTCCCTACGGATGTATATATATGTGGTTTTCCGGTACGCGCATGCCATCCGCAGGCCAATGTATGGGGAAGAGTATTGGGCTCAAGGTCAGTCAAGTCGAACTTGGCTGCGCGCACGGCCAAAATTACAAGGGATCCGCTTTCTCCGGGTGTTTGCAGGTCACAATGTACACACGGTACTGTAACGTTACGCTGTACTTCTGATTTGGATTGTCACTTATACGCCCGTGTTTTGCACATTCTCTCTAACCGTTCGCCCGGAAACACTCAGACGAAGCAGACTTGGCTCAAGAAAGGTCTATCCGTTGACACGCTCTAGATAATGAAGCAAATGACAGTGTCCGCTCCGCCGCGATCGGTATGCTAAAATGTGCTAGACCAGACACCACTAATGCATGCGATGATGCAGGAGAAACAACAACCACCCGTGACCTAAGACAAGACAACTCAAAAGGAAAATGCTTGCTCGACAATCTGACCGCCCTAATTCGGGCCACTATCGCTGGGAATGCTGTCTGTTGCGGATCCAAAAGAGGGATGGTGACTAATAAAGGAATCAAGACTCGCAAACAGTCGAGTCAGGTGGAGCTCCCAAAAGACAAATGGAAAAGGTGATAAGTGATTCATGCCTGCGGTATAAGGATTTCCGCTGCTCCATCGTGATCTATGCAGCCGTACTCCGAAACACAATGCATCCTGTCTTCAACTTCAACTGCGTACTCTTGACTCATCCGGCCTCGTCAAAGTGCGCTTCTGTGATGGAATGAATGCCGCCCCTAGCTACCCTATGTAGTCTCCCCTTGGAATTGACTTTGACTCCGTTCTAGAAAGCCTGGCCTTGGTATTGCATTCGACCCGGTGTTCCCGGCCGCGGTCCGCCCGGTGATCCCACAGGCGAATAATGACCCTGAGGCGGCAGCTGAAACCCGGGCGTTTGTGGTCGTGAACCCAGACCTCCACGGCCCATGCCCACTGGCGACGGTAACGGGCCCTGCCACTGCTGCGCGTTGGCCATGTTCCAACCCCCTCCTTGCGCAAGCCCTGGGATACCTGCAGGACCGTTGTTATTAAACGAGCCTTGTGGAGGCATCATTTGCGGTCGTAGCGGCGGAGGCCCATAGCCGGGTCCTGGCTGGAAGCCCTGACCAGGCCGTGTCGGGCTCATCATGCCAGGGCCGGGACTCATGCTGCGAGGATTCTTACCTGTCATGGCTGGGCCGTACAACGAAGGCGCCCCGCCAGGCGGCATCCCCATGTTCACGGGGCTCTGTGGGCCAGTCGGAATCTGGTGGGCAACGAAATGACCCTGTTGCTGGGCATAGGCAGCCTGCGCCGCTCGTTGCGCCTGCTGGTGTTGTTCCCGCTGTCTCTGGTCAATAGCCTGCGCGACTGCCTGGCCTCCTATACCCTGCCTCATCTGCGCCCTCTCGCGCTCCCTTGCCTCGATCGCCCCAACGAGACCGCCTTGGGTTGGCGAGGGGCCCTTAATTCCAGCAAACGCGACCAAAGGGCTGCCAGTGATACGCGCGACGTGTTCTTGTTCCCGAGCCGACAGGTGTGAAGACATCTCGCCACCTGACAGGGCGGCCGCTGAACTCGGGGTAACAGGGCGGCTGGACGAGAGCAGTTCGGCCGAATTATGTCGAGAGTGGCTGCCAGGACGCTTGTAAGGCGAGGTGGGCGTGCCGGCTCTGAACTCCGTCACGGTGTTCCCCGAGGCGCTGCGCTGATGTGAATACAAAGGCGCAGCAGCCGCACGCTGTTGGACAAACTGCTCGGGGGAGACTACGTTGTTGTTCGTAGCTGTCCCAATAACAACCCCGGGTTGCCAGACAACACTTCGACGATTGGTATCTTCCGATACCTGACGAGCATGGGAGTACGCTGTGGCAGGTCCAGGGGATTTTCGCCCGGGGGTATGCGGACGAGCCTTCGAAGGGTTGGGTGATGGCGAGACTTTATTCCCAGTGATGGCAGTTGCGCCGTAGTTGATTGTCGGTCCGAAATTAATCTCGGGTATGTCGAAATCTCTGTCGGTCGCGGCTCTGGGCAGGTCTGCTGTGTCACTCCCGATAGTCTTGAGCACGCCGGCGCGGGGGCGATCCACAGACTCTTGAGTATCTATAGATGGACGCGTACTCGCATAGTCTGGGCTGGTTGTAGAAGCGTTATCGTCATGAGTATTGTCCGTGCCCCTCTCGCTACCCGGCCCACGGGGTTGTTGTCCGGGAATTAGCGGCAAAGAATTACTTGGCGGTGAATACGGCGATACGGGGGAGACGACGTCATCCCCACCGCGTTTGAGGCTTGTGGACCTTGGCGGAAGAGGCTTCCTGTTGATGGGAGGTGAATCTCCTTGGAGACGGGGGGGCTGCTGACGGCCGGGGGAAGGTGTCCGACGAGCGCCGGGAGGTGGAAATCTCGGCTGGCCAGGGGCATGCCTTTCCAAGCCCGCGGGGGTTGGGCAGCCCATATGCATGTCTCGCGTCCGAAAGTCGCGGCCATCGTGAGATGGGTGCCCGCCATTTGGTAGAGGACCTCCGTGGTGGGGATCAGGGCGGAAAGAAAGAGGAGGGTTGGCAGCCAGATCCCGCGCAAATCCTCCCACTGCTGAGCCGGGCTGTTTCTTAGATGGATCCATGTGCGACTCTCGGGGTAGACCGGGGGCATCGTGGCCGGGACGGGCATTTATCGGCGATGTTAGAACTTCATGAGATCCATTTATATCAGCATTCATTCCCAAGGCGTTGGCGCTGGCTTGTGGCAGTACCGCTGGACCTCGTGGGTCGGTTTTCGTTGGTGTGGTACCCTCGCTCCCATCATCACGGTGCCCTTCAAGGAAGTCGTCCGGAAAGGAATCTGGCGTCAGGCCTCCGGCTTTCGCAAGTTGTGATAGTGTGTTGCTTGACAAACGGGCAGTCCGCCTGCGCATTTCGGGCGAAGGAACAGGCTTTTGCTGCGGCTGAGAGCCGGCACCATGAGAGAACGCTGGCGGTGCGTTGACTGGTTCCGGTGTCTCCATACGCTGCATCCCACCGAAATTATTGACTGCGGTGTCTCTCACAGGGCTGTCGTCCTCGGAGCTCACTCTCTCAGGGGTGGAGGTTAGGTCACTAGCAAAGGTCCTAGCGCGCTCGGCGGGGCGCATCGCAGAGGGGAGTGACGAGGAGGCGTCAAAACCAAGAGAGGACGCCTCGCCTACCTGTGTATCCGAGGCGTTGCGGGAGTGCCTGGAATGTGCTGTTGGTTCAAATGGTGCCCGTCCACGGTTCGGATCCGGGGGAGCCGAGTCGTTGCGTAAGCCAGGGCGCGATAGCGACAATGACCGGGATGAACGGACAGAGCCCGCGTCATCGGCAAACCCCACCCTCGGCCGAGATGACGCCGAATTTTGAACACCGTGACTTAGGCGTTTGCCGTTGCGACTCGTGCTCCGGCTCCCGGCCTCCTCTTCCATGGCGGTCATGCGTTGCCCTGTCAGTTCCTTCAGCCGTTTCCGCCACTCCCGTTCGGACCAAGAGGAGCTCCCGTCAGTCGAAATCAATCCGCTCACATCCAGAATCTCAAGGTACCCATATTTCTTGTGCTTTGGCATTGCAAACATCAGCGAGCGCGGATCAAGAACGCTTGCGACCAAGCGGCCAGGGCGGCCGTACAGGCCGAATGTATCCCACGTTGGAAAGAGAAATCGGAGCAGCATTTCGAAACCTGACACGGCGGGGGGAGTTTCGGGCATTATGAACACAAAGCCTTCGGTGGTCGAGGGGGGGTCAGAGTGGATCGCGATCTCGCCCTCGATTTTCAAGAGCGTTGAGCCGTCAATCAATGCCTTGGACTGCGGGTAGATGGCGTAAGCAGAGTAAGCGTCGGAAATAGATGCGATTGGTCGTTGGTGCTTCTTCTTTTTCTCGGCCTCCTTCTTCGAGTCGAAGAACTTAATCTCGCCTTTCAAGATAGGAACGTGCGAGCGATCGTAGGGAGAGCGCTTCTTGAAGTCCTTTTGCGCCTTCTGGTATTCCTTCTCGCTCGGAGGTTCGATGACGCACCAGCAGCGCCGCCAGGGGACGCCAGCGCCAAATCTTACACGCACCCATTCCTGAACCGGCAGTCTCGCCCGCTCCATGATGATATTAATGTTGTTCAAGGTTTTCCCCTTTCCGGCGATTAGGGCACCCGTATAAGCCTCCTGGAGCGTGGAGTGCTCAAACATGGCCAGACGTATCCCCGAGGTCCATTGGACCAACGAATTATGTGAGTTGAAGTGAAGCAAATACCGGTTCCGGCCGGCTGTACTAATGCTTAAGATATTCTGCAGCGGCTGCTCGTCGTTAGTTCTCGTCGGAAGCGACTCAATCTACGCCTGCGTCAGCATATACAAGCGCCACTTCCATCATCGACCAAATGCACGCCTACCATCTTGATCGATGCATCCGTCAAGTTGATGAACTTGGGAAGCACCTCCCCGTGGTCACCTGCAGCGTCCAGCTCTGCGGCATCCCACAGGGAAAGCACAGTGCCGACCAGCTGGGCAAAGCATTCGGTCCATGTCCGATCTGGATTGGGCTTTCCCCCTAGGAGAACATCAGCAAGCGCAAAACTTGGGCGGGGAATAGGCGAAGCACTTACGGATGTCCTGGTCGTCGAGCTTTAGGAAATAGCCCTCATGGTACAGCTTATTGGTATGGCTATTCAGCAGGGTGAAGATGGGCTGCAGCTCAGGGAGCGTGTCCTCATTGACATCCATTAGGGGCGGATGGTACGTCTGCACCATAGACGAGGGCCGTGAACTTCTTCTGGATTTGCCCGCGGGGCTCGACACTGGCGACGAATTGTTCACTGAGGTTGATGCAGCGGCATGCTCAATCTCAGTCGGCGACGTTGCAGACGAGGCTGCAGATGTTGGCTCGCTGAAGTCTCGCTGCTGGGTAGGGGGGGGAGGCGTGGTGGTGCCAGAATCGGGGCTCGAATCCGGTTTTGACCGAGGGTCGTGAAAGTCGTCTGTTCGGGATGACGATGCAGGTGTAGGGGTCTTTGAATCCCTAGGCGCCGAGAAATGGGCAATAAACGAGCGGACTTTTTTTATGCGCGCGCCCCAGTGGTCAGCAGTCAAATGACGAGCCTTAATTACACCACCCTGGGCTGTGCCTGCCATCTAAGTTCTGGACCTTGGAAATGATCTTCCTCTGTCAAGAACCAACGGCCTCTGCGCAATGGTTGCCCGCACAGCACAGCGACACGCGACGCATACCAGTGGCAGCCTTTTGCGGCAAGAAAACGGGGACGAGACCAAGAAGAACGAAACCGAAACATAAAGCCGGAGATTGGGATTTGACAACGGTGGAAAATGCTACATACCTCGACTGCGGGCCATTGTGGGGTCGCTCTGTCTCTGACGAGAGTGACAATTTGCAGGACAGCCACGAGCAATGATTTTCTCGGGCAGCCTACCGAAGGATGAGGGTTGCGAAGGCCGGGGGTGAGAGGTTCCCTTGATGTCTTTTTGGTTGTCTTTGCCCACGAGCTACTTGTTTTGCAAGATATTCCCCTGATCAGGGCCCCATCACTGTCCGTGTAGCGTCGGTGTCCCTGGCTCCATTCGGCCACTAGGTGCGGGCGCTTCGGGAGTACACGACGAAACGGTGGCTTTGCCCTCCTCGGCTGGCTCTCGTGATTGTCGACCTAATCTTTTCTGTACTTCGTAAGGGCAGGGGTCTTTCTCGTCGTGGGTGGCAAGTTGTTGATGAAGTTGATAGATAACTCGAACTGCGAGCTGCGAACTGGTTGAGAATTCACAAGTCAATATCTTGCAAAACTGGCTCGTCATGGCCTGCAAGCACGCTAGCAAAGAGGAGACTGGAAGAAAAGGACAAAGGCCCGCTTGACCGGAGTAGACCAGGAATGATGTCGGCACGCTCGCGTCATCTAGCTTCCGATCAAAGTTCCTGGGACAAAGACTGACTTGACACTTCACACAAGACAGGCCGGACCTGGGTCGGTATGTAGGTAGGTATCAAGGTCTCAGGAGTTTCACGACGTGCAGTCACCAGCTAAGCCCTGAGACTTGCCCAGGCTCGTCCCGGTAAATCGCCTGGATAATATGTGCTTTCGACCCAGGGCTGAACTCAGTCCGTCTCGATTTCCAAGTCTCTTGTAACCGGATCTTCCGGAGAAAGCGCTGGAACATAGGAAGGTATAATTACCGCAGACACAACACGTACCTCTGGAACTGGTCGTTTAGGTCCCGAGGGGCTGAACAGAACGAGAACAGTATCTCCAAAGGAGAATAGGTGCACCGAGATGGCCAACGGAAACAGGAAGATACAGAAATACCAACGGAACATTCACACAGGCAGGTAGGGTCCCTCTTGTATTTGAGTGCCCTGTTTTGAATCGAGCCAAGTTACTTTGCAGTACTTTCCTGCCCGAGTTTCCGGGCTTCACCACATCTGGCGGGTATCTGGCGGGTACGAGCGATACGCACACTGCGTTGATTACGCAGCGAGACACCCCTCCACTTGGCGGGCACCAGGGACAACACGCTCACACGCTGCATTTGTGGACGCTACGAAGTACCACTTTGCGTGTCCCGCGGAACCCACCATCAGCTTTTCAAGGATTATAATAAAACTGCCCTGGAAGGCAGATGAGATCTTGACGCTGTCCGACGGCCTCCCACGGAGGAACCCGCATGGAACATTTATCCCAACTTAGGTTCAAGCCAACCAACAACTTGTTGGCTTTGGTGTGCAAACTCCAACCTGGAAGATCTGGCCAGAAGCGGCAACAGGAAAAGAGCTCCTTGACAGTGCAGGGCGTGCCACCCATGTCATGCGCCCAGAACGACATCATCGTTTGAGACCGCAGCACAGCACTCACCTATACACCACACATCTCCCTTCCGTGTAAACCTATTCCGGACTTAACTATAGACAATTTAAGCTCGCGTGAGAAGGGCCCCAAGGTGATCCAATTCTAATGCTGTGCTCAGGATGTCTTGCCACATTTGCGTCGCTATCGAGACGGAGTTCTGTCTAGTGTACGGAGTACTGTATGTACATACACAGTACGTACCCAGCTTATTCATGGAGGTCCACTGACGGCATCCCGTGGACCCTAGTCAGGCGTCAAGGACATGATTGGTCATTCGAGACCTCAAAAGCTCGGATGACGGACGGGCTCTGCGAAGCGGCCGTCGCCAATCGACCCTGACCGCACGCCAAAGAATTGTCATCACAAGTCAGGAAGGCAGGCGACAAGACAACCACTGTCACATTTCGCATGGAATATGTATACATCAAGGTTACAGTCCGTTGCAAACAGAATTGGTTTCGTTCATGTCCAATCGATTGAGCGGCAACCGATAAAAACTGAAACCCACAAACCCAACGGTAAGGCGAACCAGCCGGAAGCGCCCAAGACAGGCCTCCACAAAGGCATTTAGCCCCTTCTCTTTCTGAGTCCAACGTATACGTGTAAGCAGCAGGAATCACTGAACGAGACATGGCGGACATGCAGATTCGGAGCGCCTAGCCAGACCGTAGAAACATGAGGCACTTGGCGACGTTTATCTGGAACGAATGTGAATTCCTATACGAGCTTGGCATGGCCTCCACTGCCCAGAGTTCCACGTAATCGCTCGGTATTTCGCCGGTCTGGTCTGGCCGCCGAGGCCGATGTGGAGCGTCCTCCGAATGCTCCGCCACCGGGCGGTCAGTAATCAATGGAGGAAGATTTCGAGTGATACTTCAACTTCTCAGGACCTCCCTTGTAGTGTTGTAGGCACTATGTATATGGTCGATGAGCTTCCGCGAAGTTGTTTATGTCAGGAAGTATCTTTCGCTACGTAGGGAGTATATGCAGTGAGACCTCGAGGCTCAGAATCCTTCAAGATTGGGCTGCTTCCTTCTCGATTGCCGTGCACCCCCATGCCCTGCCACCCAGATACTGTATATCGTAAGCGGGACCATCCGCTTACACTTGGAGAGGCTGGCCAGCCTCCCGGTGAGATCTTGGTAATTTATTGTACTGTACAGCACATGTTTACGAGTAACGTACTTCGTACTCTGTAACCTTACTCCGTACTCTGTAACCTTACTCCGTACTCCAAAATGAATTCACCAGTGTAACGTCGAAAGTTTGGATCATTTGTATACGCGTAATTATAGCGCACCGGTACGGAGTACTAGGGTACAGTAGCGATATAATGGTAAGGAAGGTACTTACATACAAATACCGGTAGCGTATCTATACGGGGTTACGGATACAGTAGTGTAGGTACTATACGTTAGTTCGTGGAGACCAGCTCCATATCTGTTACGTCATCCGCCCTTACGGAAGTTTGAGTATTGTACTGTACATATTGTATTGCTTCGTACGCGTACACGCTTCCTGCACAGTCGCCTGCCGCCTTCGTAAGGCATTGAATTCCGTGCAACGGGACTGGTTGACGACGGTGTACGGACTTAATGCATTGTATTATACGGAGTACAAAGTATATTAGATGAATAGTGCTCTTGAAGTGCTTACCAAGACGAGCCAACGGGTAATTACCTATACCTTACATGAGGGACCTATGGTTCTGTTCGTATCGTACAATACGGTGTGGTACCCATAGTACCTTACATCCACATCAAAAAATCTACGTTACCCAGATCTGCATGGACGTCGATGCACATCTCTGTCAGACGTGGACTGCAGCACGCAGGTTCCGAGGAAACGGGAACATCCAACGCCATTACAAAGGATGGGGACCTTACCCGGCGCAAAGGCTGGCCCGATGAGGTGCCGCATAACCTTACAGCGACTCTGGATCCCGCAGATCACATAGGACACAGACTGTCGTCGACAAGCCCTATAGAAATTGGCCCATGTTGCACTAGAGCTGCAAGAGAAAACCGCAAAGAACTCGCCGCCTTAGTCTTGCCGCATTCACCGCACTACCATATTGAACAGTATGGATTTCTTGGATCTTCGTCCCCGAGCTCACACATCTCAAGAGATTTAGATCCTAGTACCAGACTGCAGGCTGGCGACCCAAGGGATGCACTTAAAGCCCCTAGGATAACGATCTTTCGAGGCTCTTTTTTCCTCATTTTCTTCCTCCCCGGCGCCTCGGGGCTTGTCGCCGTTTCCATCCGCCTGAATCGGCGCCGGCGGGAGGGCCGGCCAACAGAGTATGCCAGCCTATGGTTCCCCGTACCGGCTCGGGCCGACCTCGTTTGAAGACGATCGGTGCGCCACCCAGTGCGCAGAGTGTGGGTTGTCACTTGGATAACTCACCTGTATACTAGAAGACGTCGACCAAAGTTCATCCTAAACATCAAGTTGAACGAGAAAGCATCAGTCCAGTCTCTGGATAATGCAGGTACGTAGCAGGTTTCGCGGAAGCCCATCACGCCGGCAATTGGGGGAAGATGACTGGCAGTCGGCACCGGCAGCCAGCCGGTCTGAAAGCCGGGGTCGGGTGCAGGTCAACCCCTCGTCAGAACCATCAAGCTGGGAAGTGAACCCGGTTCGTTTGAATCCTTCCAGAGAAATGAAGATAACACAATGCACTAGCGTGATATGGGTTCCAGCCGTGCCAGCCTAAGTGTCCATTTGGTTAGAAGCAGAGCAGCAGCCAGTCAAAAGACTGGAAAGATCCAGGAGGATGGCTCTCGCGCCCCGTGCACCTGCAGGTTCGCTGAGCAATCAGCACCACTCATCCATCCACAAAATGACCTTCCTGCGTTTCAACGCAAACAGCTGGGACTCGACAGACTCTGATATCTCTTTGGATTTCCACACCGAACCGGAGGCATCTCCAGAGTACTGGGCTGGCACTCACAGCATCAGCCTTCCTGTGACTTTGTAAAAACTGTGGCCCTTCCTCGCCCCCCTGACCTGCCTGTTACCGGTATTTTCTTTTTATTTTATATGGGGTCGTATGACAAGAGCTGTTTGAGGAGGTCACTGCCGTCCGGGAAGTCTTCCGTTTCGCTGTGTTGCATGTCCCGCTGCCCACCCGGCAACCACCCACGAGCCATCTCAAGTTCAAGCGCAGACCCGCTGCCTCGTCGCCCCGTCCCCTCTGCTGATCCGCTTTTCCCTGTTTACCTGCGATTGAGAGGCAAAACGTTGCCAACGCCAACTGCTGCTCCACAACGAACAACTGAACGCGTCTTGAGTCTTCCGATGAAAAAGCGCATCCAAATTCGCTTGTGTTGTTCGCTCCCCGCAGTCAGCCCCGCCGGTCCGCCGCCCTCGCCGCCACCGCCGTCGCGGAGCTTGACAACCGTGTTGTGCACGTAAGCTTAGCTCTTGCGCAGTTGCGCAGTAGCGGGTGCCGAAGGCGTGAACACGCCAATTCCTCCCAATGGATTCCATGGCAGAAACGCAGCTCACTCAAGGTCCGTATATCCCGTCTTCACCCCAGACGGCTCTGCTTGTGTCGTCAGTTGTCTGATACGAGCGTACCCAGCGACGCAAAATGTCGTCGATCCACGGCGGTATGGCCAACAGAACTCTGGCTTCTCCGACGAAGATATCTCCGACATCATCTGTCTCCTGCTGCCATATTCAAACGGCGCCCGAGAGGAGCTGAAGAGGATTGCTGCTGAGAGCTCCCAACATATGGTTGGCAGGGATGATGTGGACGGTCTCGACCTGGACTACCAGCTGGAGGACGATGTGAGAAACTTTACGCTGCCTGACGTCGGGGAGCATCACATAGCCCTAAGGTTCTCCTCCCACGTCAAGGATCTCACTAAGGGTTTCACTTTTGGCCGTAACTCTAACCTATGCGACATCTGCCTGTCGGACGATCCATACCGACGATTGAGCAACATCCACTTCCGAATCTTCCTCAACGAGTGGGGCGTCTTAATGCTAGAAGATCAGTCGACAAATGGGACGGTAGTCGACGGAACATTGCTTAGGATGAAAGGAAACCCACCAACCGAGACGATGAGGACGCTCAGCAGCGGCTCGAAAATTAAGGTCCTGATGCACGAGGAGAGCCGAGACATTGTCTTCATAGTTCGGATTCCGCTCCGCGACGGCCAGTATCACGTTGCTTATCAACGAAACCTGGAAGCCTACATGGCGAACCGAGCCAATGCTCCCGTCGATGCAAATGAGACCATAGTGCCTGGCCCGGGTGGCCATGTACGTCCATCCTTCGCAATCAGAAGCTCCCAGGACTGCATCGCACTGACAGTATGGACTAGGTGGATATCTTCAAACCCGCTGCCCCAAAGCGCCCTGCTGTCCCAGCCGGCAAGACCAACACTGCTGTCGTGGCCCGTCGAGCCCAAGCGGCTGATAAACGTCCAAAACAGGATAACTCGGTCCGCGCTGAAGGTCTTCCAAGAGCGTGGAGCGGCTCAGACAAGTACAATCGCGTGTGCGAGATAGGCCGAGGTGCTTTCGCCACCGTATACAAGGTCACCAGGAGGCTCACTGGCCAGCCCTACGCCGCGAAGGAGCTTGACAAGCGCAAGTTCATGAAGAACGGCGTTCTGGACCAGAAAGTCGAAAACGAAATGAAGATCATGCAACGGATAAAACATGTAGGCCAACTCTTTCCCTTGTAGCGATATCTCGGTCTCCAGCTCACGCTCTGGCAGCCCAACATAGTGCAGTACATCGAGCATCTCGATTGGGACAACAGGCTCCTGATCATTATCATGGAATACGTCAACGGTGGCGACTTGGGGAAGTTGATCGCCGAACACGGACCTTTCTCCGAAATTGGCACAAAGACGATGGCAAAGCAGCTCCTGGATGCGCTGGGCTATCTGCACGAGATGAACATTACCCATCGCGATGTGAAACCGGACAACATTCTTGTCGATTCGCTGGACCCCCTCGTCGTGAAACTGACCGACTTCGGCCTGTCCAAAATGGTCGACAACGAGCAGACATTCCTCCGGACTTTCTGCGGCACGCTTCTGTACTGTGCCCCCGAAGTGTACTCAGAGTATGCCGAGTACGATAACCGCGGTCGCCGCCATCCCCGGAACCGCCGTCTCCGCCCGACGACGGGCCAGCGCTATGACCACGCTGTCGATATCTGGTCTCTGGGTGGCGTCTTATTCTATGCTCTTACAAAGAAACCACCTTTCCCAGCCAGGAGTGGTGCCAGCCATTCTGAACTTCTCCATCAAATCATGACCAAGCCGTTGGACGTATCACCACTGATACAGGAAGGCGTTTCCGAAGAAGGCATCGACTTTCTACGTCGCATGCTGGATCGTAGACCCGAGACCAGGGCGACGGTGGAATCCCTGCAAAGTCATGCGTGGCTGGCCGACTCCGGCACGCCCAAGCACTCGCAATCATTCGATGAGATTTCAGATGAAGAATTGCGCGTCAATGCTTCCCAGTTGAGCCTTGATGACGGGGCACGAGTGCCTCTAGAACATGGAGAACTACTCCCCCCTAGTGATGACGAGATTCTGGACGAGGAGGACGAAAATCTGGGCAACAACCAAGGTGACGACGATTCAGAAAAAGAAAACTATACTTTCGGCCCTGAAAACCGTCCGCAGCGCCTTTTTGGCGAAGTGAATCGCTCTGCAGTCGGAAGCTCTGGAGCGATCCCAGCGAACCGCCTGAACCTACCAGTGTCGCGTGCCAGCTTTGGATCCACTGGTACCACTGAGATTCTGGGCGGCGCAACCGAAATCAAAGACAGTTTCGACTCCGATGAGAGCCTCACCCCTCGACAAAAGTCCCAAAAGTCGCAGCCTGCGTCAGGTTTGCAGGCTTCCGTTCTCTCGGTTAATGAGAGCAGATCGATCGACGAGCTCAATAACATGACATTTGACGTGGCGTCACAAAGCCTCGGAGGTGCCGAATCCATCCTCGAGCATCTTAACATGAAGTCCGGCGGAGGCTCCATTCTCCGTACTAAGATTAGCGATCTGAATTCGAGTAAACGAAAGCCTTCGTACGAGATTGACGATGAAAATGAGGTGCCGTCAACGGAGGACCGCCGCAACCTCAAGAGGCTCCGATCTGAAGCCTCAATCAACCTAGCGGTAGAAAAAGGGATTGAGGACGAGGAGTACGAGCTTCTCGCCCAAATGCCGTCGATCCTGCGCGCTCAATCTGGTCGACAGATTGACAATCCTGTTCACAAATCCACCTATTGGTCGGCCCAGGACAGGACGACGTGGCATCTTGAATATCCGGAAATGACGCAACTCCAGCTTGACGCGTTCAAAATGGCTGCTACGGCCAGGGATGAGGAGTTCGGGCCGGGCAAGACTCCTTTGTGGGATCTGGCCATGAAATATTTCCCAGCAACTAACTGTGAGGGGAGAGGAAGTCGGGCGAGAGGTCCTCGCGGTGGGGCGGAAGAAGGTTCGATGACGTCCACAGCCCCGGCGGACGGAAGCGGCACGATCATTATGCCAGACACCCAGGGTCCAGAGCCAAGCCTGGTGCTGCCGGTACTGTCCGATCCGGCAAGGCCGGTGATCGCGTGTCTACAGTCCACACCGGACTCGGTTGTGCCCGGAATCTCGGTCATGATTACTGAATCCATGGTATCCTGGGGTAGAGCGCCGGAAAACACGCGGGTCTATCCACACAGGGGCGAAGGCAAGGTACCAAAGTATGCCTTCAAAATCCTCCTTTGGAAGGAAAACTACGACGCGGCCAGGAACATCAGGCCTTGGAATCGCTCCTCCGAGGTGGACGAGGAGTCATTCCATTTCTACATATCAACCAAGGCGACCAATGGGATATACATCAATGGCGTTCATGTTCCTTCTGACGACCCCAAAAATCCCAATGGCCCGTCGACGCATTGGTTTGCCCTTTTCGATGGCGACCTTGTGTCCATCTGGCAGACCGCGGACAGATCGCACATGACGGAACTCGTCTTTCGATGCTGCTGGGGCGGCAGCGCAAAGACCAGACCAAAGAGTGGCACGTCGTCGAAACCGTCATCTGTGCCACACGCCCTCGCAAAGAGGTTAGATGAGGTGTGCGTCAAGGCGGAGAAGAAGATGCGCAATCAAAACGAGCACGATCTGAAAATGGAGGAGGCCAATCACGACGCCGACGAGCGCATGCGCCACATTGACCGGGAGCGGCAGCGCTCCCGGACCTTCGAGCTGAAAAGGCTCGAAGCATGCCGAGCGCTTGGCATACGGAGGGTCAGTCCTGCTCCGGGCATCACGCTCGGCGAGTCGTCGGCGACCCAAACCCCTTGGTCATCCTATGTCCCGGGGGTTCGAACGGTGCCAACGGTCCGCCATGCATCCCCCAACACCCTCGATCTTTTGAGGGCTGCGAGAAGGGGGTAATCTGGCCATTTGTCATGCCAGAAAAGCTCCATGTCCTCACCTCTTTCAAAGTCGTTTTTTTACCTTGACTGGCGCGAGATACCCCGTTTGCGTTTCGAGGCAAGCACCGTCGTTCCCGCTGTTCGGCTGTCACGAACGAGCCACGCCGACGGCTTGTGTCAATATACTCAGAGCTTTTGTTCCTTTTCCCGCGGGGAATTACCCAGGGTGAGGCGCCATTGAGCCACTCAAGAAGGTGTGCGCGTTCATATCTGTTTGGAATCACCCCCGCGGCGCTGGCATCGGGGACACACACTCTCTTTGGCACTTGTGAAACAGTTTGGGGTTTGATTATCTGGTAATCCGGGATCGGTGGATATTGTGGTTCATTGGGCGTTTATGCTCTTGGGTTGTGTCGGGTGGGATGATGGGATTTAGCAAGGGAGAGTTGGGCTGGAATGTTCGGTTCTCCATCAATCGAGGCGTTATGTCAACGGCTGATACGCACAAGTGGGTTTTCAGTTTAGACACAGACAAAAAATAGATGGCTGAGACTAGCATTGCCGGTTGTTCCCTATGTATATCTGTGACATCGTGTGAGGCAGGCTCCCCCTGCCTGCTCCTTCATGATTCAATGACACCTGTGCCAGTCCAAACGTCATGTTTCCGAAGACGGAATGCAGCGTTGAGAAGGACGGGCTGCAATAATATGACCATGCCGGAGCGATGAGAACATATAGAGCAGGTGAGAAGAAAGGCGAAAGAATAGAGAGTGTGAAACTCTCCTGCTCTCGCCATCCCGCCTGCGTATAATCCGAAGGCGATAATACACCTGATAAGAAAATGATAGGAAGAAAGAAGGGATTCCGGCACTGGAAAGCAAATGATGCATCAACCGCAGGACAGATCAGCAGGCAGCATGGCCCAGTTGCCTTTTCAGTTGTCCTTGCCCCTGCCTTTGCTCTTGCCCATCGACTTAGCCTTCGCCTTGCCCTTTCCGCCAGCAAGGACGGCATGCGCCTTTTCGATTTCCCCCGCCGTGACCGAATCAACCTCCCAAATGCGGCTATTGTTGTTGTCGCTGTTGTTGTAGTACGACGGCTGCCCAAGGCCAAACTCAAACGGCGAGGGCACACCGGAGCGCAGGCTCTCAGCATTCCAGGGTTGGGTAGTTGCTGCCGCGGAGAAATGGCCATAAGACTCGGCAAGCTCGGGCGACGTCTTGCCGCTCGACGACGAGGTAGCATCCTCCTCGCTGGAGCCGGAGCCGGTTGCCGAGGAGAAGGACTCTGCGGGATTGTCCATGGCAGCAGGAGCCGCGCCATCATAGCCCGGACCGCGCTCGGTGTTGATCTTGTCGCCATCGTAGTAATGGTCGGGTTGAAATTCCCAGAAGCCGAATTCACCCGCAAGGGTTCTCAGATAGGCGCCTTCCTCGGAGGCCCAGTACATGTCGGAGACGCCCATGCGGCATGACTGGGCCGGCTCATGTTCGTCATCGCGCTGCTGGGTGTGCCGGGGTTCGGGCTTGGGCTTTGGGTATCGCTTTGGCTTGAATTGGGAAGTCTCGACTTGCTCCCGGTATCTGGGGAAGCAGCTGTATTTGTGCTCACGACGCTTCTTGGCGCTGTTGACGGGAGCAGTGGGCGGGTTATGGTGCTCACCTCGTTCCAGCTTTTCCGGCTGGTGTTGGGCCCGCTCTGGCTCAAGCGGCTTGGCGAACTGCTGCGGCTTTGCGTTTTGGTGCTGCTCCGGACGGTCCCGGCGTTCAGACAGCGTGGTGTGATACATATCGTCCAATGTACGCTCCTTAGACATGGTGTTCGGAACATCGGTTTGGGTGTTCAGAGCCTGGTAATCTTTCACTGAGCTGGCAACGCCGCTCAGATTCTCGTAGCTCGCGGCAGAAGCTGCATTCAGAGGTTCTAGGTCCTCAACGTCGTCTCGGGAACCGTCTTTGGCTAGAATGCCAGGAGCAAGAGATTCAGAAGAGGCCACGTTATCTCCGCGGTCAAGAGGATCGGGTTGAAGAGCATAAGGGCGACCCAAACGCTGGTTGTGTTGGTGTCCTCTTGTGTCCTCCTCGACGCTACTCCTCTTCGTCGTCATCGACTCTTCACAGAGCAGCCGACTGAGCTCTTGCTTTCCCTCCTTCTCCACACTCTTCTTGCATTTCCCACAAATTTCCGACCAAGGAGGGAGGTCGGTAGTCATATACATCTCGTGATAGTGCTGAGATCGAAGTACACCGCAGTTCGAGCACCATTGCTTGTTGTCGATGTGAGCATAGAGTCTGTTGGCGCGGCGGTGGCGACTCCCCACCCGGCCACGATCAGCGATCCTCAGTTTCCGATCCTGACGGCAGCGATGACAGAGGCTGGGTATCGGATTCTCGCCGCGCTTGACAGGGTGTTTCTGATGGTAATCATCGGACCTCGTCTTGCCGCAGACGAAACAGGAAAGCTCCGTAAATTGTCCAGCTTCTTCAGACTGCTTTTTTAGCTCAAGATGATCCTTTGATCGCTCAGCTTCGTCAGGAGCCTCATTGCCTCTGGCTTTCGCTTCCGAAGTGTCCCGGCCACAGGCTAGAATGAAGTGGTACTTCTCAGTCTTGACCTTGCGGCCCGACGAGATGCCCTGCTTTCTGTCGTCCACTTCCCAATCCACCTCTTTGATGCTGATCAGAGTGAGGTCAGCAAACCATTCCCGGGTATAAAGAAACAAGCCCGATCCGCTTGGGTTTTTCGTGCTAAGAGCGAAGCGAGAATTTCCACAATAGGGAATCGACCGGGTCGATGAGGTTGAGATAGGGCAGATGCTGGGATGGTTCAAGAGATTACTTACACACTGAAGCGCATCTTGCTGATGGGCACCGAGACTCAACAGTTACACTGCTGGATACCCTAGACACCGAACAAGATGGCAGCAGCTAATGTGGATCGAAATGGCGGGAGAGTTGTTGAGGTCTAGGCGCGAAACAAGAAGAATGGAGTGACGCGTTGCGGAGAGTTTGCAAGCGTGGCTGTCGAGGAGACGCCGAGCACGATTCTGAAAGCGCCCTTGTTCTCTCACTGCCAAATATTTCCGCCAGTTTCTGCTTAGTCGTTATTGAGACGCCATTTACCTATTGAGGAGGCCAATGGATGCATTGTTCAGCAGAAGCAAGCACACACAATAGGCCGCACGCACGCTCAGTGAGGGTAATTGTGGAAAAATTTGACGATTGTGCCGACGCCGGCGACAGGTAGTAATTCACGTATCCATGTTTTCATCTGATATACCACACCCATTTGTTTTTCCGGATCCTTCCCAGACCATAATGAGAAAAGAAAATCGGTTGTGACATACTTGTTTATACACAAAAGGCCCTCTATAAAAGCTATGTCCTAATCTACCCGGAGGAGCCTAGGCCCTCTCTTCTTCGTGGCCTTCTTCTTTTTGTGCCCGCGATCGAATGCCGCCGCTGACGCATGGTCGCGGCCAAGATTATCAAGGTCCTTGACCTTGTAGATGCGAATAATCCAGTTCTCGCTTGTGAACGCCTCTTCGATCGTGCTGAGCGATGGCCCCACCTCTGGGAGGCGGACGCCACGCATCCGGTCCATGGCTTGGCCTGGCGGAAAGAGCTTGTTGTAGTTGTAGTACGACATCTTGTACCTATTAGTCGGTCAGCATCTGTATTTTTTGCCTTGTGATGGCGTAATCCTCGGAATTACTCACATCAAGCTGTTCTTCATGGTTTCAGTAGCATCACCATCCACGCGGTACTCGCCTCGTGGGGTGAAGAATGCGCGTTCGCTGACCTCGTCAGGCCAGATGCCCTCGGCGATACGCACCATCCACAAGAACTTGTTGATGTCATCGCCCGAGTAACCAAGGAGACCGCCAAATACGACCAAGACGTAGTCAACCTCGTGTTGGCGCATGATCGGGTAGCTGACCTCCTCGCGCGAGCTCATTGCCTTGCCCACTGTCGCAATATGTGTGTTGTTCCACGTGTTATTGTCGACTAGCGTCGGACGGTCGGCCATTCCACCAATCTGGTAACCGTAATCCCACCATGACATGATCTTGGCATCCTCGCGCGTGTTCTGCCGAAGCCACTGGTATGCCTCGCGGTAGTCGTCGATGATGTGCTGACTGCCATCCGGCAATCTGCTTGCCAGAACGACTGACGGCGATGAGTAGGCATTGGACGTCACCCACGTGCAGTGCAGAACGAACAGCAACAGGTAGACTGTTAGGGCGCCTACGATGGCCACCTTGCTGTAAAGCCCATAGACACCGATCAGTGGCTTGCTTGTCGATTTGAGGCCAGATTTGACCGCTTTCTTTGCAGCTCCATCACCACCGTCCGCCGGCTGGCCCTCCACAGGCTTGGGGGACTTGGCAGTGAGATAAATGTCGAGGAGCGTCGAGACCGCGATGGCCGCGGCAACACAAACCACAGGTGTAAGGGTGAGCATCAGGCGGACCATCACGCCCGCGAAGTAGCTTCCAAACAGAGCATAGACAACAATGAAAACGTGCTGATCAGCAAGCTCCTGGAAGCAAAGGTAGACGCCGACGGGGAAAAGCCAGATCAGCATGTTAAGGTCAAAGAAAAAGGCGGGCCATGCCGTCGGTTGGTGCTCCGACACCGAGGCAATGATTGGGATGTGGATTTTGGCGTAACCTGTGTCCCAGAGCGAGTAGAACCGACCGCTCCAGGGGGCAATGAATCCGGCGCTGGTAGCGATGGCCAATGCCGCCAAACCTAACCCGAAGCTTCCGCCGGCAAACACCCATAAGAACGTCTGGAACTGGCGGCTCGGAATCGCTGAGCGGACGTAATCCAGAAAAGCGAGCAGCTGAAGGAAGCCAAAGATGCCTGTGTATGGTTAGCGGATTAGACGTCGGCCCCCGAATTCTCTCAGGGCAATGAGCTCACCCAAAGCCGGCATGTGTTCACTGGTCTTCACAGGCAGGAAACCAACGAAAGGAATCTGCATGCTGGCCAATGTGCCCAAGGCATACCACGTGGTATACGAAACATACAGCCGGGTGCTGTAGCGGCCCATGCAGATCAGAACGAAGGCGTGGAGGGGCAGAAGACAGGTAATGAAGGCATAGCCTCCCCAAGAGGCAACCATGTAGCCATAAAACAAAGCGCAGAGAGCCCCCCACAACATGGAGCCTTGTTTCAATGCCTTGATCCAGAGGTAGAAGGTAAAGACCAACAGGAAGATGGCGATAGCTTCGTTGTCATAGCTGCCAGCAACCGACCGAGAGATATAGCCGGGGGCAATGCCCATGAAGGCGGCGGCTAGGAGACCGGCCGAATTCGACGTGGTCATCTCATTGGTAAGAAGATAGGCGGCAATGGCTGTAAGCCCGGAGAAACCCGGAGCAAGGAGAACGCAGATATTCCGGATATCTACGGGAATCGTGAGGGCTCGAAGGGCGTGGTAGATGACGCCGCTCGTCACCATCAGGCCGGGATAGAGAGTACCACCAGTCACGCGGCCCAGGGGATGCCATGTCCGGTCGTCGAACCAGTCCCAGAATTTGTAGAAACCATGCGCAACAAGGTACTTGGTCGCTCGGAAGTTGAACCACGGATCGACTGATGGATGTTAGTGAGCTAACCGGGATGAAGAGTTGATGCGACGGGGGGGGACCAACACTCATGGATAATGCTCTCAAATCCTATATCAGAGTAGAATTCGGTGGTTAGCATGCAGGAAAGATGCAATTGGGTCCCAAGGTATGGCGTGTGGCAACAGTCGAACGCTGATAATACAATCCTGTATCCCTCCGGGAAGGAGACACTTACGAATCACTGAGAACAGGCGACTTGCAATTGCGGCGCCAGCGATGAGGGCGAGGATGACAACACGCAGCACGCTGCGGGTGCTCTTCGCCTTCCCCGCGCTGGCGAGGGCGTGAAGCGGATCGGCCGACATGGTGGCCCTGCGTTGGAGTGTGGTGCTGCCTCTCGCCAGTGAAGCTGGAACTCAACGTGCACTTTTGGAGAGGACAGTTTGGAGCTTCGTATCATTGACCAGGGGTCGGTTCTTGGCGCACTTACATAATCGGCCTCAAGGACCCACTCCCCGTTTGAGTTTCAGCCGGGCGGTGAAGATTTACCGTAACATTACGGAGGTTGGGGCCAAAAGTTATCATCACTCTCTGTTAGGGCCAAGCCTATGAACGTGCGACGAACTGAGAAAAGCATACTTACACTGTATTTAATTTGGGCATAGCGGTTTCTCTCCCTCTTCGCTGATTGGGCACCGCCCATGAAGCCCCCCAGCGCAGGGAGATGCGCACTATGCCTACAGTGGTTAGGGGCCAGTGGCTGACATGGGCTGTGCGAGCCTTACTGTATCCGGGCCTTGGCAGTCTTGGCTATCTTGGAGTGATGATAACTTTTGGCCCCAACCTCCGTACCTATATTCCGAAGAAAAATGCCAGCCTCGCAGGGGATTTGCAGCTTGCACGAGAGAGCCTGTCAAACCAGTGCTGGAAAGAGCTGATTCGGGAATCGAATCATGTGTTCCTGCGAACGCGTATAGTGGCAGCCTCAATCACATCGTTGACAAGACACGGTACATTCGGGCATCTAAAGTTATGAGCCTTCCCCATCCGCGCAATGACACCAAATGGGAACCCCAAAAGAAGATACCAGCTGCACAGAACAGGGCGGGACTCATGCCCATCACCAGGCTCATCGACCTGCAGTATGATGCTACAGAATCCCAGACACCCACCAGCGCATCCAGCATGCCACGTGCATCACCAACCAGGGGGAACCAACGTGGGCGTTCAGCGTAGCGCTTTCGTTTTTCATTCGGCGAACGGTGTAATACCTAGCCGGACCGAGAAATCATTGACCTCGTATAACACCCAGAAGACTTGGAAGCAGAATCCCATGGGATGATGCAGTGTGTTGTGTTGAGTGCGAAACCTTTTTATAACCGCGCCGCCAGTGCCCTAGTTACACCCATCCCATTACCCGGAGAACTCCTCTATGCAGCCTGAACGCCCAGTCAGCATTGCCCATTCCGTCAAGCACGGCAGATGGCCCACCCCATCGCTTGTTCCCATCCTTCAGGCGCTTCATACCTTGACGGCAAATTTCCGCTGCGGGAAGTGCGTTTGGCGCTTCTTGGTTTTCTCCAGCACTCTTGACGCGTCCTCCTTGGACAGGCGGCGGCGGATGGCACGAGTCTGCTTGGCTCGGAGATCGAGAGGAAGGTATTTCTTGTTCTTGTAGAACAGGCGGAGCTGAGCCCTTTGCTTCGCGTTGATGACGGTCAGGACACGGGCGATCGACTTGCGGAGATCGTGGCTGTCGGTCGAGAAAAGCGTGGTCAGTTAAAACTGTCTTAATCGTCCTCCACCACTGCTTCTTCCCCTTTGGTCGATTTTTCAGCGCGGCGTGTCGGAATACGAGTCGACGTACATCTTGGTGAGCTTGGTGCCCGAGGAGACGATCTTCTGAATCCTCAGCTGGCCCAGCTCAGTCTTGAGCTCGCCAAGCTGCTTGGTGAGCTCGTCCTTGCTCTTAGACCATAATTGGCCTGCCTTGACCTTTCCGGAAGACTGTGAAGAAGTGGTTAGCCCTTAGATCCAGCATTCCAAACCTTCGACTTGCAAAGATCCAATAGGCGGGGGTAATGGCCCGAAGGCACGGGATCCAGCAACAATTTTGACCCGCGAAAAAAAAGAGGACATGGAATGGCAAAATACACCTACCATTGTAAAAGATCGGGTGTCGAGTCAAATGGGCGATGGGAAACGGTTCCTTTGACAGCGACGAGTCTTCGGGTCGTTGGATGGGAACAGCCTCTCCTCGCGGCTCTCAGGCTAACAAAATCTGAGTAGTGTGGATGCGCAAAATGGCATGGAGGGCGGAAAACCCTACGGATGCAAATGGCCCGTGCGCTGCACTTGCCTGAGGCGCGGACCCACCACAATTCCAGAAACGGTTTAGCTTGGGGTTTGGTGGTCTTCGAACTTGCGCACAACCAGTCGCTCACTCATTTCAAAATCTCGAGCAGCAGTCAAAGGCGTTGACGACCGACCACGAATTTACTAACGCACCACACAGTCAAAGCGCCCAAGATGTCGTCGGCTCCCACGTCAAAGACCTTTGGCAAGTCGACTCGGTCGATACCCAATCCGTCCGACAAGGCTCAGAAATGGTACCCTGCTGAGGAAGAGGCCAAGCCGCGCCAGGTACGTGGTTGCACTCTTGAACCTGATATTCGGCACTGCAATCGTTCCCGGGAGTGCGAATCGGGTTGGGGCTCGAGGTCAATTTGGTTTCGACTGGCTGGAGTGGGCAACATGTGTCGCGGAGACGATCTGGAAGCGCAGAAACAGGGGAGCAACAGGGAAGGAGCTCGGAATTGCTGTTAAAGAGCATGGGAGGTCTCGGTTGTTGCCGGATTGACGGGAAAAGAGTCGTCTTGAAAATGTGCCCGGTTCTAACAATCATTTCCAGGTCCGCAAGGCCCTCCGTCCGTGGGCTCCCCGCAGCTCTCTTCAGCCCGGCACCGTTCTGATACTGCTCGCTGGTCGATTCCGTGGCAAGCGCGTTGTCCTCCTCAAGACCCTCGACCAGGGTGTTCTGCTCGTTACCGGCCCCTTCAAGATCAACGGTGTTCCGCTCCGCCGTGTCAACTCGAGATACGTGATTGCCACATCACTCAAGGTCGACCTGTCCGGCATCGACGAGGCCAAGATCGAGGAGGTCTCGCGACCGAAGTACTTTACGGCAGAGAAGGCCAAGGAGAAGGCTGGCGAGGAGGCATTCTTCAAGCAGGGAGAGAAGCCACAGGTACGATCTGAATCCGGCCAATGGTTTCACATACCTCGCATGGAATGCAGGGCTGACGATAATGACAGAAGAAGGAGGTGTCCAGCAGCCGGGCGGCTGACCAGAAGGCCATCGACAAGGCCCTTATCGCCAACATCAAGAAGGTCGACATGCTCGCGAGCTACCTTGCATCTTCTTTCAGCCTTCGCAAGGGCGACAAGCCCCACCTGATGAAGTTTTAAGGGGCAGCGAAAGGGGCGCAGGGGAACGACGGGAGGTTGGAGGGCGCGGTTTACGGTATGGCTTGGCCAATTGCATTTGGACGTTTGACGGCTCTCGGTTCATTACGGCGTCTGTAATGAGGGTTTACAGTCATCAAGATCACAAAATCTCCGGGCTTTGCAGAGGATCGGAGCCACGAACATCAATCGGGTTAAGAGCACATGAGATGCCCCCGGTGATATGTACATGGGATTTCGTGATACGCACTGGGGATGGCTGAATACAGCAAGGCACAGTCAGATGGGCCTTGATTCCGGTGTCAAAAAGACAAGTCCTACAAAATGATCGGGGCAAGTGAAATGGTTTTTGAAAGTCATTGTGATGAACTAAACAATGAGTTCAAGGAGCCCAGTTGAGTCTTCTTCCGGGTCCCGCCAGTTGTGCACTTGGTAAGGCTGAGGCACCTGTCGCTCTGACGTAACGTTAGGCGTATGAATTAGCACCGCCACATTCACGGACAGAGTTACAAAACATGATTGCAAGTTTCAGAGACATCCCGATCTTCCACAGTGGCAGCAGCATTGTTGCACCATTCTAGGGTCTCATCAAGTCGGCTCTATTACGTTACCGGATCGTTGCCAAGCTTTAGGTTGTCCGTATCTCGATCCAGCGGTCTGCCCTGGCTTTGTTCCCAAGCTGCCGAAGTGCATTTGCTCTTGTTAGACACGTAACTTAATTACTTGTGGCGCTCTCTTTGCACTCAAAGCCACACAGGATCCACACTCAACCTCCGTCTCAAGAGACAACACTATCGGTGAGACCACAGTAGTTCTTTCGACGAGGAATTCATAATTTGGCGCCGACGTTCGGAGGCTGTCGGCTGCCGTTCCCTACGATTGTTTTTCGCCGCTGCAGCAGGCAATATGGCGACAACAGCAGGTCACAACTGGGCCCAGCTGAGGCAACAGGCCCGGGCATTGGAGGCACAGGTGAGGAACAGGATCTCGGTTGAACGAGTCTCGGAGGTTTTCCGCTGACCGGATTTTACAGACCGAGACATATCTGCAAACATATTCGCAGTTCTCTACGCAGACGAGCATACCGCCGAAGCCGACGAAGGAGGAGAAGAATACCGAGACAAAACTGCAAGAGCTGCTAGACAAGGCAAGTCCAGCAACTCCTGACTCCGACGCATACTCTCCTTGATGTCCGGGATCCGCTCGTCCATTCCATAGCTAACCCCCCCGTCCTCACACAGCGCGAAGGCGTCATTGCCCAGCTCGGCCGGCTTCTCGATTCCGAAGCGACGCTGACCGCCTCAGCGCTGAAGCAGAACAACCTGGCACTACTGCGCGACAAGCTGGCGGACCACCGGCGCGACCTGGCGCGGCTGCGGGGGGCGCTCAAGGAGGCGCGCGAGCGGGCCAACCTGCTGGGCAGCGTGCGGGACGACATATCGGCCTACCGCGCGGCCAACCCGGCGGCGGCCGAGGCCGAGTACATGCTGGACGAGCGGGCGCGGCTGGACCGCAGCCATGACGTGGCCGACAGCGTGCTGAGCCAGGCGTACGCGGTGCAGGACAGCTTCGCGCTGCAGCGCGAGACGCTGGCAAACATCAACCGCCGCATCACGCACGCCGCGAGCCACGTCCCGGGGATCAACACGCTGATTGGGCGCATATCGAGCAAGAAGCGGCGGGACGGCATCATCATGGGGTCGTTTATCGCGTTTTGCTTCCTCGTTTTTTGGTTCTTCCTGTGAAAGTGATGGGGGGGAGCGCATGCTCGCACTATGGGATGGAGGTTATGTTTAATTCGAGTTCAAAGGGAACGCCGACGGGCCACACACACTGTATCAAACTTTGTTTTCTCCCTATTTAGGAAAGCATGGCATGGAATTGGGGGTTCAGGGCGTCTGGAGTTGGGTCTACGATAGCACGGATCCTTTGCTTGGAATATTTGATCAAGTATGGTTTACTCGAACATGGCATGCCATTTGAGTTCTATTCCAGTCTTTTCTTCCATCGATTCTTACAGTCATTATGGGTATTCTACAGGAGGGGCGTTACTGACCAAAATGGGGTATCACAGTCCGCGGTCCAGCAACCGTATCCGTCTGCCTACTGCTCCGCGGCTTTCTTCGCCACAGGCTTCATCGTATAGTGCTCTCCAACTCCTTGCTTGCTCATTTCCTCCAGGATCCTCTGCAAGCCCTTCACTAAGCCCTCCCTCTCCCCTGGCTCGGCAGGACCGCTTCCAGCCCAGCGGATCCTGCATTGGTGGTCCACGAGGTAGGTATACCCGACCTTGCTGTTGAGCAACCCAATGGACTCGCGGATCTCGTCTGTAATGCCCTTCCGTACCAGGAAGTACTTGTCCCAGTTCTCCTTACCGACCCTCCTGCGCAGTGAACCCAAGAACAAACGGATCAACCATGCCTTGAGCATATCCTGTTCCACATTGACCTGCACCAACTGAGCACGCCCGGCGCTGGCGCCGAGCAGTTCGTGCAGCGCAGGGTTCTCCTTTGCTCCGGTGAAGGTGCGGGCCTGTTGTTCGGCCCACATGCTGCTGAAGATGGTCACGACCGAGGCGCGGCCCTCGAGCAGCGGCGTCGTATCCGCGGATTTGGCGGCGGGCGTCTTGCCAAGGGTCCGGCCGTGCAAGTTTGGGAAATAAAGCGAGAGATCGGCCCTAAACAGCCGCGGCGGGGCAAGGAACGTCTTGCCCTCGTAGAATTGAAGGTTCACCCAGTCGCGGAAGTAGGGACGTGCCATCTGGGATTTGCTGGATCGATGTTAGCTTGAAGGGAGCTTTGCAAGGCAGTTAGTGACATTTTGGCTCACAGGTATTCCCGGCGCTCGAGATGCTTCTCGTAGTTGACAAAGTCATCTCGGCGCTGCTTGATGCTGCGCGAGTCGACGCCAGTGTTCTGGCCGGCACTGGGCGGAAAATTCATGCCAATTGGCCTCGCAAGCGGCGTCGGGGTAAACTCCTTGAGCTTTTTGCCGTATGATCGCGGTGCATGGGCGAGCGGTCCTTCCGGTACGGCGCCATGACTGCTTCCCGGGGCGGCGATGCTCGGCGATGATTGACTTGCGTCCGGGGATGGGGTAGGCGGCTTGTCGGCCAGCCGGCGATAGGACACACTGAAGGATCGCCATTGGCACAGCAAGCAGGTTACTGTCTGCGTGCTTGTCCGGATGCCGGCGCGGGTGGTCATGGTGGAAATGTGCGACAGTGTCTCAATGGACCCCGCGACGACATCATGTTCATCGTCGCAATTGCAAGTCTCGCTCCGAGAAATTTACACAGAGCACGGCAAAAAAGGCTTGGCGCCCCACTCCCTTCTCACCTCGTCTGTTGTCCGCCCGGCGATCAGCCCATCTCCACTGCTGCTGTGGGGGTGCCTTCCGTTTGGATCTGGGGTTGGGCATCAGCCAAGAGGATTCCGGGAGCGGTTATTCGCGGGGTTTGCGTGACTGACCCTGGCTGCTCGGCTCAACGTCATTCAGCAGGACCATAAGCCGTAGCAAGCCATGGGATTGAGAAACCAAGGTGCCTTCCTTGACAAGGGGACGGACGCGCGTGGATCACTCAAACTCTGAATATGTAACCGTAAGCAAGCCAGAAAGGTTTGGATATTGAATGCTTCTGTCGACCATGTTCTGGAGTCGGAGTTCTCGCGCGGTGCGCCAGCAATGGCGTCTTTACAGTAGCCTCAGTCGGCAGTCTCGACACTTGCGCGCCCCAACTCCCTCTCCGCTCTCTCCGCTGTCTGCGCCGACGGCAAGGGCCTTCCACGCAACAGGTGCACTCAGCGTCGTAAAGCCCGTGCTGCTCGCCGATATTGGGGAAGGTATGCTTGCGCTAAGCACTGCGACTTGCCTATGCCTGAACTTCCAAGGTTAACAACAACATCTGCTTCACAGGCATTGTCGAAGTCGAGATCATCCAATGGTTCGTCGAACCTGGGGCTCGTGTCGAGGAGTTCTCGCCGCTATGCGAAGTCCAGAGTGACAAGGCCTCGGTCGAAATTACCAGCCGCTTCGCGGGTGTTGTCAAGAAGCTACACTACGAGGCCGGTGAGGTAGCCAAGGTCGGGAAAGCCTTTGTCGACATCGACATTGAGGGAGACGCAAAAGATGAGGCCCTAGCGGCTCTAACACCGCCTGAGCCTGCGCAGCAGGAGAGCAATCGGGAGTCAGATGCAGTTCCCGCGTCTACAGCAACTCACGCACCGGAACCTGCGCTAAGGGAGAATCGAGCACAAGACGCACCGACACAGAAAGGGAAACATGCAACACTCGCAACGCCCGCTGTCAGGCATCTCTCAAAGGAGTTGTCAGTCGACATCTCACAGATCAATGGAACAGGCAGGGACGGAAGAGTCACCAAGGAGGATATTTACAGATTTGTCGAGAGAAGGGACGCAGCACCTTCTCGGGTGCCGCCTCCACAGCCATCCCCTGCGATGCCTGCGGCTGGCATGTTCTCGTCACCAGCAGCGCCGGGCTCCGAGGAGCAGAAGGAAACACCGCTTGCTTTAACAAGAACGCAGGAGATGATGTTCAAGACCATGACGCGCTCGCTTAGCATACCTCACTTCCTGTATGCCGACGAAGTCGACTTTACGTCGCTCGTCGAGCTGCGTGGGCGTCTCAACAAAGTCTTATCCAAGTCTGGCCTGAGCGACGGCCAAGTCAGCAAGCTCTCCTACCTCCCATTCATCATCAAGGCCGTGTCGATGGCGTTATACAAGTATCCGATTCTCAATGCAAGGGTCGATGTCGAGAGCGCAAACGGCAACGGCAAACCGAAGCTCGTCCTACGGAGCCAGCACAACATTGGCGTCGCCATGGACACGCCGTCCGGGCTGCTTGTGCCCGTCATCAAGAACGTGGGGTCTTTGAACATTCTCGGTATAGCTGCCGAGCTTGCTAGGTTGCAGAGCCTGGCCGTAGTAGGAAAGCTCTCCCCGCAAGACATGTCCGGGGGCACCATCACGGTCAGCAACATTGGCAATATCGGCGGAACGTACCTTTCGCCAGTGGTTGTGGAGCGGGAAGTGGCCATCCTCGGTATCGGCCGCATGCGCACCGTGCCAGCGTTCTCCACGACGCCCGGGGAAGAGGACAAGGTGGTGCGACGGCAGGTGTGCAATTTCAGCTGGAGTGCCGACCACCGAGTCGTCGACGGCGCAACCATGGCCCGTGCAGCCGAGGTTGTGAGGGCCATTGTCGAGGAGCCGGATGTCATGGTCATGCACCTGCGGTAGAGCCGCAGCCAGCAAGCGGCGCAACAAATGCGGCCAGTGGCCAGGATTAGCAGCCCGTCATCCGGCCGCCTTATTCGTGTGGACATCCTGACTCAGTTAGACACAAAGCGAACACGCAAAGCAAGCGGGATACAAGCGTTGATGTTGGTTTTTAGAATCAAGCAGGCCAGCGGCTCAGGTCGATGTCTACGCAGAGAAAGAGCGACAAATTCGATTATACCCGAGGAGATCTATTTTTCGAAGACTTGTGATGGGGTCGTGTTCCGTGATCCCGAAGCTAGGCGATATTCTCCTCAGAGAGCGATGCTGTCCCTTTGTACGACCTTTCACACTGGACCGCTTGCAACCTGCCCTCCTCGTTAATAATTGCCGGTCGCTACCACAAGACGCTCCTAACTCCCGCCCCTCGCATACCGTGTCACCCAGGCTGCCTCTTGACCAAGGAGGAGCGTGTTCTACCCTCCCCGCCCCTCTTTCCCCCGCTCTTCTTCTCTGTTACTTCTGAAGCGGTGTAAGCTACCAGCCAAGTACAGGCCGATACACAACATGCGTTTTCTAAACCCTTTCAAGCAAATACAATGCTGTACATCTGAGGCGGTTTACGTACGTACCGGGCTAAATTAAGGAGCTCAGTCCCAGAAGGTCCGTCTGCTTAGTGATTTTTATTCATAACCTTTTCCGTGGTTGGTGCTTCCTCGGAGTCCACGGCAGTCTTTTGTCTGCGCGGCATCGTTCTCACATTCATCATACCTACCCAAACCACCACGTTCAACGTACCGGCCTACTAGTAATCCGGCGCCCGCCAAGCATGCACTACCGTATGTATAAACACTACTCTGCGCAGACCCTGTCGGTCTCTCAAGCGATTCCAGGTACACGGGAGCGAGGAACAGAGCCAAGCCGCCCTGTGGTGTAGTGTATGTACAGCGGGTGCCAGTTTAACCGGGGCACGTCAAGACCTTAATAAGAGCCCCGTTCGCGGTGAGATAGAAAGATGCCGCTTCGGGGGTTGGTTGGTCATTGTCCAAGTGGGCTGGAGGCGAGGTTTACAGCGAAGGTGATGGATGAATCGGATGGCTAAATTCCCAGGCACACGTACTTTCGTGCACTATCCATACATATCGCTGTGCTTCGACGTGTGGAGTCCATTCTGGCCTCGGCAGTAGTTTTGTGCCCTCTTGTTTTTTTAGCCGTCTATTTACGTTGAGAAGTCGAGGCGTGGGAGAAGAAAGTTTAGAATAGGGGTCGCTACCAAAAGCTAGCCGATATCAAATTTTGAAAAAGGGGGCAGGTTTCACACAAACATTCGGTGGAACGGGAACGGCCGGAGATGGACTCAAGCCAACTGTAAGTAGCAATACGAATAATGCATTTTGATTCTCGCACGGCATCACGCGAAACTGGAATTCAGTAAATCTATGGACTCATGCCCTGCGCTGGGCTAATACTCGCGGTGTCGTTACCCTAACCCGACTGCCATCCCTATGCACCATTGCTCACTCCCTATTTGAACGCCCAAGCACGGAAGATCGAGGCCCTGTGGCCTACACCTACCCACGATGCGAATGAAGCTCCTCCGAAACGACAGGTGGAGAGGAATTGGCACCCTCTACACACTGCCCTGTTGCCTTCCTGTTCCCCCAACCGTGCGCCGGAGGAGGAAGGTAATGACCAGAGGAAGAGCAACCACAGCAAACCCAGTCCCAGAAAAGAATTGATGGTGTAATATCAACGCCGACTCCATAATAATCGAATGCAACGTAACAACGGACTTCGATTTGCCCCTCCCCTATCCCGTAATGGGTTCTTTAGGCGGCCGATTCTTGCGAATCGGCCTTGATCCCGTCCATGACCTGCCGAACCCGTTTCAAGGCATCCGCCATGACCTCCTCGACCGGCCGGCTGACGTCAATGGTGATGACGTCGGTTTCGTCCGCCCTCGGTCGCTCGAGAACCTCAAACTGGCTGTGAACCATGTTGGCGCCCATGTAGTGGTTCTTGCGCGCGAGCACCCTTTGCAGGAGGAGCTCCTCGGGAGCGTCGAGGTAGATGAAGTGCAGGTAAAGATTCGGAGTAAAGTAGGGCGCCACCCGGATGACGTCGCGGTACTTGCGCTTTAAAGCAGAGCACGTCAGCACTACGCCGTCGTTGCCCCGGTCAAGTTCGTGGATCGCCGCCTCCCGCAGAGCCGTCAGCCAGTCCCATCGGTCCGCGTCCGTAAGCGGAATGCCGGCACTCATCTTGTCGATGTTGGCCTGTGGGTGATACTGCGAGAGGTTATGGTGAGCATTGGGATTCGATCACTGCAGCTCTTGTACGGACGAGGCTTACCTCATCGCCCTCGATGTAGGGTAGTTGCAAGGCGTTTGACAAGTATTTTGCTACCGTACTTTTCCCACACCCCGCGGGCCCGGTGACGAGCCAGATGTGGTGTCCCATTTCCTGCGAGCCATTGGAGACTGCCACGCTGTTGCTGACCGAACCATTCGAGAGGTTCGGTGTCGGGAGCCGTACACTCGTTTGCGTGGATGGAACGCTCTGGTGTGAGGCCGAGATGCTGCCCGATGGAGAGGAAGTCTGCCCGTTCACGGACACAGGGGTGTCGTATGAGAGCATGGTGTAGCAATTCAAGTCGAGTGTGGGACGTGGAGACCAGGGATGCTGGAAGAGAAGGCGAGAGTATCACTGGGAATACGGAAGGATGAGGCTATTGCATATTGCAATGGTATGCGTCTAGTGTACGATGAGCGAGGCAGGCGTGACCAGGCGTGGCCACGGAGCACTGCCAAGCCAATTAGGTAAAGATGTGTAGGTGTAAGTGAAGGCTCGATGGAAATATTGGCTGGCGCTACCGAGACTGGCAATACCGAGACTGGCAAGTGCACACTTCGAGGGAACAACAGGAGGTTAAGAACTGTGATAGCACACGAGAGAAGCGAAACCACATGGAGCCCAAATCCAAGTCCAACCAAGAAAGTAACCAAGAGGAAGCTTTATAAGAATCAGGGGTCAGACAACGAGTCAGATCAAATGGCGGGACCAAGGTCATTTTATAGCTCCGCCCTGAGAACTCTAATCCGGTCATGCGATGACTTCTGGTTTCTCTGGGCTGTTTGTCACCATGGGTACCTGGGCCGGACCGGCGGGCTGGGGCATTGGGGGCATCAACTAACACCTTGAAATTCAGCGGCGGTTACTCCGTACTGAACGAAGCGCTGACTATTGAACGTATTTGTACATACAAGTACTTCTATGTACTGTGCAGTACATACAGAGCACATGTAGCGTATTGTACCAGCATGTATGTATAACACAAAGTGCCGGATTATATACACAGGACAAGGTACTGTACAGTACAAATACAATCCTAGTGACGCTAGGTGAAAGCTCTCCACGGCCACAACTGGGTCTCAAGGAATTACACTGAATCCTGTACTATCAATCCCAGTAGTCGCTGCCTGGCATTGCATGTACTGTAACTGGAAGTACTTGATGGTACTTTACATCACTGTCAATGCATGCGGTGGGCAGGAACTCTCGAAACGAACCATGAACCCTATTGGTGCTCGGAAAGAGCGCAAAACCTGACGCAGTTACCATGACACCTCGATTCCACATGGAGGGTGTACTGTACACGACGGCAGCCAAAGAGTAGCGTATCCGTACCTTACCGTACCTTAGCGCTGGAAGCCCAGGAACATTCCCTAGAGAGATGCGGACTTGGATGGATTGGGTTCAACAAAGTATGTATTGACTATACTGGTTTAGATCAAGTAGATGTGGGGGAGCAAACGCCAGGCGTTTGTCAGTGAACGACCAGTGTCCTCGAAACACGACTAGGCAGGAAAGCAGTCATCTTCATGGATTGCAAATAGCCAACTGGCTTTCTAACCTAGGACCAACTAAAAAGAATTCTTCTCGTTCTCTATCTAGCTTGCCGGAGAATAGGAGTCACAGGGTGAACGCAGAAAGGCACTTCGTAATCTATGCAGTACCTTACATAAGGTACCGAGTGTGTACGAATACGGTTACGTGATTTCCTTCAGTACCAAGAAATTTCAGTGGGGATGGAAACGGTTTTCCCCAAATGGGCTTTGGCGGGGACGTGGGGGTCCCCCTTGGCAAAAGTGCAAAACTTTGGCAACTTGGAAGCCGAGACGCACCGCCGCGACAGCTCCAACCCATGCAGTGATTCCCATGCCTTGCAGTACCGTACATTCAGTACTCTGGCTTCTCCATGAAAACGCCATCCCGCAGCATATGCAGTGCAACATCCTCCATTATTTACTGCGTTGTACAATACGATAGTTACACAAACGTACCTAGTAAGTAGCTCCGTGGACGACCCAGAATCCAGATGACCTGCGCATGGACGCATTAGCCTTGGGTCTGTAATGTAATTAGTCAAAGACTCACGCCGAAGATGCGGGAACTCGGAAACTGGGATGCTTAACCTCCATAGCCTTCAGCAAGTGTACGGCGTCTTAACACCATAAACATATCCTGAGGCGTCTTGCAGCTCGACATGCCATACCCAGTGTAGTGTGTGTACAGTACATAAGGTACAGTACCTTCTGGAAGGTACTCCGTACCTTACCCCCCCAAGCCCTCCGAAAGAACCCCACGGACCGCGTGACGTCTCTCGTTTGCGCTGCCCCACTCTGTGCTGGCGTTCCCAGGCTCCGGGACGCCTCCAGCAGAAACCGGCCCCACTCGGCTCGGCTTCCGTGACCATCGGGAGGGAACAAACTCATGCCCTCCCGCGACAATACACCGCTTGGACGGATTTCCACCAGTTTTACTGCGACACCATCTGAAATCATCCTATGACGGTATGTACATACATGTATGTATAACGCCACGGCATCGGAAATGGCTTCCCATAACAGCCATAGGTAGCCACTTACACGAAACCTTCTATGTACCGTAATTCGGGTATGTGGGGAGTTATGTGTACTGTATATAGTACCTAAAGTTTGGACCTACCTTAACGTTACAGGTAAGGTAAGGTACGGAGGTAGTGTTTTCTTATAGCTCCGTTTACCCTAATCCTGGTGTTTACCTTAGTTACTCTACAATCAAGCTAGTTCTCGTTTATGTATGTCTTCACTCTTCACCGCTCAATGCATCCGGATTTGAAACCTCGCAAGTACCCGACAGCATGCCAACATGCTTTGCAGCCAGTTGGAAACTGAGCCCGTCATGCGCAATTTGCCAATTCATCCAAGTGCATTAGCACTCCACGCAAGTTGACCATTTCGGTTTCCCGACAATATTTGGCCCAAGTTCATGCTAGTTTGTATGATTGAGGGACTGCCGTCACCTGACCATATCTGGGGTATCGTCGTGTGGCAGGTTGCCTTGTAGGACAAACCGGTGTCGGAGGCACTTAGATCCTCCTTACATCCAACATGTACAGTATTGTGTGTACAATGTTCGCCTGACCAGCTGTAGCATTTCTGCAAAAAACCAAGACTCAATTCGTTGACTGGCCGCGCAATAGCATCTCCAACCACGGCCGAGGCTGGTTCGATCTCCCATGTGCATTGCCGTGCAACCTAACAACGGAGAAGGAGTCAGCACAACCGAACCACCAACACGAAGTTGCAGGCCAGCTTGTCCTCCAATTAACCTGGAAACAGACCTCCTACGAGACAGTCGTTGCCCGCTTTTATTATCGTGGAGAGTTCACCGATACTCTGTCTACCGTATGCACGGTTCATACAGTCCCGGGTGCCCAAAGAAGAAGCGTTTTGTGGAGCCTGGCTTCAGTATCCGCCAGCATCCATCCCGTATGCAGCCCAGCGACCCAAGCGCCTGTTTGAGGACTTGGCTCATGCTCTCAACCTCTTAGCGGCGGGCTAGCAGCAGCCTGTGGCGATGCCAGATGACGTCCAACGTTAACAGGGCCGAATTGATGCATGCCGACGTGAAGGAAGGCATGGAAATGCCCAATTAATCCGTTTGCATCAGTCTGGTTCGGACTCTGCCAGTATCGGTGCAGGCCCGTTTGAGGAGTTGCCCCATCCCGCTGGTTTCTCTATGTCGAAACACGGCAACATCGGACCGTGGAAGCGGAGGCCTAGGTAATAGCTGTAGTTCACCCCTCATCCTCCGCGGCACACCCTGAAGTTATCAGGTTTTAACCTTGTAGAGATTTCTTCTCGAGGCTTGAATTGATCCCATGAAGCAGCAGAAACATCACCCAACAATGATGATGCGATCTCGTAGGCGATGGGTTTTGGAGAGTACTGCTGCTGCATTGGATCGAGGTTTCAAGTTCTGTTCTGTTGGTGAGTCTTCTTGACTAAGGTACCTTTTGCCCCTCAATTTTGTGGCCCAAGCTTCTGCTTGACTGGAACGGATATCGGTTTATCGGTACGGAGGTACCTACCTGAGGTATCCATACTACCCCTCACTAATCACTGTGGCTGACGAGACCTTTTAGGAAGTTAGGTGGCTCGGCGCCACCAGCAACCGATTGAGGCGCCACAGAAATGGAGCTCAAGATTCCAGTTCAGGCAGTTGTGAGGGAATCGGCTCCGATCGGGCGGTACGAATTACCCCAGCGTAGTAAGGCGTACTTACCTAGACAGGCCGGCGTTGGGGGCGTTTGTCGTGCGATATTCCGATGTGTCTTTTCTCCGCCCTTGGATCTCGCGGTCTAAGGCCCAGTCGTTGGATTCCAAGCTCAAGTTCAAGCCTCAAGGCTGCAATCTGGTATTCCCAATCTCCTGCGTCTCGTGCATCTGTGTCATTCCGACTTGTTGGGCACCCGAGGCAGCAACCGCATCGTTCTCTCACCATGAACGCACAGGAGCTCAGCCAATATCTGGCCGATGCCCCGCCCTCAGTCGTGAGACTCGAGATCGAGAAGCACTTCACTGCCCTGTCCGACAAGCAGAAGCGCTACGCCCACTTTATTAGCAAGTAAGCGAATTTTACGACTACTACCTATTTACCCAGGTAGTCCGGGTACTATCTGAGTCTTGCTACTGCCCTGAAAGTGCTCAAGTGATTCCGCTCGCGTGATCAAAAAGAGATGGTTCTTCAATCTTGGACGAACCCTGCTTGAGCTGACCACTCCTCGCAGAGCCTCGTTTGCTGGCACCAGGGTCGTGCTGCGACAAGTCTCGCCCGAATCCGAGTCCATCTATGACTTCATCATCGCATTGCACAAAAGTGCTGGCGGTGACTGGAAGGCGCTTGCGCAAAGGGCCGGCGTCGACGAGCAGGGCCTCACCTCGTTCCTCCAATACGCAGCTCAGTTCCTAGGCAACAATGGCAACTATAAGAGCTTTGGCGATTCCAAGTTCGTGCCTCGCTGCGATGAGTCTGTCTTCGCTTCCCTCGCTTCAGTCTCTCCCGAGGCTGAGAAGCATTACAAGGCCACCAAGGGCGCCATCTTCTCAACTGACAACCCCGGCCTCCTCCATCTCGGCTTCCCCGATGAGGGCCACCTGACAACTTACTACCCCGACTCCCCCGATATTACCAAAGACGAGATTGGTGTCGTCGCCAACTGGATGCAGGATAAGGGCCTCCTGCCGGAAAATACCAGGTTGCGCAAGACTAATGAAGGTGTCTTTGAGTTGTTGATTGCTTCTGCCGCAAAGAGCGTTCCCAGCGAAGGGGGCGATATCGGGAAGGAAACCAAGTATGTCGTTGGCGACGGCCCGCTGGCCGGGAAGACTATCCAACTGGTCTACGGCGACTATGCACAAGAGATGGGTACTATCGCCGGCTACATCAAAAAAGCGGCCGAAAACGCAGAGAACGAGACACAGGAGAAGATGCATCTCGCATATGCCAAGTCGTTTGACGAGGGCTCGCTCCTGGCCTTCAAGGACAGCCAGCGGTTCTGGATCCGCGACCAGGGCCCAATGGTGGAATGCAACATTGGATTTATCGAGACGTACCGCGATCCCGCCGGCGTTCGTGGGGAGTGGGAAGGGTTTGCTGCAGGTAAGTGAGCTTCCAATCAAGGTTTGACTTCTAGAAGCGCCTTTTGCTCATCCAATGTCACAGTTGTCAATTGTAAGTCCTCCGCCGAGTCGCGGTAAGAGCGCTTAGAGGCCTCGGCTCACGCCAGTGCTTAGTGGACCGAACCAAAGCCTTTGGGGAGCTTGTACGTGCTGCTCCGGATCTAATCCCCTTGCTGCCATGGTCGAAGGAGTTCGAAAAGGATAAATTCCTATCCCCCGATTTCACCTCGCTAGAGGTTCTAACATTTTGCGGTATGCCCCTAAATACGCCCCATCGGCAAGCCCCAGTTCAGCGATGGCGCGAACAGAAGCAGAAACTCTGACCTATCCTTGCAGGTTCCGGAATTCCCGCCGGCATTAACATGTAAAATCTGGGTTAAACCGGCGAGTCCTGTATTCCAATACTGACACTTGAGCAGCCCGAACTACGATGACATCCGGCAGCAGGAGGGTTTCAAAAACGTCAGCCTGGGTTTGTCTCCCGCAACCGGGTTTGCGTGCCTATACAATCAGGTACGGTAGCGCTAGCGCCGGCCCAATGCTGACAAGCCTACAGGTAACGTCTTGAGCGCGAAGGCCCCGGACGAGAAGATCCCATTTATTGCTGAGGAGGATCTCGCTTTGTATCAAAAGTACCGTGACGCCGCCTTTGAAGTGCAGGTCGGCCTTCACGAGCTCACCGGTTAGAAGATACAACCATTTCAAGCAGCCTCCTTAGCGCATACTAACAAAGTCGCTTTAGGCCATGGATGCGGCAAGCTCCTTCAGGAGACTTCACCTGGTGAATTCAACTTTGACATTTCTAACCCACCAATCAGCCCTGTGACCGGGAAGCCCATCACAACGTGGTACAAGCCTGGGCAAACATGGGGCTCCGTGTTTGGCGGCCTTGCTGGCGCGTATGAGGTATGTGCCTGTAGATGGTTTGGCGGGCTGCCGCTTACCGCCAGCTAGGAATGTCGAGCTGAGCTCGTGGCCATGCATCTGAGGTAAGTGTGATGAGGCCTACGTCTTAGCTGTCACGGTTGCTCACAATGTATGAAGCTGTGAGTTCTCGGCTCTGAAGATTTTTGGTTTCGGTGACGGCACGACCGATATCGACGGCGAGGCGGGCGACGTACTTTACGCCTCCTACCTGAGCATGGCGAGGGCAGGATTGACCTCGATCGAGTTCTGGGATCCAAAGAGCCAGAAGTGGGGACAGCCTCATTGCCAGGCTCGCTTTGCTATCCTCAAGGTAAACGCTCTCGTCCACAGTCTACGGGATTGCTCGCTAATGGATCTTGGCTAGTCGTTCCTCGAGGCCGGGGACGATTTCTGCAAGCTTGAATACAAGCAAGAGGACCTGTCCGACCTGACAATTAGGCTTGATCGGTCCAAGATCTTGACGAGCGGCAGAAAAGGTACCTTACTCTTTCGGTGAATTTCGTGGGGGGGCACTTACTAACAGACCAACCCTCAGCCGTCGGGGACTTCCTTCAGAAGCTCCACGTCTACAAGTCTACTGCCGACGTGGAGACGGGCTCGAAGTTCTTCACGGACATGTCCACCGTTGGGATGGACTACTGGGGCACCAAGGTGCGGAACGTGGTGCTCAAAAACAAGCAGCCGAGGAAGGTGTTTGTACAGGCAAATACCTACTTGGACGAGGCTACCGGCCAGGTCACGCTCAAGCAGTACGAGCCTAGTCTTGAGGGCATGATTCAGAGCTGGGCCGAGAGGGAGTTGTGACTGCCCTTGCCACGACGGCAGCGGCTGCCGGTGACCTCTTCTCGCTATCGGTCGGCACTCTGAGCTGTCACGCTGAAAATGGGTGACCGCTCGTCAGGTGCAGGTGTTACAAGAGGACGAATCGTACCTGCTGTTAGCGCAATCAGCAAAGATCTTGCATGTGGAAATACCCTGCCGACTATGTATTGCCCCTAACAGAGCTCGACTACTCTGACCGTAACTAACATCACGTGTGGAAACTGTTTTGTCTCCCCTTGCAAGCCGCACTACGACACAAATAGCCAGTAGCTCTTTAGCACACTATCACCGAACCTCTTGAATATGTAGTACGCTAGCACAACCACGGGTACCCGACAGCTGGCCTCTTCAATTACCGCACCGGCTTTTATTTCTAGCTAACAGGAGTAGCTGAGTTCTAACTGACCAAAGGGGTTGTCATACGCAGAACCCATTTTTCTGACGCCGCCTGTCCCCGTCATGATATCATCGGATCCCGAGCCAACATACATAATAACGGCCATTCCTGATAGCCTCTCATCAATCCACAGCGGCTAGCTCCCTGCCAAAGCCGCTCTCTCAGGAATTCACCGCCTCAACCGTCGAAGCCGCTCAACCCTGCCCGGCGGGCATTATGGCAGCGGCGTCGCCAAAGGGATGATGCATAACCAGCAACTAGAGACAACATTGCGGCTTCATATCCCCGTATTAACCCCCCCTCTCTGCACCCAGCTGAAGGATGCTGCGCCTGTACCAATACTTCAGTTCACAGCTTCGAGCCTCTCTCCTTGGATCTGTCGCCGCAGCTTCTTCCGCCACGGCTCAGGCTGTGATACTGAACCCCATGGCACTTTTGAGATCACAAAGAGGCCATGTGTGGGAACAAGTCTCAACTCTGGGGGAGTTGCTCGTATATACCCTCGACGCCAGACTCGGAAGCTGAAGCTGGCCTGCTGTTGTTGTCCTTCTGGTGCGTCTTCATGTGGCGACGCAACTGGTCCTGGCGATGGAAGTTGCGGTCGCACCCGGGAACGGTACACGTGAAGCGGCCCTTGACTTCGTGGGTGCGCTTGTGCTTCGAAAGATTCGAAGACTCGCTGAAACCTTTTCCGCAAACAGGGCATTTCAAGGGTTTTAGTCCGGAATGGACCCGCTGGTGCATAGCTGGAAAGGAAGTGATGTTAGCACTCGGAGAGAGTGGCAGAAGGCGCGCCCTAGAGCGTCGTATTTACTTACTCAAAGCACTTGGGTATCTGAATGCCTTGTTGCAAATGTTGCATACCAACGGCTTCTCGTTGCTATGGATGAACATGTGCTGAGTCAGGGCTTGCTTCGCTGAGAAGCCTTTGTTACATGTTGGGCAGATGTGTGGTTTATCTAAGACGACGATGTTAGCGGCAACCGGAGAGCGGAGGGGATTTCTGATGTAGCATACGGCCGATATGAGTCTGCATGTGTCTCTCAATCTTGCTTCTCTGCGGAAAGCCGGCGGCGCCAGGCTCGCTGCGTGGGCAGTCATCCCACCCGCATCGGAAGCCTTGGGCGCCTTTCTGGGCGTGCTTGATGTGACATTCGGATGCGTGCTTGAATAGCTCTTCTGCATCCGAAAAGGTCTGGCCGCAGATGTCGGAGGACCCTTCCTCCTTCCAGAGGCACCTATGCTCCTCCTCGACCCCAAGCCTGGCAGAGCTGCTTATTGATGAGACGACAGACGCACCCCGGACATGGGATGACCTCTTGGGCTTGACATCTGTCATCTCAAGGCTGTTGGACAGCGGAGTCAAGGGGGATGGGGTCCCTGAAGATGCACCGGAATCGGATGTATCCAGGGGCGTAGCCGGAGGAGACATGGACTCGGCCGCAGTCAGCTCGGTCGCGCGGTGCATCCCTGTTGCCGAACAGCGGAAGAAGTTGGGCACGGCGCCGGTGAAATGAGGCCTGTGCTGGGAGTTGAAGTGGGCTAGAAACGACTCGGGGTCGTGGAACTCAGCTCCACACTCGACAAAACCGTGATTCATCTGGCCGTCTGAGCCAACGGAGTCATATTGGTGGAATGGAGAGGGATTGCTATAAACGGGTAGATGACAATAGGGGTAGTTCTGAGGATCATTGAGTGGACACGGGCTCGTGCAGTTGGCCGAGTCTGCGTCGCCGTGGGCAACTAGCAGATGGGTTGCGATACTCCCCACCGGACCCGGTAGGAGGCCAGAAGACATCAGATAGTCTTGCTGAGCATTACCGGATAGACTGAAGTCCATAGCGCCCATCACTATGCCTGGATGATGAGTAAAGCAGACAAAGCAAGGGTAAAGCAGGTAAGAAGCTCACCGGAATGCTGCAGATTGAAGTTATCGCTGGGCTCCTCTGGCGCATGGTTGATGGAGATGAGAGCAGCGGCCCCGTTAACAACCTCGGACGAGGGAACGGGCCCGGGGCGCGAGGGGCAGTTCTGATCGGTGCAGGCGTCCTCGGTGTCGGCGCAGGCGATGTCGGTGCACTTACCCGTCATGGTGCAGTGGCTGTCGCAGCAGCTCATGTCGCCAACTGACTGACAGTCTTCGTCGCTGCACCGAACGGCAGAGTCGAGATTGTGACTGAACCATGACTGCTGGTAAGGGTTTGAAGACTGGGGACCGGCATAGTGGTTGCGGAATTGCATGGGCATGGCGCCGATGCCGAGCGAATACTCATAGCCGGAGACGGCGTTCTCACGAGCCCAGCGGGCGTGGGCTGTGGTTTGGCCACCGCGGTGGTTGAACTGCTGAAAGCCGTTGTAGAGTCCTACGCCCATGCAGTGGTCAACGCAGAGGTCGTCATGCGATTCATAGGCCGAGGAGGCGGCGCCGGTGGTACTGCTGCCGCCGGCGGACATTCGGGCGCTATCGCTGGGCTTGGGCGGCGGCGGCATCATAGACTGGAAATCAAGGCCGAGATGGTTGGTGGTGCTCTGCGAGTGCCTGTGGAAGCCGTCCCCGTTCCCGGGAAAGCGGGTGGCAGAGTCGAAGGAATGGTCCATGGACGATGGCGGGGCTGCCCAGCTGCCCTGGCTGCGAGTCGACGGGAGTGATTGGGATTGGCCGGTATCGACCGTGGGCAATTGGAGCCGGACGGCTGAATTCCGGACCGCGATGATGAAGATCAAATGAGGCACCAGGTGACGACAGGGCGAGGGCAGAGAGAGAGCTATGGGCAACAAGCGGCTGTGCTCAGTCGATGTCGAGGATTTGAGCAGAGTGGCCCGCCCAGTTGGTGTCTTGGTGATTGTGTGGGCCGGCGCGCGGGTAAGGTCAACGATTTTGCACCGCACTTTGAGAACCTCTACGGCCAGGCCGGGTCAACGCTTCTTGGACCTTCCTCTCTTTACCAATTCTCCATAACGTTACATCTTACCTAGGCAACTGAACAGACTTTGCGCTGACGAGCACGAGCGCGTTCAAATGCGCCAATTCACTTGCTGCTTAGGTATGTTTTCAATTTGTGGCAGAAGCGCATTGAGTTTCATGAATTTTGAATTGAAAACTGTTGAAGCCGACAATTTTTGAACGAGTGTGCACCTTCCCGAGTCGGCTGTGCCTTGGACAATGACATGATGGAGCAGAGTGGGGGTCCTGCAAGAGTTAGAGAACAATAGTGGAGCCCTACCCTAAGTAGATCATCACCACCCCAAAGTACAGAGTGCCTCGAGTGCTAATAGGTCATTACTCATTCGGTTATGGAAAAGGGTAGGGTGTATACTCCGTACATACTCACTACATTCAGACGTGCTTCTTCGTCCACACATGATGACCAGGGGTCGAAATGTACTTTCCAGGCCGGGACAAGATGGGGAGTGCAATGCTGACGGGAAGCTAAGGTACCTCATACAAACACACGTGTTTGCAGAGCCAGGTGCATTTGTGGTGGGGCACGTCAACCTCCCACATGTACGGATACCTCCCTCCATGCATGCAAACATCGCGGATGCTGATCTGGTTGGTACAGTACATGAGATGAAGTCGTCTGAACATCTGCTGAGCTACATACCGTGACTACCTATCTTATCAAATACCTACCTTGCCTATCCAAGATCTATCCCACACATACCTCTGTGCACAAAACGTATACCGAACTTAAATCAACCCACCCATCAGACACCCAACCATGGGGAACCTGTGCAGCACCGAGAAATCCGATCCCTTCTCCCAGCCGGGCCGGCGCCTCGGCACCGCTCCGGCAGCAGGTCCGTCCTCCGTTTCGGTACCCCCGACCGCCTCCTCCAGGAAACCCACCAGGGTAGGCGGGCCGCCCCGGACGCTCGGCGGGGGCGGGGGCGGGGGCGAAGGTTCTGGAGACGGCGCTGGCGATCCCAGGACCAACGCCGCCCTCGCAGCCGAGGCAAGCAACAACAGCCCCTTCCCCCCTTTGCACTGCTTATATACAATACAAATATAGTTTACAAACCCGCAACCCGTGTCTCTCATCCACTAACTCTATCTAATCCTAGGCGCGCTTCCAAAAGAGCAAGCAAGGCGGGGGCAAGTTGAAAGCCGGGCTCGACGCGCAGCGTTCCATGACCGATTCCGTCGCGCTCAAGCAGGCCAGCGAGGAGGAGAGACGGCGTAGGGACATGGACCAGGGCGCTGGCGCTCTCAGGCACGATTAGGACCCTGCAAGCAAGCACGCAAGCGGAATTTCATGTTACAGCGTCATTGTGTCAACCGTTTTCTAAATCGTTTGCTCCTCGTGATGGTGGTTGGTTGGGTTGGTCACGCGTGGACTTGCATTTCACAAAGCCTCGAGCGAAGGTTCCTAGTGCGAGAGAAGAGGCGTCTCTGTGTCATTGGGTACTTCCGAGTTGCTGCTGCGTTGGCGTTGCGGTTTAGCTTACGGGATGAGTTGGTATCAACGTTAGTCTTGCTGTATGAAAGCGCACCCAGGCCCTTTCCGAAGATGTGTCCGAAATCGTGTCTTTATAACACGGTAAAACTGAGCCCGGAAAGTTATCATATCTACTCTGGCATCAAACTGACGCCACTAACCCTTTCAAATGCAAACAATGCCCACACTGGACAACCACTAGAGAAACTCCGGTTCGCCCTGTCAACACCTCGTCGCCAGTTACCCCGCCACTACCAGTTGCCCGTACCTGCTCCAATCTCAGAACTCTATCATGTAATAGTATACCTGCCGCTGGCAGGCGCCCGGCTTTCGGCGTCTGCAGCAGCAAGAGTGCCTTCTTTCAGCAACCGCGTGAGCTCGGAAAGGGCGTTGCCAACCACCAGCTCCGTGTCACCCTCAATGAGAATGTAGAGCTTCGGCTCGCCTCCCGGTGCCGGCTCCTTGCCCGGCGGATAATAAGTGCCCTTGGTCGTGATCGATGTGCCCGTAGCCTCCAGAATCTTAGCCACGTTGGTGCGGTTGGTGACGGCCCACCGAGCTTTCTGCGGGAAGTCGTTGATTTCAAGAGTTGCATGGAAGGCGCCCGCGTCCGGCCCCTTGTTGTCGATCGGCTGGCCTGGCCGAAGCTGACCGGCACGGGCCAGGCGGGCGTTGATTTCGCTGATGGCCGAAGCAGCCTTGTCCAGAGCACCACCACCTTTGCCGGTGCTGACTGGGGTACTCTTGGCGACGACGTCAACCGCCTTGGCATCCGCGTCAGTCTTCTGCGAGTCACGGGAGACGATGGCAGAAGCAGCCGCTTCAATAGCTGACTTGGCCTTGTCCTTCTTCTTCGCATCCTCTTCCGTCTCTTCCTCCTTGAAATCCTCCTCCTCGCCCTCGGCCTTGTGTGTCTTGCGCTCCCGCAACCGGGCCGCTTCACGATCCTTGTCAAGCTTCTCTAAACCCTTTCCGCCGAAGCCGCTGGCGTCCTTGGCCTTGCCGCTCTTGACTTTCTCTTTCCACGACTTGCGCATCTCATTGAGACGCTCAGGAACCGGCTGTCCGCTCTGTTCAAGGGCCTTGGCGATGCCGGGAGCGCAGTTCTCCTGGTCTTCCGTAATGAACGTGACAGCTGTGCCTGTGTTGCCCGCCCGCCCGGTACGTCCCGCGCGGTGTACATAGTCTTCGAGGTGGTTTGGAGCATCATAATTGATGACCAGCTTGAGCTGTTTGACGTCCAGTCCCCGCGCCGCCACTGATGTTGCAATGAGGATAGGACAAACGCCCTTTTTGAAGTCCGAAATCGTCGAGTTACGATCCTCCTGATCCTTGCCGCCGTGAATCGACATGCATCCGTAGCCGCGCCGGAGAAGCTCACGCAAAAGATCGTCCGCCTTCTCCTGCCGCTCAACGAAGATCAGGGCACGCACGTCATCGTCGTCGGCATACAGATCGCCGAGAAGCTCGAGCAGTCGGAAAAACTTCTTGTTCTCCTCGATGATCTCAACGGATTGGGTGATCTCGGGTGCCACAACACTCCGGCCGCCAACGGTAATCTCGACAGGATCTCGCAGGACTTTCTTGGTGAGCGCATCAATGATTCTCGGCATTGTAGCTGAGAAAAGAATCGTCTGCCGATCGGGCCGTACATTGTTGAAAATCTTCATTACCTGAGGCTCAAAGCCCATGTCGAACATGCGGTCTGCCTCGTCCAGAACCAAATACGTCGCGCGTTTGAGATTGGTCACGCGACCCGAGTTCGCCGCGAGCAGATCAATCATCCGCCCTGGGGTCGCGACAATGATCTCGGCTCCTCGTTTCAGCTCAGCGATCTGGTCCTTGATCGCATTTCCACCATAGGCGGCGACAGCGCGCAGCTTCAAGACTTTCGTAAACGGCACCAAGTCCGAGTAGATCTGGGTGCAGAGCTCTCGAGTAGGCGTCATGATCAAGGCGATGGGGCCGTCATCACCACTCACCGGGTCTTGATCCTTGATATGACGGAGCATGGGAAGAAGGAATGCCATCGTCTTGCCAGACCCCGTCTTTGCGACGCCAATAACATCGCGCCCCGACATAATGACAGGTAGAGCCTGCATTTGGATTGGCGTCGGTTTCTCGTAGCCAAGCTTGTCGATGGTATCCAGTATAGGACGAGTTAGACCACACTGGGACCATTTTTGGACGGGCTTAGGAACGTCTTTGCCCGAAACCTTGATGCCGTCCAATTCCAGTCTCAGCTCGGCTGCCTCCTCTTCGGTCATTTGGCTGAGTTCATGAGGTTCGACCCAAAAGTTCTTTCGAATCGGGTTGAGTTCGATCTTGCTGTAATCCACAGACGGAATATCCTTCTTCTTCTTCTTGGCTGCCATGGCCAAGATGGAAGATGGGTCAACCTTGTCCGCCTCATAGCCGTAGTCGTCGTCACTGAAGTATGTCTCAGGTTCAAAACTCTTCCTTCCGTTTTGTTGTTTGTTGGGCCTTGCGTCAGTGCTACCAGGACCGTCTTGCTCTAACTCCGCCATGAATGCGTCCAAGGGGTCAACGTCTTGGTCAACATCCATCGCGGTAGCATCCGCTGCCGGTGGCGTGGGCTCCTCCTTGGCGTCTCCGTTGGGCATCTCGGCGTCGACATCCATGGCCATGCCATCCTTTTGGATCTGTTCATCGCGCCTCTCCTGAAGGACACGGTGAGCCTCGGCCATTCCTTCCTCGTTCCGCGCCATGAGGAAATCCAGATCATCTGCCCCATCTTCCTCGGCATCGCCGTCAACGTTGGGAGTATCGTCAGCATGCTCGGGGACAAAGTCAGGCAGTTTGACGAGTTTACGCTTAATGACCTCCTCGTCGTCCATGTCCAGCTTGCGCTTCGAATATGACTTTTGACTGTCAGTAGTCTTGTTGAAACCGAAAGCACTGACCGCCCTGTTGGCCGGGAGAAGACCGCCATCCTTTGTGTCGGTCTCAGTTTTCATACTCGGCGCTTTTACGCCGGTCGCGCCCAACTTTACATCGCCAAGTCTGGTGGGAGACTGAGATCGCGCGGCTGCCGCTTTGGCGTTGCGTGCAATGGCTTTGGGATCAAATTTACCAGCGTACGGTGCCGAGGTTGCGGGCGACTCTGGGGCAGGGCTGTTCGTGGTGGGGTGACCACTAGCTTTCTGATCCATCTCAGCTAGAAGCATTCTGGTACTCCCGGCAGTGACATCAGTCTCTTTAGCTTCTTTCAGTGCATGCTTCTCTTTCATCGCTTGGAGCTTGCGCAGGCGCTCGGCCTTCTTCTCCGCCTCGGACTGCGCTTGGGTCGGTGTAGACTTAGCTGGCTGCAAGTTTTTTAAACCGTCAGCCGGGGTGAAGTGGGATGGTAGACACGGGGGAGTACGCACTTCGTTTTCTTTGCTTGCCACGGGTTCTGTTTTCGGTTGGCCGCGCGACTGGCGGGAAGCGGAATCCGCAGAGTCATCCGGACGGGGTCGGCGGTCGCGGGAATTGCCCCGCCTGCCATCTCCAGCACGTTGCCCACGGCGGTCGGGGGACCGTATCCGCTCCGGGCCACGATCGCGTGACCGGTGGCGGTCACGGTTTACTCCCCCATCCCGGCGTGAACCCCGGTAGTAGTCATCATCTCGACGGTCTAAGGAACGGTCTCTCCAGCGATGCGAGTCGCGATCCCGACCATCGCGGTCATGATCACGGTCGCGTTCGCGTTCGCGTTCACGGTATCGGCGCTGGGGAGCAGAACGCATGTCAGAAAACTCAGCTCGAGCGGGGCGACCCCGATCATGAACTGGGACACCACCTACATCCGGACTGCGAGAGCGTCGGCGGTGATTGCGATCGCGGTCACGGTCGCGGTCACGGTCGCGGTCGCGGTCACGTCGCTCATCATCTTTCCGTCTTCGCGCAGCGTGACTTCCTGCAGGAGATGGTGAGCGCGAGTCTTTGGGCGGAGCCATTTCTGTTTTTTTAGTGACGGTGGCTCAGCAATGTCACTTGAATGGTGAGGAGTACTTTTTGGACCAGTCGATACAGGTTAGCACATTTCGCCGGGCAAGAACCGTGATGGAATTGTGTTGCGGTTGAGGAGAGGTTTCGTGCAGTTTTGGCGGAGTTTGCAAGTCGCTACTTTTCGAAATGAAGAGAGCACGATGGCTCGCTCGATGCAGTGGGGCGAGGCAGCTTACCGTGCGAAACCTACCGTGTGGAAGCCTTACCAACACTGTAACTGATGCGAAGCATTTCTCAGTTTCGTTTCTTACACCCCTCCGTCTCTGCAGCAAGCTCCTGCTTTGTTTTGGCGAAACACTCCCGATAGGGGGGAGCTTTCCTCAAGGCTCAAGCAACCGAGCACGAGCCCTGCGACCAGCAACCGCAAGCAGTGCAATCCCGCATAAAATTGCACCACACCACTTCCTCTTCTTTACATACCTACCTTACCAACAAGCATTGGCAACGCACAATCCAATACCGTTCAACCCACATGCCGGGACACCGGTCGGCTTAGTTTTTCCAAATCGCAACGCAACCAAGCTCCCGTCCCCGTCGCCATGTGGTCGACAATTGGACTTGCGACCGCGCGGCAGCTCTCTGTTGGCGGTAGGCTCTCTATCCGCCGCGCCGCACGGCCCACTGCGCGTATCGCCGGCCGAGATTTGGCTCCCATCCCATGCGGCCTCCGCGTCGCTGCTGTCTTCGGCGGGCGGAGCTTCGCCGCGACGCCCCGTCGCCTCGAGAGCAGTGCCGCTGAAGCCAAGACCGCGGACGAATCTGAGGCCAAGTCCAAGACCAAGACCAAGGCGCCTGGGAAGAAGAAGACTGCGCCAAAGAAGGCTGCGGCAAAGAAGGCTTCTGGGACCGAGCGAGCCAGTCTGCCTAAGAAGGACCGAAAGGTGCTGACGGAAGAGGAGATCACCAAGCTTAAAGTCAAGCAATTGCGAAAGCAAGCGCTCAAAGCCCCTAAACGACTGCCCGACAATTCTTGGTTGGTGTTTTTGTCCCACAGTTTCAAGGCAACCAAGAATGAGAGGGAGGCCGCGGTCAAGGCAGGTCAAAGATTGGACATGACAACCATTACGCGAGAACTATGCAATGCGTTCAAGGCGTTGCCCGCTGCCGAACTTGAGGTAAGACCAGCAAGATTGATATGCATTGTTCTTTCCATTTTGCCTGCACAGTGTCGCAGGCCGCTGACGAAGCCACGACGCAGAAACTGAAAGCCGAGGCTCGCGAAAACTACGTTGCCAACGAAATCGCTTACAAGGCCTGGATTCAGAGCCACTCGCCAGAAGAAATCAAGCGAGCCAACAGAGCACGCTCTATGCTTAAGAATGTATACAAGAAGAAAAACATCGGATACGACATTCCGGATGATCGTATTCCCAAAAACCCGCGGAGCTCCTTTCTCCACTATTGCGGGACGCGTTTGAACTCGCCAGAGTTCGCCGATCTGAAGAGTCAAGAGGTAATGTCGAAACTGGGGGAGGAATGGAGGAATTTGAGTGACACAGAGCGTCAGGTATGCTACAGTCTCTTGCGCAGATTCTACTCGGTCCGTTGTCAGTTACCAGATTTCTAACTCCTTCCAGCCCTTCGTCGACAAGATGAAAAGCGAATACGAGGAATGGCGCAAGCAGAGAGATGCTGTTCTTGCAAAAGCTGCGGCACCAGTCTAGAGCATGTGATCTTTGTCGCGACCTGTACGTTTAGTCATCTGAGACCTCAGGAGGTGCTCTCTGTTTCTGTATGCGTGCCCATATGGCGAGACTCGGTCATGTTGGTTCCCAGGGCTACGGAGTTACCTGTGTTCTTTGCTTGCTGAATACCTGCGGCCGATGTTGGTCATTGGCTTGTGTTAATAGGTACGGTCTAGGTTATTGAGGGCTAAGTGTATTCAGGGGTGTCCATGTCAAATGCAAGGCACTTTCATCCGTGAATATTGCACCAATATGCCTGTGATGCACCCGTTCAGACCACTCTGTGAGGGCTCTAGACGATACTGTACGATGGAATCATTTTCTGGTAAACGTATATTCGAACTACCAAAATGACCAAACGCCATGCCGCGCCATGCCATGCTTAATGTGTGTATCGACCAATACTGAGCCATGCTGCCATCCAATGCGCCAGACAAAGTGATCCCATGAAAACGCGTCAGCGATATGGCTGCTAATGACAAGTTGTTCACGCAAGTGGCGGCCTCGTTCCCATCACGATAACCGCCTTCCCGTCCGCGCCTACCCAAGACGCGCCAGAGTACAGGACTCTGCGCTTGCTCATGAGGTAGAGTACGAGGTACAGGTGGCCAACGACGCAGCCCCAGCAGTATAGCCGGATCCAGGAAAAGTCCCGATCCCGCTTGCACGAGGTCCCCCAACCTGCGGCGCCCTTGCCTAAATAGTCTGCGAGAAACCCCCATGCCGACCGTTTCAACGCCGGCTCCCACGAGCCACAGTCGACGAGCCAGTAACCTCTCTCGAACGGCCGTAGGTCTCGGGTCTGCAACTGCGGCTTGAACCGTTTCTCCAGGTTCAATTCCCGGGCTAGGCTGGCTAACACGTCGGTGATCATGTCCTCTGGTCGCAGCTCTGCGTCCGCGGTGGCTGGAGGCGGTGAGATTATTTCTAGAGAGTCGAGGGCTTGAAGGGATGATGACTGATGCGCGCTTCCCGGCTTGTCCTGCCGAGGGCCCACGTCACTTGCGCTCCTGGCTAGCGGTTTGCCGGGCTCGGGATCGTCGTGAGCTATCCGCGGACGTTTGGCGCGCGGCGGTTCTGATTCGGCACGGGCTGTAATGGCCTGCTCGTCTTGCTGGCTCGGGTATGAAGATGCAACGCGCGTATCTTCGGCGGCGTCTTGTGTGGACCTTTCCGGCGCAGGGCGTTTGTTGCCAGCCACAGGGGACAGCGGAATCACAGCGGCATCCCCATTCTTTATGACCGGGTCGAGCGATTGGGTGGCGTGCTCTACAGTCTCGGTGACCCCTACAGGATGCCAGTCGTTCTTCGCCCTCGTTGGTGATGTCAGCACCGGCGATTCATAGTGTGGTGGGCAGGGAGTTGTCTGTTGGGGTGCCTGTCGTTGGGCGATGGGGGACAGATCCGACTGGGAGCTATCGAACATGGACGTGTAATGTTGAAGGATCCTCGTCGGCGTACAGTATTGGGGGTATGCCAGATCATTGTCTGGCATGGAATCTTGGACCTCGCTTGGAGGAGGCTGCCATGATAACTGCGACTCGGAGATGGTGCCTTCTCCAGGCCGGCGTAAGCGAGGTGATTGGAGGTTGTTGATGGCACTCCTAAAGGATAGCATCGGGGACTCGATCACTCCGGCCTCTCTGGTTGAAAGAGGTGCTTGTATGTCATATCGACGAGACAGTTCCCTCCCGTTCCCTTCTGTGTCATAACCTATCACCCTCTCACTGCACCCTTGAGCGCTCAACCCAGGTGTAAGTGAAATGCTCTGTGTTGGCTCAAAGCTGAAGTAAGCGCTGGCCAGGGCCCGGTATTTTCTATCATCATCAGCCCTGGCAGGCGCTGCGATGTGAACGAGGATCTCGGTTTCTGGTCTGGTCATTGTGCCGCTGCCGCGAAGCCTACCTTACTCCGTATCTGAGGTTGACCTGGACTCTCCATGGAAGAAGGGGGTGATGTAAAGTCCAGGCAGAAATGGAGTCACTTGAAATGCACAGATTGCTTGCCTTGGGAAAGAGCAGCCCACAATTTGAAGCAAAGCCTGCCGTGAAGCGGATAAGGTAACTGAAGTTGCGCGGTCACACCTTCTCTGAGAGCAATTGATAACTGCCTGTTGAAGTGAACTTATCAAAATGTTACCGTCTTCAGCTTCAAGTTGTCTCTAATAACCATTGCTACAACTCTTGGCATGTAAGACACGCTAGTATCGTGGGATTCGTGGGAACGAGGGAATACTGTATTTACAGTAGCGTAACCAGATTCAGGTAATACCTACTCAGCGTACGGAGTATATTACCAGGTCCCGTACCATACAGTGTATGTATCCGTATGCGATCCCAATTCCCCAGCGTGAATGGGGCGCCTGCAGTGGGGAACTGGGGATTAGGGGCACCCAGTCGAGCCAGTTAAGTACCTTGCATACCTTGTGTCTCGATCATACAAGAAGCAGGTGAGGTCGACTCGAGTCCGTCCACCTACGCTCTGTCAATTCAAGTTCCCCCACCTCCCGCCGAAACACCCAGAGCCCGAAAGCCACGATGGCCTCAGAGAAGAAGCCCTGGCTGGGCTCGGTGCTGGTAATTGGTGGCTGCGGGTTTCTGGGCCACCATGTTGTGCGCGTGCTGCTTCGCGACTACACTTGCTCCGTGTCCGTGGTCGATCTACGCTGCACGCGCAACCGGAGGCCCGATTCGGACGGCGTGACATACTATGAGGCCGACATCACCGACGGCCCCAAGCTCGAGGACATCTTCGCGAAAGCGCGGCCCGACGTGGTCATCCACACCGCTTCCCCCCCGGCGCAGTCCAACGACAGGGTCTCGCATGCCCTGTTCAAAAAGGTCAACGTGGACGGGACGGCGGCCGTGGTCAAGGCGTGTCAGGCAACAGCCGTCAAGGCGCTGGTCTACACCAGCTCGGCAAGCGTCGTGAGCGACAACCGGAACGATCTGATCAATGCCGACGAACGCTGGCCGGTTGTCCGAGGCAAGGACCAGAGCGAGTACTACTCGGAGACAAAGGTGCCCACACACAAACCCCCTTCCCCCTCGCGAGTCTCAATGGGCTTTGCCGCTGATATGCATAATGTTTTCCCTCCTCAGGCTGCCGCCGAAGAACTCGTCCTTGCCGCCAACCGCGCTTCTGAAGCGCCCAAGCTCCTGACATGCGCCATCCGGCCATCGGGCATCATGGGAGAGGGCGACACAATGGTGCTGCACCACATGATCAACGTCTACCGGCAGGGCCGGACGGGCGTGCAGGTCGGGGACAACGACAACCTGTTCGACTTCACCTACGTCGAGAACGTGGCCCACGGACACTTGCTCGCAGCCCGTGCCCTGCTCGCCACGGCCGCGTCAAGCACAGTACCCCTCGACCACGAGCGGGTGGACGGCGAGGCCTTCTTCATCACCAACGACAGCCCCGTCTATTTCTGGGACTTTTGCCGCGCCGTCTGGGCCGCCGCCGGCTCGCCGCTCGGTCTCGACCACGTCAGGATTCTCCCGCGCAGCGTCGGCATGGTGCTGGGCTACCTCAGCGAGGTCTTCTTTTGGGCCATCGGCAAGCCGCCGACTTTTAACCGCCAGCGCATCGTGTACAGTTGCATGACGCGCTACTACGATATCTCCAAGGCCAAGAAGCGGCTGGGCTACAAGCCGTTGGTGAGCCTGGATGAGGGTGTGAGGAGGTCAGTCAAGTGGACTCTGGAGCAAGAGCAAAAGCAGAAGTGATGGAGATCCACAATTCTGAGCTAGCTCTGGTATCCTATTCGAGAGGTTGTGCGCCCGGAACCTCGAGCAGGATTTAGCATAGGACTCATAAGGAGCTACGAGAGGGTCTGTTGTTTTTTGATACCTAATGCTTCTAGCTTCATGTCTAATATATAATGACCGAACGCCATCCATTCAGATGTGTTTGCCGTGAACAACAAGGTGATGATTCGATGACTGCAAATCGAGTTTGATACATGCTAACCAGCTAATTCGCCCGTGGTGTCTTCTCCGGGGACATTTTCCAGTATTGTTTCAGCGGTAGCCAGGGGGCATCGTTGGCTAAGACTATCCGGTTCACAAATCATTGTTCATGTGCCTTCGTTTTGCTTGTAGCCCTTTAACTATTCTTTGATTCACAGGCACATTGCCGTCTTCCTCGAAATGGGTCTTGAACGGTACATCACCTTGTATTACCAAGTGAACACGATGCTTCACCCATCGAGGAGTTTCGGGAGGTGGTTCAACAGGATTTGAACAAAATCTGGTCTCTCATTTGACAACGGCTCCCTCAGCGGCGGTATATAGGATGCACATCCGAGCACCATGATGGTCATCAGGGGCTCATGCGTGTTAGACGCCCTCTCCTAATCAAAAAGATGCCCTCAACAAGGTGGATTATTCCAGGACACCACCATCGAGGGACGACAATGTCCACGTACCTTGAGTGGTAGGTTCTCCTCGAGCTATTTTCCCCTTCAACTCAGTACAAACCAAACAGACAGAAGGCAAGACAAAATAGGGAGAAATATGGTGATGGAAGAGAAGGGAAGAAAGTAAAGAGACAGAGGCCGAAAGCTGCATCCATATAAAGTTATATTCATCGGCGGCAACGTAAGGAGGCACCAGGAACTAATCCAAACCCGGGGGACAACAGGACCTTCACTCCTTTTGAAATGAAGGAGGACGAAAGGAAAACAAAGCGAAGGAACTTTTGCGTCTTGCCCCTTACAATTGCGCCAGCATGCAATCGCAATGGCTCTTCCGGCTGTTCGCCTCTCTGCTTGCTCCTTGCAACTCTTTCTTATCCGTCCCTCCAAAAGTAGAAACCCAGCTCGTTCATTTGATTTTTTTTTTTGTTCCCCGCATCCTAACAGGTGTCATCATAAAGCCTGAAGCTGCCCATTGCAGCTCTTTGCGCTTACATGATCATTCGTGACCGTGGGTGTCTGGGCGACTTGAAACCAAAAACAAGATATTATTTTCGTGACTGCCAGCTGAAAGGCAAGATGAAACTCAAACGCCGAGCAACCATGCTTGCACTGTGGATATGCCGTCTACGACCTTAAACCCGAAAAATCAATCAAGGACGCTTGCGTGTGATGAAGGAGGACTCATAAACCCAAGCCAGTCAGTCAGACAGTTGAGCGGGTATCGTATTGCCATCGTACGGGAGAGCAAACAGCAGGAGGCTTATTTCGGGCTGCCTGTTTCCTACACAGTGCCGGTCGTCAGCCCGCTGTTTTGCCTGCCCCATCCAGAGTTGCGCCATTCCCTTGGCGGCTGGTTTCGATTGTTGTTGTCTGGTGTTTCCGTTCCTATCTTATCCGGATGCCCGTAGGGAGACTGTTGGGCGGGGGCGTCAAGTGGCCCACGCTTCGAGGGTGGTGTTCCTTGGGTGGCAGGGCCGAAGTGAGGGATTGGGGGCTCCTGGATGGGCCGGACACTGCTTTCATGCTGCCATGTCGCCGGGTCGGTTTCTATCCGCCTGGGAGGGGGGCGGGTCGGAATCTCATGTCGGTCATGTCGGCCCACAAATTCGGCAACATCGGCTTGTTGCCGTGCACCCAGCCCGTTGGCAACGCGATCACCGTATCGCTTAAGAATTTCTTTTGTGGTAATCTCGCCATTGCTGTTGATGAGCGTTGGGTCGTTCAAACCGTGGAGAAGATCATCTGGGACCTAGACGCGCGTCAGCATTCGCGATGAGCAGGATCCGACATTGAGGGCGGGGCCTTACCAGGCACATTTCTTCGATGTTTGCTATCAACACCTCCACAGCTTCAATCGCATACATTGGGTCACTTCCAAGGCTTGAAGTTCCGTTTTTGTCGAAGAGAACATTCGGGGCAATGACGGTTGCCAGGTTCTTGATGTCCATCTTTGAGCCGGACTCATCGTCAACCTGGTGGAATGACCCAACCCATTTCAGGAAGCAGAACAGTATCTCCAGACAATCCCGGTTCGGCTTGGGAAGCAAACAGCATGTCAAATGAAGACAATGCCGCATCTTTTGCTCGTCTTGTATCTTGGCAGCCGCCAGCCACAGCCGATAGAGCTTGTGCGTCATCAACGGATCAGGCAGTTCCCGGAGGTAACGCTTGAGAAGGGCGGCCACCTGGACTACATGAGTCGAGCTGAAGTCGACCTCCTCTTCTCTGTCGAGCTTCTCGACCAGCTCACCAAGTTTCTTGATGTTGCCGTTTTTGCGGAAGACACCCTCGACAGAGAGGTCCATCTGCTTCATTGATGAGATGATGTCGTCAACTACGGCGGGCACTCTCAATGTACCCGGTCCAACACCATCTGTCGATTCGGCACCATCTCTGTCGATAATGACCTCCAACGGAACTCCGAAAACTCCTTTCTTCTTGACATTCTTTTTGCCATCGTTCTTGAAGGCCTTCCCAATGTTCTTCCAGAAGGTGGCTGGTTTCCTACTCTCAATGAAGCCAAGCAATTCCTCCAGTGAGAACTCCGACTCAACCATGGGGTGCATGGTGAGAACAGCGAGATGCCTGACGATGAAATATTCCAGCGCTGAGAGCTCTGAAAAATATCTTCGGCCGCCACGCTGAGGCAGATGATCGCCAGGAGCGCGCATGTCTGCTCCCTTGCCGTCTGAAAGGCTGCGCTGATGACCACCTCCATCACCGAACCTAGGATCAGTCGCCGGCGAACGGAAGAGTTCCTGCCGCCCTGTAGCATATGGTCTCTGCTCTCTGGCCTGCCCGGCAGCGACAATTCGGGGAATATCATCCAACGTCAGCGCATCCTGATTGGGTAACATCATATCTTCCTCGTCAGCCGGTCCCCTTTCCTCAACAATTTGGAAGCCCTTGTTGACTTCTCCTTCGCCACCGCCGCCGCCGGAGGAGCCTGGTCGAGCGGCACTGCTCTCGGGGCCATCCAGGATTCGCGAGGTCCGCGCTTTCCTAAAGCTTGATGATAGATGCTTATCCAGCCGCGTGCTCTTTAATCTTCGTACATCGTTCAAAGCGCTCTCGTAAGATGACTCTCGGCGATGTTGTGCTTGATCCTCTCCGTAGTCCCTGGATCGGCCGTCGGCAGGGTTGTAACCACTCCCAGTCGGATCGTCTGAAGCCCTCGAAAGGGCCCCGCTGACCCGAAGTATCTCCAGGAGCCTTGCAAGTGCCACCTGAAGCAGGAAGACATACTGTTGAAGCTTGGTGACATGCTCAAAAGGTGGGTTTTGAACTGGCGTTTGGGGATAACAAGTAGTGCAGAAGATTTTAGCGTCGTAGGTGTTTAGACGCGCATCCTGGAGGTTCCGACATAGATCCTTGCCACATTGTGAACACTTGGTGCATGCAATATGCCATCTGCTGTCGCCGTTCTTCGCGCACTCGTCTTCGATGGGTTTCCGACAGAGGATGCACTGATCCGAATCATGGGCCGAAAGCCGGGATAATCCGGATGTCAGCTGCAGGGTGGTGGTGGAATTGTCTTCTATTTTCAGCGCCTCAAGATCGCCAATGTCATCGAGAAAGTGGTAGAGGCCGTCAGACGTATTTCGGTCCTTCTCTATGCGAAGCGCGCCCTGGAGGCAGATCCGAATGAGGAGCTTGAGATAGTGGGCGAGCCCGGTGACAAGAGTCAGTAATTCTTGTGTGACGCCGGGCTTACGCGCAGCTCTGTCCTGCGTCTTGGACAAGAGAGAGAAGAAGGCCACAATTTTTTTGCAAAGAAGCTTAGCTTCTCGCGCGTAAGCAAGGCCTATAAATACAGCGCGCTTAGCGGTTTCCTCTCGAGCAGTTAAGGTTTGACGTTCAGAGGAGTGTCCTCACCTTTCATTTCCAACTGGGCCATAGTGGCGTCGAGTCTGTCTGCCGATCGGAACAGGATGTCAACGTGGAAAATAAACTTCTTGGCGACCATGACGCCGTCGACATAGGCCCCGTTGCTCACATGCAAAAGCATGTCCGATATACAGGCGGCCGATGACTCCTCAAAGGTCGATAGCACGCTCCAGATGCGGTAAACCTTCTCCTCCATGCGCTCTTCTTCCTCTCGAACCAGTTCACGGCCCTCCGGGTCGTCCTTGATCATGGCTGTCGTTCCTTGTGGCGGGTTCAACCTGACGTTCCAGAACTTGTGAATCATGTAGCACTCGGGGTGCCAGTGCTGGTTTTGGCCGTTCCTGAAAATTTCGACAAACTGTTTTAGAATTGCAGCCTGGCAGCCGTTGCAGCGCTGGGCGAACTGAGTCGAATAATGATAGTGGCAGTAAACTTGGCCGTCATGCTCATAGTAGCTGTCTTGGGCGCCAAATACTGTCGGACATAAGGAGCATGTGAAATGATCAACATGGTACTTGCGGTCTAGGGCGGTGATATACGATCCTCGAAGCGCGCCGCCGCATTGATAGCATAGTAGGTCGAGTCGTCGGAAGTAGTCTGTCTCGCAAAGGGGGTACTGGCCACCACCGTTTTCGTCATCGGCGGGAAAGAATTTGGAGGCCACAATCTGACCACAGTCCTAGAAAACGATCAAAGTCAATGAGCGAGCACCTCATACATATAAGGCCGCAGACTCACCCGACACCTGAAACAATCCAAATGGAAGGTCCCATCCAGCGCGCGAACAAACTGGCCTGTTAAGGGCTCTCCGCATTTTCTGCATGTTCGTATCTGGTGGCCGCTGGCAGACCTTGAGCCCCGCGGCCTCGACCTGTTTCTCTCCCCGCTGCGTCTCGACTCGGTGTCCGTGTCGGCGGCACTCAGCGCTGGGGAGGCGGGCGGTCGTCCAGGCTGATTCCCGTGACCCCCGCCGTTGTGTCGAGACGATGGTGGGGCCCGGCTGGCATGGTCGTTCTCCATCCAGTATTGGCTCTCACCGCCATGTGTCTGAGGAGAACCCGGGGTCCAATCACCATGGGGCCGGCCGCCGCCATAATCATATCCAGCCATGGTAGACTATTCCTCAATCCGCCGGCTACTGCTCATTTACAATGCACCATAGAAAGCTCTGCTTGAGAGGAAGGATAGCCGTCGAGATGAGAAGATATTATGGGTGCGCCTATTGACAGTCGTGGGCTCAATCGGAGAGTCGGAACAGGAGCGACAGTAGGAGAGGGAGGGGTAAGTAGGAGCTGGCTCAACATTAAGCAGCCAAACAAAAACGAGAAGGGAGAGGAGACCGCAGTATTGCCTCTGAGCGGATTGGCCAAAAGCACCGGCGCAATAACGTATCGGGGTTCGGGGCGGCGGCTGTGAGCGAACGGACTCAGCCGGTACAATTGGAGTGGAAATGGTTCGAGGCTGAGGGGGAAGACGTCGACGTGACAAGTCGATGGAGTCGAGTCTCGGCCGGTTGCAGCAGAGCCAGCAGGTAGCGGCAGGCTCCCTTCTTCTTGCTCCCGGTGGCTTATGTTGGAGAAACGACCAGGACGGGCCCCAAAATTCGATGCAAGGCCGTCGCGGATGCCCGTTGCGGATGCCGAGTGCGGTGGCGGGTTCGCTGTCAGCCGGCCAGAGATGACAGAAGTCGGAGGTGTTCAGGAGGTCGGGGTTGTGCGGTCCACTCCACTGGACGTCGGGTTGAACAACTCAACAACAGCGATCGACAAGCCCCCGCCACGGCGTATTAGTGCAATTTCCAGGCTTTGTGTTGGGCAGTGTCAGAATCCAGTAGGCAGCGGGCCCATTCATGCCACCTAGGCGGACAACAGCCGCTGGCCATCGACAGAGGTTTATGTAGCTGAATCGAGCTAGAATGAAGAGGGCAAGTTGTCCCTTTCAATTAACAGCACATCTTTACTTCGACATGCAATGACAAGAGGATATTGTAAGGGTGCACTAATTTGCAACCTGGAGGCTTTTTCGAAACAACTTAAGGTAGCTAGGTGATTATTCGTACATACCACAGACACGGAGGTACCTAGTAATAATTACCACGTTGTGAATGTAAAATACATGGATACAGTAGCGGTATACTACATGCAACTCCTGTATGTACAGTACAGTACCACAACTCAGCATAACGTTACTGAGTTTGTGGATCTTCAACAGAAGCTAAAGTGCCAAATACGATTGCTTACAGTACTTTGTAACCCTGACAGGACTGTAAGTACATCCAAAACTGTACTATACGATACCAAGTACGTGCACACCCTTACATACAGTAAATGAAACATCTGTACAGTAGACGGAACGCTTTCCCCGCCATTCTCTCCGCCGACTTCCCGCCAGCACGAAACAAACAGGATGGAAATCAACATGCGGATACCCGACCATTTGGGCAAACAAAGGAACAGTTTATAAGAGTATCCTTGTTTAAGCTGTGCCCTATTGTTTATTTTCTTCGGTGTTGAAGGTGAGATTGCTGCCTCTGGTACATAACCTTTGGCCCGTCTCACCTTCGGCCCAGATGCCGGACATTCTTGAAGTGCTGACTCGCCAGGTTCGCCTACTGGTAGATGATTGGCAGTCATCGCATCCAAACCCCTCCCCAGCAAACGTCCAAACTCACATCGATCGTCGCTCTTCAACCTCAATTATTCAGGGTCCGAATGCCAACCACCCCTTAATTATACGGAGAGCTGCCGTCCATAATTGCAGCCCCCACGGTCCCGATCACCAGCACTCTCCTGTCTCCTCAACCCAACGTCGCCGTGGTGCTTTACTGATTGTGAAATAAGTGTGTCAAGTTCTCGTTGGCTGTGTGCATCGAATTCCCTAGTTAAAGGCTAACCAGCTTCTTCAATCTCCGTTCAATCGTTTCTCTCCCACTCAACGTGCCCCAGACTCGTTGAGGTGCGTCATCCACTGTGTCCCAACTTTGTAGATTGGCTGTGAGATGGGTGAGATCCCGTTGCTGTTCAACATCTTCGTGTCAGTCAAGGGCCTATACATGAAGACGGATTTCAAATTTGCTTGCCTTGTCTTCCCACTCCTTGTCTCTGCGGACATGTTCACCTGAACTTATCACCACCAGCGGAGTGTCCTTGTCTTGGATGGCGCGGCTGGAGACAACATCACGCTTGGTAAGCGAGTCTGCTACCAGGCTCTCCTGAAGTTTAGCGAAAATGGTTGTGCCCGATTGGTAGGAAGAACGACCCCATATCCTGTCGGCAGCCCGCCTGCCTCTGATTACAGCTCCCAGGATACGGTCGAGGCCGAGGGGTGATATCACGCCTTGGATGAAAAGCATGAAGCCACGGCCAGCGTTGCTCACGCGTGAGAGCAGGTCTTCGTGCAGCGGGTCGATCATCAAGATTCCTCGGACTGCGTCACCATGGCGCGAGCTGAAGACCCGCGAATACAGAGAACCAATACCGGCGCTTACGAGCACCCAGCTATCACAAAAGTGCCTTGTTAGCATCACGTTGATGCAAGAGGCGCATACCACATTCTGGATGCCACTTACGGTCCTTGTTCTCCAGCCCGTGAAAGCGTTTCGCTCAGGGCATCAGACGCGATGCTGGCCGAGAATGGGGACGGGGCGGTATCGCTCTGTTCCGTCGATGTCAGCGCACGAAACGAAAGAAGCATATGCATTATGGATATGCTTCCAGCTTACCCAAGCCATGCCCGGTCGATCGGCAAAGCAGAATCTGCGAATTGAACCGTTCTTGACCGCGTTCTCGGCAAACTGCCATAGGCCGCGCTCTACCGGGTCCTCACCTCCTTCCAGGAGCACCGTCGTCGCCACACCGCCGCTCGCGTCGGTCTTGTTGCCGTGACAGTACAGGTGGATCTGGTATTTGTCTCCGTCTACCCAGTACCGCTCACCGGGAGGATCCAAGCTGGAGTCGAGGCCTCGTATGGTGAGCGTACACGTGGTCAACACCACGACAGCCGCCATGACGAAAAGCGCAACTGTTGATAGCAGAACCTCTGACCATTCCAGCAGCGAGCGCCTGCTCTCGGGTCTGCCGGTTAAGCGCTCCTCTTCCTCGGCCTTGCCCCATGCCACGGTGCGGTCGACAGCTACAGACCAGATGGCCATCAGCAACGCCCAAATCACACTAGCAATTCCCGCCCAGAGTTCCTCGTGCCGCAACCTCGGGACTGCCAGGATGAGGATCGCATCGACAAGCAGCAACACGGCAGTAACGATGCCGAGTACTCTTGTCAACCGGCTAGGGATCGAGAAGAACAGCAGCGTCACAATCAAGGTGAGAAGCGCGATGGAGGCATAGCTGAAGGCAAAAAAGGGGGAGCCGCGGACGTGGAGGCCGGGTGGCGTAATGAAGACCGAGACGATCATCAACACCCACCAGATAAAGGTGATGCAGGCAAGGGCCACGGTAGCAAAGCGCACGATGCGGACGGTCCATAGGTTGTATGGCGACACGGCTGGGTCGTCTGGTGAGAGGTAGGGCGTGCTGTCGACGCGGTTCGGCAGAAGGCGCGTGTGCTCGTCAGGTGGATGGTCCTCGGAGACCCGGCCGGATGATGGTGAACTCTCTCCGGGTCGGCGCCCGTCGGCGTCTCTCCGTGTCCAAAACTTTTTCATGGTCTCTCTGGTACTCTGAACGATAGGCCGAGTGGTCTCAATCTTCACAGGCAGGATTGAACTTTTGGCCGTGAGGATACTTGAAATATTAAAGTGTATCAGGTAGGAGACCTTTTTATTATTTGTCGTCAACTGCGCTCCGACCCGATATATTACCGCGCAGTCCTGGGATGGACTGTCGGCTTAGGAATACGCAGCATCCCATACCTATGTTCACCTCAACCTAAAGAATCCGCCCCAAGACACCATCAAAGACGTCATGGTTTGCCCAGTGCGTTCGGTTGACAGTGCTGCTATTGGTTGATGGGCCGGAGCCGCCACGGCAGATCTGCCGCTAGACCGGAACACCTGACCCTCATTTTTATCGGATCAGTTGGGAATTCCACGGCCATCGAGATCTTCATTGTGGTAGTCACTTCAACCGAAGGACTGAATTGATGAATTCAAAATCCTTTCCTTCGCTCCCCCTTGGCTATCGCCTAATTAACTGCGTGGATTTAACGCCGAACTCATTCTACTTCTTGGTAAGTTTCTACAATCACCGGAAGGAAATACACATGTACGAAGATACATAAGGACTAGAATGTAGTGAAAATATATTGCCGTTTATGGATGTCGGATCTTAACTCCCCTTGTCAACGGGCAGTGTGGACTTACGACATGAGAAGTAATAGAAGACAAGCCAACGTTAGATGGACATTCACCGTTGGTTGAATCACTGTTAGATGGAGCTTGTCAAACACCAACTCATCAAAGATAACCAGAGCCATGAACCTACACTTCGTACGGATATTCCAAGTTCAATTTGATGGAGCTGACACACCGCGAACCTGAAAACCCACTCGCTGCGCTCTAATTCCTGACCGACCGCTGAGCGGCGCCGACTTCAACTGAGGTGCCTAGCGTGAAGAGGGGCTTGAATTTGATAGTGGGGCAAAACGGGAGTTCCATTGATAGAGCCAGGCTGCAAGTCGCCCCACCACTCCTCGGTCGCAGACTCGCATCACTCTGCATCCGCAACACAAAAGACACCGGCCAACTGCCGTTGCTGCTAACAGATTCCTGGACTACGTGGTGCCAGAAAGGTCGCAGTCTCACAGGGACCTTAGAAACAAGAGATTAGCCGCAACAAGCCTACCACGATCAATGCCGGGCCTCACCATCACGACCGGTGCCCGCCCGGCACCTGCCGCGACGCGGGGCACAACCTCAAGCGCGGGCGCGAACGCAGGCGCGACGGGCGCAAGCACCACAAACCATCAGCGGCGAACGTCATCGCCAGCGCGGCCTCCAGTTAGCCCAATCACCCCAACACTAGGGCCAAGGCAGGTGTCTAGCAGTCCGCCCAACAACAACAACAACAACAACACCACCACCAATACCATCCCCGACTTCGCCCTGGGACGACCGACCTTTACGCACACGACGCAACCCGATCAGATTGGCACCGTGCCCCCTCCCGCGCAGCCCATCAACTTTGACGAGAACCCGGACGTGCTGGCTCTCAAGAGCGCCATCTCCATCCTGCAGCTGCAGCGGGCGCGCGCGACGGCCGACATCCAGTCGCTGAGCCGCGCCAAGGCCGCCGCCCTCGCCGACCCGGCCGCTTTCGTTGCCGATCTGGTTGCGGGGAGGGTAGGCACAGAGCGGGGTGGTGAGACGCTACTACTCGGGGGGAGGAGGGCAGCAGAAGACGGGCTGGCAGAAGGAGAAGAGGAGGAGGAGAGCGATGAAGACGAAGACGAAGACGAAGACGATGATGAGAATGATGATGATGATGCCGATGCCGACGACGACGAGCAAGGCTCAACAACACCCCGTTCACGATCCGGGAGACGAGTGCCGGGAAGGATGGGGAAGGGTGAAATTGACGGCACAGACCGCGAGATGTCCACAACGGACGGCGCCGGGGGGAGGAGGAGGCGGACCACACACAAACGCAAGGACACTTCTGCTGCCGCTGCCGGTCCGGCGGACTGGCGCAAACTGCCCAGGCCCCAGAACGTGGTACGCTGCCCGCCCATCAACTGGGCGCAGTACGGCGTCGTGGGCGAGTCCCTCGACAAGTTACACGCGGAGCAGCTAGCGGCGCCGACGCCGGGGGCGCCCCTGGTTCTCGGCCCGGGTGGCACCTACGAGCCTGGGCTCGCCGACCAAAATCAGCTTGCTGGTGCTGCCGGTGGGGAGCCGCCACGGCGATTAGTTGGCATTGCAGCCCCGTATACCCCAGGGAAGGATAAGCTAGAGAAGAAGGGTAAAAGTGGCAAACGCTGACTTGTCTTTTTGTAACGGTGTGGAAAAGGGAAAGCGAGTGAGTTTCACGAAGTGTACGACGAGTATGAGAATGAGGTCTGCATAGCTAGGCGTTTCGGGGTGTCAACTGAGGAAATATGGATAACGCGGCCCGGTTGGGTTAGGTTCTAGAGTTTGCCACGAAGGTGAAGGTTGTATTTTCTTGTTGAATGGAGAAGACGGAAAAGCAAAAACAGTTCCGACTTGCCTCAGGGTCTTAGTTACCATGTAAATATGGCATATTCTAATCGCTTCTCGCGCCGAGAAACATCTACCGAGCGCTTCTAAGCGAACGAGGCGCTGAAAGGAGAGGGCGAAAGTAATATGCCCCGAAGCCACGGAAACGTCAAATCACTATCGTCGCACTCTCGAAAGCAAACCCAGATCGGCACGCTCTAACTCCTGCTCTGACTGTCCTCCCTGCCAAAGGTGCCCCTGTCCGAACGCCAAACGGCTTGATTCATAAAGGCCCAAGCAAGCCAATTGCCATGCAAGAAAACTTTGTGAGTGGAAAAGCGGGAAGAAATATGGCATCACCCTAGAAGTCCCTGACCGCTTTGTTAGCCTGGGTGGGACAACTACTATCCATGTCAAGGCTACTCACTCCATCGACTGCTGTACCGACCGACGCAAGCGCCTGTTATACATCCGTCGATCTTCCGCCGAGCCCCAGTAAAGCTTAAACGCTTCGGGATGCACGAGCGTCCGCGGGTCATAGGGAGGATTTTCCTCCTCCAAAGCCTCGATGACGGCGTCGATATGGGACTTGGCATCCTCTCTGCGGCTCAAGGGGGCGAAGTAGCAAGGCGTGCCGTCTGGGGAGATGCGGTGGTGGAACAGCCGGGTTTCAAATTTGATGCGAGGCTGCTCCTCGGGGAATCGGGGACTGAATCGGAATCTAATCCTGAACAAACCTCCGTCAAGGTTTGTCATTGGTTTCCCAAAGTATGTGAGGACCCAGACGAACGGATTTCCGTCCGCCAGCTCGAGGTTGTGTGGTGTGTCCGAACGCTTGAATGACTCCACCACTTGCTCAAACTGCCGCTGGAGATTGACCGCCACGGTGGTCTCCTTAGCCTTTGCCACAAGCCCCTCTGCCGCCCATGCCTCGGCCTCATCGTCAAGCGCCTTTTTGATATTGCGCAGCCTCCGCTCGAGCTCCGTGTAGTTGAACTTCCCCTCCATGGTGTTGGTAGAACCCTCGAATGGCATGGTCACGAATGGCTGGCCATCCTTGACCTCTTCTTTCCCCTTCTGGATAGCCGCCAAGTAGGAATCGTAGTACCACAGAAACCGGCGCTTGCAAAGATCCTTGAATGGCTCGAACGGAACGCTTGAATCGTCATCGATCACGTCCATGTCAAGGTCATAGTCATCCTTTGTTGTCGCTGGAGCCGCAACTACGCCGTCAGGTCCGATTCCTAGGTACTCTTCCAGCCGTTGGATGACCGATATTCTGAGCGTCTCATGGCGGATCTGTGCACCAGTCAGCATGACGGTCCAAGGGAGAATGCAACATATGCTACCTTTTGCACGTAATCCTTCTGGTGCTTCTTGTCTGCTGGCTCGTTGGCATCCTCGAATCCGGGCTCGTTCTCGTACGGATTCGCGGACATCAGGCTCTGGATGGACAGCAGGATGGATTCCAGCCCCTGCGCAGCAGACCACTCCTCCCCCCGCTCCCCACGCCACGTCCTGGACCGTGTTAGCGCCCCTGCACCAACACCTGTATCTATCCATTCGGGATAGGAATGTTGGCTGGTTACCCAAGAATTGATCTGGAGCTTCGTCAGTATACACAGCTCGACTGCAAATGGAGGTTGACTCACAAGCAGACTCGCCCATTCGAATAGATATTGGGGTTAAATCTACATCGGCCCCCATTTGTCGTGGTCGCAGTAACTTGAGGCGATTTCCGTGGATAATCTGGGAACGTAGTTGGCATTGGCAGGTTGACGCGACAGCACTCCTTCTCCAACCAACGTACCTTTGTTGAACTTGAAGGAGAACTGGAGATGGGTTAGCAAGGCAAAGCATATTTCCCGCACTTGGTTCAATTGCAGTATACCTCGAAGAAGCCAAACTCGTACGGCGTGTCGTGAGGGCCGATAATCAGGGCTTTGACGTTCCGAACATCAACATCACGGCAGGCAACGGCGAGAGCTGGTGAGCGGTGTCAGCCCAAGGCCCTTGTATCTTCCAGTTTGCGGCGAAGAGTTCCGAGTGAGTGAGGGCTTACAGAGATCCGAGTTCTTTTGAAGTTCGCTCAACTCCTATAGGGCGGCACAGTTATTGCCATCTATAGTCAGTCCTACACTCCAAATAGTCGATCGGGCCAAGCCAAGGCGAAGTCGACCCACCTTCGTGATGCGGAAGACGGACTGATCCGCCATGGCTGCGGCTCACACAGCGGTCTTTCTAACTCAGATGGCACGACGGCATATGAGAAAGCGGTGGACGAGTGGTCGATTTGGGAGATGCGTGGGATGGGGAAGATTGCTGAGAGGCGATCTTATCGAGGGCGTGAACTGCCAATTCGTTGTGCTGAGGAGAGTCGGCGAGCCGTTGGAGATGCCCAGGTGGGGACCGGTATTTAGGGCCTACAGGCTCCCAAAGGTACCTTGATTGCCCCGCAGTTAGGAAACGAACTTAACCTAATTGGTGCAAATCTACCTGAGGCTGCCGCCTGCTCCACACCTGGGGAAAGATGCGGGGCGGCTTGCGTGCCCAACCAGACGGGACCGATTGAGGTGCTCCCTTCGATCCTAACCAACAAACCACAACCTAAGGCACCGGAACCTTCGAGCCTGGGTGTGAATTAGCGTGGCTAGTACAGCCCAGTACCCAGCACCATTTAGTTGCCTAGATCTCTCCTAGCTAGGCTGTGATGATTCGAATTTGCATTTGGATACGAGGGCGCAGGCAGTACGGTGCTTCTTTGCTGTGAATACCTAACCAATCGCCAAATGGCTGTTGCCGGTACGGAGGCTCGGAGCTACTCTCCGCAGCCTTTTGAAGTTTCAGCGGAATTGGTGCAGGGTATTGCTTGAGCAGCAAAGAGTAGCTTAATGGAGGTGCCGGGCAGCGAATCTGACGAATGGTTTGCTTGTGAAAGACAAGAACATCCAATCTAGGTCATGGCGGTTCTGCCTGGAGCGGCTACCTACCTACCTAGGTAGTTCATTGTCGTGGGCAGATCTTCTACGCTGAGAAACCTTGTTAGACGGTATGTACTGTACCTTAAACCTCGACTGAATGCCAACACCATGATGCATGTAACTCTGTCAGGTAGACGAGGCTGGGATTGCTGTGGTCCAGCCTGTGGAGAACCCCCTGCACTCAGCAGTGCACCATTGAGGGGCTGAAGACGCGTTCCTGGCGCGGTTTCTCGGCTCGACGCGTAAAGTGCCTGCGTCAATCGGGTCGTGCTGCGATCAAGTGCTAAGCTTGAATCTCGATCCAGCCCGAGACATCGCAAAAAAAAATTACAGCACTCCCGGGTCCTGGATTAATATACAGAAAGTCGCCAAAGTGTGCATTGGCTTGCAATGTCAAACTTTTTTGACATCAAGGCTCGCAAGGCCGCCGCCGCAACCGGAGCGTCATCGGCCAGCGCTGAGAAGCAGACATCAGAGAATACAAGAGTGCAACCATGGGTTGAGAAATAGTATGTACCATTGACGCTGGTATGCTCAAACTAAGATGATTGATTGATCATAAATAGCCGTCCCAAAACCCTCAGCGACGTCGCGGCACAGGACCATACCATCACCGTCCTTCAACGGACGCTCCAAGCTTCTAATGTAGGTGCAGTTCAACTCTTCGGGTATCACACACACTACCCCCAGTCCACTGACCTCTTTGATCCACGCAGCTCCCACACATGCTCTTCTACGGGCCCCCCGGCACAGGCAAGACTTCAACGATCCTCGCCTTAGCCAAGGAGCTGTACGGACCCGAGCTCATCAAATCTCGAGTACTCGAGCTCAACGCCTCGGACGAGCGCGGCATCTCCATCGTGCGCGAGAAGGTCAAGGATTTTGCCCGGATGCAGCTCATAAACCCGAGTCCGGCCTACAAGGCGAAGTACCCATGCCCGCCCTATAAGATCATCATCCTCGACGAGGCCGATAGCATGACGCAGGACGCGCAGAGCGCGTTGCGCCGCACCATGGAGACATACAGCAAGATCACGCGCTTCTGCCTCATTTGCAACTACGTCACTCGCATCATCGATCCGCTGGCCAGCCGTTGCAGCAAGTTCCGCTTCAAGAGCCTCGATCAGGGAAATGCGCGGAGGAGGCTGGAGGAGATTGCGAAGCTGGAGGGCGTGGGCATTGAGACCGCCGCTATAGATGCACTGATTCGGTGCAGCGATGGCGATTTGAGAAAGGCAATCACCTATCTACAGAGCGCTGCGAGACTGGTTGGACATGGGGCTTCCTCAGATCACGGCAGTGATGGTGACAAGATGGATGTCGAGAGGCTGGTCACGACCAAGGTCGTCGAGGATATTGCCGGCGTTATCCCGGATAAGACGATCGCGGAGCTGGTGAAGGCAATGCGCCCGCGTGCTGCTGGCGAGACGTACCAGGCCATTGCCAAGGTGGTGGAAGACATGGTGGCGGACGGGTGGAGCGCGGGGCAGATCATGTCACAACTTCACCAGGCTGTCGTTTATGACGAGACCATTCCGGACGTTCAAAAGAATAAGATTGTCATGGTCTTCTCGGAGATCGACAAGAGGCTGGTAGATGGCGCCGACGAGCATCTCTCAATCCTGGACCTTGCGCTTCGTATCTCTGGCATTATGGCGGGAAGGTAGTTAACCGTTGTCGCCGCAGGAAGCTAAATACAGGGTAGTTGGAGTTAAGGCAAATGCGCCACGGTTCACAAAAATATGGTCACGGGTATGCTCTCGGCGTTCAGGGGCGGCTAGGGAATATATGATTGAGTTGGCGGTACAGTACTGATCGTGCTTACGGAGGTTGTTTGTCAGCTCGAAGGAGCCCGAGGTTTCCTTTCAATACAGACCATGGCTGGTCTGATGTTTCTGGATTTCGACTGGTATGCTTCCTCGTGCCAGGCCTCTTTTCGGAAGGCTTGTCTTCGGCCAGCCAAATGTCATCCCCCGTGGTGCCAACCCCGTCATCGCTGTCTTTTTGGCTGTTCGTGCGCCGTCCCAGCAGTTGGTCAAGCTTAGCGAGTGTGTGCATCGACCCCTCGAGGGCAATCTGTCCTTCCTCAATATTCTCAGCCACGGTTTCCAAGGTAGAAATCTTTGCAGAGTCTGCAGCGAACACCCAGGGCCTGACTGCGCTATAAGGGTCGGCACATTCGGCAACCTCAAGCCCATCCATGAGTGGCGAGCTGCGCCGTGACGCCCCTGGCATTGGGTGAGCCGGTATCAGCTGGCTCTCCTCGGCCAAGTGGTCGATAACTTTGCTGTTTTCTTTCGTCTGCTTGGCGATGGCCGCGTTGATGTAGGCCTTTTCGGTGATGAGCCCCTTTTGTTCTCGTGCAACGGAGAGTAGCTGTTCGAGGTACGGAGAGAGGAGGTGTGACACGGGACGTGGTTTTGGCGCCGGAACGGCAGACCGCTGCTTGTCCTTGGTAGGGGGTTTAATATCCGGCTTTGCCTGCTGACCTGCAAACTGAAGAAGAGCTTTTCGAGCTTCGAGATACTGCGTGTACTTCTCCCTAATGCTGGCGAGCTGTTCCTCTAGGTGAACAGGATCGCCGGGGGCCCGGTGCGTCTGGATATCTTGTCCTTCGCTATTAGCATCATCCCCGGATGCTTTGCTGAGTTCGGCCTCCATCCAGTTGATGAGCTCGGCCCTGGTCCTATTCAGCGCCTCAAACTTGGTAGTTTCGTCTATACTCTCGGGCCTGGCGGTGAATCGCGACTTGACCTTCTCCAAGAACTGCTCCTCGCGTCGAAGAAGCATGTTCGCCTGGAGGACGTGTATCTCCAACTTGTCAATTAGGTCCTTGAGCCGAGGGTCAGGGCTTGTTTTGTCGAAGGCCAGGGCAGTGGCCAACTCCTTTGGCACGTCTGGAAGCGAGCGCAAATCCCTAAAGACCTCGTCAGGATCCAGGAATCCAGGCGACGCAGCTGGTTTCTGCTTCAGCAGATTAAGGGTCTTTTCGACTGCCTCCAGCCTCTCGTGCTTCTTTTGAAGCCGGATGGCGGCAAGGTGACCCTCCACGCATTTCCCCCCGTTATCGTCAGTGGCCGTGGATGTCTCGCTAGACAACGCCTTCTGCTCGCGGCAGCATACAGTAAACTCGCTACGAGCCCTGATGTTGGCGGCCAATGCCTCAAGGTATTCCCGCTGAAGACCTCGAGCTGTGCTGCGTGATGAGCTAGGCCCGTCGACATCAACAAGAGCCAAGGGAGCTACGGCACTTGCACCTTCGAGGCATGAATCGAGATGAGCTGCCAGAACCTGCCTGATTCGCGTAACCTCTTCCCGCGGCCGTATGTAAGGTTCGAGGGTCTTCTGAATGGCCTTGATCGTCTCGTTGCCAGTTGACCCCATCATGCACCGTCTAATCGCGTATTATACGTGGTCATACTGCACTCCTTGACGAGCCTTCGGTTCCAGGTTCAAAAGGTGCAGGTCGATGCGACCTGGCATGTTTATTCCACTGTGCAGCTGAGGCCTTCAGTGATTAGGAGGGCGTGTGCACGGGCTTCATCTGCCTAAGAGCACGGGACTTTGGCGGATCTGTCAGTGGAAAGCCTAGCAAACTTAGGTGCTCCCATCCCCCAGGGAGCTGCAGCCAATGAGCGCGACAGCGCGGTTCGCCCAAAAATTTCCAAGCATCAACGCCCCATCCTGGAAGTCGACGCATCCTCCAAAAGCGCGACTCCAAACAACAGCTCTCTAGCAGTTTTGATACCCCGTCGAGACCCGTATCCAGAGCAAGGGTTCGATGCACTGCGCTGGTCATCTTCTGTCTGCCACGCAAAAGACCAAGTTTCGGTGTGCGGCTGGTTCTGGTTGATTATCGCCACAGAGCCGTGATGCAAGAACTGCACTCGGCGGCGATTCCATAACCTCGACACTCTTGATCCCATCGCAAGTCATTCCATTGCTTGCTTCCTCCGGTCGTCTCGTCTGCCTTCAAACTTTTCGTTTCGTTTTACGGTGGAAGAACATCATTACCTCCAAAGATGTCGGATTATCATCGCGATGTCTCGCAATACAAGTACTCGGCCATGTCCAACCTGGTCCTCCAGGCGGACCGCCGGTTTGTCACAAGACGGACCGACGAGGCCACTGGGGACCCCGAGTCGCTGGCCGGCCGCTTGTCCATCAAGGACATGGGCTCCCGCGTAGCACGCGACGCCGCACCGAAGCCGAAGAAGACGAGCGCCATGCCAGATGTAGAGCGGGGGAGCATGCGGGAAGGCGCTGACGTCCTGCAGCTCGTGAAGCAGAAGGGAAAGGCCGAGGCGCGCGGTGGCGGGATCCTGTCAGGCGCCGATGCCCTGATCGAAGGAATCCGGTACCGCCCACGAACGCAGCCTACCCGTGATGCTTTCAACCTTATCTTGACGATTGTGTCAGAACACCTCGGCGACGTCCCCCACGAGGTTGTGCGGAGTGCGGCCGACGCGGTGCTAGAGTATCTCAAAGACGATGACTTGAAGGATTTTGATAAAAAGAAGGAGATCGACGACATCTTGGGGGCCTCGATGGGGCCAAAGCAGTTCAACGAGCTTGTAAATCTTGGAAAGAAGATCACGGATTATGACGCTCAAGACGACGAGGAGGATATGGAGCAAGTAAAGCGAGACGGTGAAGATGAGATTGACGGCCGCCAAGGTGTTGCTGTCAACTTCGAGGACGAGGACGAAGGCATGGTTGATGTTGTCCGAGATGAGTCCTCGGAAAGTGAGGCCGAGGGTGATGAAGACGATCGCCCAGAAGAAGCTGCCGAAGGCGAGGAGGCGGGTCAGGATCGCGAGGAAGAAGAGCCGGGGTTGGCGGACGAGGCCATGGTGATTGACTCGGCGCCCAACGGGCAATCCAAGTCCGAGGAGAAAAACTACATTCCCGCCCGAGACGTCGATGCATACTGGTTGCAGCGACAGATTGGCCGGCTTTATCCAGATGCACATATTCAACACGACAAGACTTTGTCGGCTCTCAAGATCCTATCAGGGGAACCGGATGAACCCGGTGGTGAGGAAAAGCAGCTTCGCGATATTGAAAATGACCTGATGGAGCTCTTCGACTATGAGCACCATGAACTCGTGCAAAAGCTCATTGAAAACCGCGAAAAGGTCGTATGGCTCACGCGGCTGGCCAGAGCCGAGAACCAGGAGGAACGTGACACTATTGAGAGAGAGATGGCATCCGAAGGGTTGCGCTGGATTCTCGACGAACTACACGGAAAGCCCAAAGATGGCCAGAAGAAACTGAAGGTGGAAATCAAAATGGACATCGATTCGGGCGCCTTCGCCGACGGACAGCCTCAGAAACAGGAGCGTTCGGGGGCGCAGCTCGTTGGGGGGCTTCAACCGAGGAAACTAATCAACCTGGACAATCTTGTCTTTGACCAGGGCAACCACCTCATGACTAACCACAGGGTGAGGCTGCCTGAGGGCACGACGAAGCGGACCTTCAAAGGCTACGAGGAAGTCAACATCCCCCCTCCAAAAAGGCGCAACGATCCCAGTGACCAGAACATTCCCATCAGCGAGATGCCGGAATGGGCCCAGATTCCTTTTGGTACAACCAAGTCACTCAACAAAATACAATCCAAGTGCTATCCCGTGGCATTCGAGGACGACGGCAACATGCTTGTTTGCGCCCCGACAGGCAGCGGCAAGACCAACGTTGCCATGCTGACCATCCTTCGAGAGATTGGGAAGAACAGGAATAGCAAAGGAGAGCTTGATCTGGATGCCTTCAAGATTGTTTATATCGCACCTCTAAAGGCTCTTGTCCAGGAACAGGTCGGGAATTTTGGGAAGCGCCTGGAGCCCTACGGCATCAAAGTCTCGGAGCTTACTGGTGACCGGCAGCTCACCAAGCAGCAAATATCCGAGACCCAGATCATTGTGACTACGCCAGAAAAGTGGGACGTCATCACCAGAAAGGCCACTGACATCTCCTACACTAACCTTGTCCGGCTTATCGTCATAGATGAGATTCATCTGCTGCACGACGACCGCGGTCCAGTTCTCGAGAGCGTAGTCAGCAGGACCATTCGCCGCACCGAGCAGACGGGTGAGCCGGTCCGCATCATTGGTCTCTCTGCAACCCTGCCGAACTATCGAGATGTTGCCAGTTTTCTTCGGGTTGATCCGAACAAGGGCATGTTCCACTTTGATGGGTCGTACCGCCCATGCCCCTTACGCCAGGAGTTCATTGGCGTCACGGACAGGAAGGCCATCAAGCAGCTCAAGACGATGAATGACATTACCTATCAGAAGGTCCTTGAGCATGTTGGCAAGAATCGCAATCAGATGCTGGTATTCGTCCATTCCAGAAAGGAAACGGCCAAGACAGCAAAGTATATACGCGATAAGGCCCTGGAGATGGATACAATCAACCAGATTCTCAAGCACGATGCTGGCACTCGTGAAGTATTGAGTGAGGCGGCGAACTCGGTCAACAACACGGATCTCAAGGACATCTTGCCATATGGCTTCGGTATCCACCACGCCGGCATGAGCCGAGCTGATAGGACCGACGTTGAAGACCTTTTCGCCAGCGGGCACATCCAGGTCCTTGTGTGCACGGCGACGCTCGCCTGGGGTGTCAACCTTCCCGCTCATACAGTCATTATCAAGGGGACGCAGGTCTATTCGCCGGAGAAGGGCAGCTGGGTTGAGTTGAGCCCCCAAGATGTCCTCCAAATGCTAGGCCGTGCAGGCAGACCCCAGTTCGACACGTACGGCGAGGGTATCATCATCACAACACAAGGCGAGATTACGTACTATTTGTCGCTGCTCAATCAACAGCTGCCGATTGAAAGCCAAATGGCCAGCAAGCTTGTTGACAACCTCAACGCCGAGATTGTCCTTGGGAATGTCCGAACCCGTGATGAGGGTGTCGAGTGGCTTGGATACACTTATCTCTTTGTCCGGATGCTCCGTTCCCCAGGACTTTACAGTGTTGGCGCCGAGTATGCAGACGATGAGGCCCTGGAGCAAATGCGCGTGGACCTGGTACATTCAGCCGCAACCGTCCTGAAAAAGTCGAACCTGATCAAGTACGATGAAAAGACCGGGAAGATGCAGTCAACAGAGCTCGGACGTATCGCCTCCCACTACTACATCACACACGGGTCGATGGATACCTACAACAAGCTAATACAGCCGTCCATGAATGACGTCGAGCTTTTCCGAGTCTTCGCCCAAAGCGCCGAGTTCAAATACATCCCGGTTCGCCAGGAGGAGAAGCTCGAGCTTGCCAAGATCCTCGCTCGAGTCCCGATTCCCGTCAAGGAGAGCATCGAAGAACCGGCTGCCAAGATCAATGCCCTTCTCCAGGCTTACATTTCTCGCCTTAAGCTTGAAGGGCTGGCCCTCATGGCGGACATGGTTTACGTCACTCAGTCTGCTGGCCGTATCCTTCGGGCTATTTTTGAGATTACTCTCAAGAAAGGCTGGGCTTCTGTGGCCAAGCTGGCGCTGAACCTGTGCAAGATGGCTGAGAAGAGAATGTGGCCGACCATGTCACCACTCAGACAGTTCCCCGGCTGTCCGGCCGAAATTGTTCGGAAGGCAGAGAGGATCGAAGTGCCGTTTACCAGTTACTTCGACCTGGACCCTCCTCGCATGGGCGAGCTGCTTGGGTTGCCAAAGGCTGGGAAGACTGTGTGCGCTCTGGTTGCCAAATTTCCTCGCCTCGAGATCCAAGCCCAGGTGCAGCCCATGACGAGATCGATGTTGCGTGTTGAGCTCACCATTACCCCAAACTTTGAATGGGATCTGGATGTGCATGGACTGGCCGAAAGCTTCTGGATCATCGTCGAGGACTGCGACGGCGAAGACATACTCTTCCACGACCAATTCATCCTCCGCAAGGACTACGCCGAGGCCGACGAGAACGAGCACCTTGTGGAATTCACTGTACCTATCTCCGAGCCGATGCCCCCCAACTACTTCATCTCTGTCGTCTCGGATCGGTGGATGCACTCCGAAACTCGCATGGCAGTGTCATTCCAGAAGCTCATCCTGCCTGAACGGTTCCCTCCGCACACAGAGTTACTCGAACTGCAACCCCTCCCAGTGGCCGCCCTGAAAGCGAAGGACTACATGGCTCTCTACCCGGACTGGCAACAATTCAACAAGGTGCAGACTCAGACTTTCAATTCCCTGTACAATACGGACAACAATGTCCTCATCGCTGCCCCGACGGGAAGCGGCAAAACCGTATGCGCAGAGTTCGCATTGCTCCGTCACTGGGCCAAGCAAGACCACGGGCGAGCCGTCTACATTGCCCCCTTCCAGGAACTGGTGGACCTCCGGTTTCAAGACTGGCAAAAGCGGCTTTCCCATGTCCGAGGCGGGAAGGACATCGTAAAGCTGACGGGAGAAACCACAAGTGATCTGAAGCTGCTGGAGCAGGGCGACTTAATCCTGGCCACGCCGATTCAGTGGGATGTTCTATCGCGCCAGTGGAAGAGGAGAAAGAACGTGCAAACGGTAGAGCTCTTCATCGCGGATGAGTTGCATATGCTCGGCGGGCAAATGGGTTATATCTATGAGGTCGTCGTATCCCGGATGCACTACATTCGCACGCAGGCGGAACTTTCCATGAGAATCGTTGGCCTTAGTGTATCCCTTGCCAATGCTCGCGACATTGGTGAATGGATTGACGCCAAGAAGCATGACATTTACAACTTCAGCCCTCATGTGCGGCCAGTGCCGCTGGAACTTCATATCCAGTCTTACACAATACCCCATTTCCCGTCGCTCATGCTGGCCATGGCAAAACCGACGTATCTTGCTGTCACACAAATGTCGGCCGACAAGCCAGCGCTCATCTTCGTGCCCAGTCGGAAGCAGACCAGAGCCACGGCTCGGGACATCCTCACGGCATGTCTTGCCGACGATGATGAAGACCGGTTCTTGCATGTTGAAGTTGACCAGATCCGGAAGCTCCTTGAGAGGGTTCAGGAAGAAGCCCTTGCCGAGGCGCTCTCTCACGGTGTGGGCTACTACCACGAAGCGCTAAGCCAGAGTGACAAGCGCATCGTGAAACATCTTTACAACAACGGCGCCATCCAAGTCTTGATTGCCTCTCGGGACGTCTGCTGGGAGCTCGATTGCACGGCGCACCTGGTGATCGTCATGGGGACGCAATACTTTGAGGGAAGAGAGCACCGCTACGTTGACTATCCCCTCAGCGAAGTCCTCCAGATGTTCGGAAAAGCCATGCAGCCATCCAAAGACGGACGGGGTCGCGGCGTGCTCATGCTTCCGGCAGTTAAGCGAGAGTACTACAAAAAGTTCCTCAACGACGCCCTCCCCGTCGAGTCTCATCTGCACAACTTCCTCCATGATGCGTTTGTGACGGAAATCAGCACAAAGATGATTGAGTCGGGCGAAGACGCCATCAACTGGGCCACTTTTACCTACTTCTACCGGCGCCTTCTCGCCAACCCAAGCTACTACGGCCTGGTGGATCCCACGCACGACGGGCTCAGCCAATATCTCTCGGACCTGGTCGAGACGACACTGCAGGAGCTTTCCGAGGCCAAGATCATCGATCTGGATGAGGATGACGGGACGGTGGCGCCTCAGAACGCAGCAATGATTGCGGCATACTACAACATCTCGTATCACACCATGCAGACATTCCTTCTGTCCCTGAAGCCCAAGACGAAGCTGAAGGGCCTCCTGGAAATTGTGTCGTCGGCCACCGAGTTTGAGTCGATACAAATCAGGCGGCACGAGGAAGCTCTCCTGCGGCGCATTTACGACAATGTGCCCGTCAAGATGACGCAAGCTGTTTTTGACTCGCCTGATTTCAAGGCGTTTGTGCTGATCCAGGCTCACTTCTCGAGAATGAACCTGCCAATCGATCTCGCCAAGGATCAGGAGGTCATTTTGACCAAGGTCCTCAGTCTCCTGAGTGCGGCTGTTGACATATTGTCGTCTGAAGGCCATCTGAATGCGCTCAACGCGATGGAAATGTCGCAGATGGTGGTGCAAGCCATGTGGGACCGCGACAGCCCGCTAAAACAGATTCCCAACTTCACGCCCGAGGTGGTGAAAGTGGCCAACAAATATGGCATCCGGGACATTTTTGACTTTATGGAGAAGATGAACCCTGATGAGAACCCCGACTATGGGTCGCTGATCAAAGAGCTCGGCCTCTCGCAGGCGCAGCTCGCGCAGGCAGCCAATTTCACCAACACCAAGTACCCGGACATCTCGCTTGAGTTCGAGGTGGAGGATGAGAACAATATCCGGGCGGGTGAGCCGGCGTATCTCAAAATCCGCATCGAGCGCGAGATGGAGGAAGACGAGGAATTCGACCCGACAGTGCACGCGCCATTCTACCCGGGCAAGAAGTCGGAGAACTGGTGGCTGGTGGTGGGCGAGGAGAGCACCGCGACGCTGCTCGCAATCAAGCGGGTCACGGTGGGCCGCAATCTCAATCTCAAACTGGAATTCACGGTGCCTACTCCCGGTCGGCACGACCTGAAGCTGTTCTTGATGAGCGACAGCTACGTGGGAGTCGACCAGGAGCCCACATTCTCGGTCATGGTGGAGGAAGGCATGGATGTCGACGAGGAGGGGTCGGAGTGAGATGCTTAGGTTGGAGGTCAAATTTTCCCCTTCCCCCCTTTCTCCGGATGATGTAGGGTATACAAAGGAGTTGGCCTGGAGTCTGGAGAGTACAAATTGATGCTTCTTGTTTCCCTCTTCTCTCTCTCCTTTCCTCCATCCGTTCAACAGGTATGGCTCGGACGATGGGAGGGATGCTGTCTTTACCCCGGTGATAAGAGGCCTATCAGGTTGAAGTTGGGAGGCTGTGTGGTGTGGGGTATTTGGTGTGTTGTGATCAGGTCCGAGGTGTCAGCCCTGATCATCTGGGGCTGTTGGGGGCTGGGAGGTGGCAAAGGGCAACGCTACCTACCTGGGAGAACAACAGTGCCAGTGTTGATGGGCCGACCATGATGGGACAGTGACTGGGCGAGCATGGGCGAGCGGGCTAGAAAGCGGGTTAGGTTTGTGTCTTTGGATTGACAGGCATCCAAGGTTGGTTGGGTCCAGTGTTGGCGTCGTGGATCGGATCTGACGCAAGCCGCAGTTGCTCGCTCCTCCCAAGCACTCCGCCCCCCCTTTTAAAGTGATAAGCACTCCCGTAGAACCAAGGAGAGCGAAGCTTCCCCGTCCCACTTACACACACATGCCCAGTCACACCCACACGCAGTCACGCACACGGCCACACGTCCACAAACCAGGGGGCGCTCGGACCAACACCCGCGTAGTCAGTTAAACTGCACTCAAGTCAAATAATTTCTCCCCTTCGCGAACGCTCTCTAAAAACTTCGGCGCAACCTCGTTCTATATTATCTAGCGCCCGCGCATTGTGCGAAGCTTCCCACCCGCGCAATTCATCAAGATCCATCGCAACGCGCAGCCAAGTGCTTGCGACCAGGTGCAAAGTGAACTTTCGCGTGAAGAACGCGTCCAGTCCTGCCTTTCGCATTCGCAGTCCAAACATTTCATCACGTTCGATAACTTTCGATACTTTTTCGATACTCACACAACCCTCCCCAGTCGCGGTGCACTGACATCACATCGCCACCTCGCGACCATGTCTGGCGAGAACGGTCAAGCCGCGCCCGCAGCTGAGGCCGTACAACTCGCTGCCGACGCGACCACCAATGCTAGTGCCGAAGCATTCAAGGAAGCTGTTGCCGCCAAGACCGAGGACGCTGTCGATACTGCACCAGTGCCGACCGAATCGAATGAGAAATCTGACAAGGCCGCTCAAGGTATCATCGCATCCGAAGCCGCGCTCATGTCATGCATCTTCGATTGACTTGCAATGCTGACATTTCCTTTTTCGCACAGAGCCTGGCGAGAAGCAAGCCGAGCAAGCCGAGGAGAAGGCTGACGTCGAAATGACGGACGCCGCTGCTCCTGCTGAATCCGCAGCCCAGGCCACCGAAGCCGCCGACGAGACTGCGGCACAAGACCAAGCCGACCAGTCCCAGGAGGTGGCTGGTGCCGATGCCGACAAATCCAAGGGCAAACGCAAGTCGATTGGCGGCGGTGGCTCCAAGGGAAAGAAATTGAACAAAAAGGCGTCAAAGCCGCGCATTCTGCACCTCGATGCCCAGCCGGGCGATCACTACTTTGTCAAGCTCAAGGGCTTCCCGCAATGGCCCGTCATCATCTGTGACGAGGATATGCTCCCGGCCTCTCTGTTGAAGTCGCGGCCCGTCACAGCAAAGAGGGCCGATGGCACCTACCGCGAGGATTACGCCGACGGTGGCAAAAATGTCGCTGACCGGACATTCCCCGTCATGTACTTGCACACCAACGAGTTGTAAGTTGCATCTACCTGTCTGAACTAATTCAATTCTCTTTTAGAAGCTGACTTTGATTCCCAGTGGTTGGGTGCCCAATTCTGACCTGATCGAGCTCGATCCGAGCACGGTGCTGGAGGGCGCCAGGTTGGACAAGATGAGAAAGCCATTGCAAGCTGCATACGAGCTGGCTTCTAAGAATCATTCTTTATCGTTCTACAAAGAGGTCTTGCAGAACTTCCAGGAGGACCTTATCCAACAAGAGAAGGCCAAGGCTGCGAAAGCGGCCACCCCCAAGGGCAAGAAGTCCAAGGCTGTTGAGGAGGATGAAGAAGACGTCGAAATGGCAGATGCTCCTGATTCAGATGAGACACCAGCCAAGGATAAGAAAGCCAAGAAGAGAAAGGCCGAGGAGAGCGCCGAGGTAAGAGAGAGCGGACCGCCTGAACGCAGAGTATAATGCGAATGCTGACCCGTAACAGACCCCTCAGCGTTCAGATTCAGTTAAGAAGCCCAAAATCAAACTCACGACCAGCTCTACCCCCAAGACGGCCAACGGAGCTGCATCTACTCCCAAGTCCACCAAGGCTGCCAAGCCCAAGGCCAAGAAGACGAAGGAGGCAGATGAAAAGGTTGTTGAAAAGGAGGTTGTGACTCCGAAAGAGCCAGAGCTGTCGCCTGAGGATAGGCACGCCAGGAAAGAGGTACGTGTGCCAGCTGCCGCCACCCTGAGGTTCAACGAAGAGCTAATAGCAGCTGCCCTTCTCTAGAAGGAAGTGTTGTTCCTCCGGCATAAGCTCCAGAAAGGATTGCTTACACGCGACCAAGAGCCCAAGGAGGAGGAGATGAAGTCTATGGCGGACTACATCACGAAGCTCGAAGGGTTCCCGGATCTCGAAGTCAGCATTATCCGAGCAACCAAGATCAACAAGGTGCTCAAGGCGATCCTCAAGCTAGAGAACATTCCAAAGGAGGAAGAGTTCCACTTCAAGCCTCGCTCCCAGGCTCTGCTGGACAAGTGGAACAAGCTCCTGGCTGTTGACGGGACCCCTGCTCCCGCTGCCGAAGGCGCGAATGCCGTGAATGGCACCGCAGCCAAGGCAGGAGCCAAGACGAACGGCGTCAAAGAGAAGAGCGAGGGTGCTGAGCCAGCGAAAGCCAAGGGAGGCGCAAAGGAGGAGGCAAAGGAAGATGCAGAGGAAGCCGCAAAGGCGGAGCCAAAGGAGGCAGCCAAGGAGGCGTCCAAGCCGGCCGAGACATCTGAAGAGGCTGAGAAGCCTGTTACCGAAGAGGTGAGCATCATCAGGCGCCCTTTAGTAGTGTTACGGGATTTTCGCTAATTAGTGATGCAAGGCCAAGGAGTCCGAGGCGGTTGGGGCGTCTGCCTAGACCGCTTTCTCCCTTCCGTTCTGAAGGCCCAAACGTGGGCAAAGCGGCTCCCACATTTCGGCAGCAGTCTTGACTGAATGTTGCTACTATTCGGGAGCGAGCCGCATCAATATTGGCTTGGCCAGATGAATGCAGCCGTGAAGATGACTCGGCGATTCAGACTTTGACAGACAAGGCCTGGGCAGACATGTAAAACTAGGAGGATTCTATCGACCTGCCTTGGCGCCTGGACATCTCTTGTGGGGAATTGTTGGGTGTTTTGTTTCCAGTAAGGGCGTGCTCATTCTACCCTCTTCTTTTTCACAATCTTGTTCTGCTTTTAGTCTCTCCTTGGTCGTCTATTTGGAAGGCATCCAAGTGTACAAAGGCGCCAGGGGGGTTAGACACAGCAGCGGAACTGCAATGAGCAGTAAACCATGGCAGAGAAGGGAGGAGAGACTTGACTGCTCTGTGTCTTGCAATGAGGGAATTCTATTTGACCGGGAGGGACAGGTCGTGACAGGGAGGATAGCAAGCATGCTTGCCCGTGGCCTCCCGATACTTTTTCTTACGATCACAGCAGTTCCAGACAAGGGTAGGAAGGCTTAGGTTAGTCTTAGTCCTCTAAAACAGGCGCTGCGTGGAACAGTAGGTAGACGGAACAGTGGGTAGGATGAGAGCAGCCCATCACAGGGTCCCAATGAACGGATGAAACTCATTGCTAAAGTATTTGAACTATACATGAGGGAATGAAAAGAAAACAGAGGAAAAAAACCAAAACCAGAGGAGGGACATGGAACATGGAGGATATGCGAACAGAGTGCTCGCTATCGACTTATTTGCCCTTGTGAGATTTGATGACAGTGTTTTGCAGCAGTCTGAATCAACTTTGAGAGGATCAACAAGTGAAGTCGCGTGCTCCTGTTTGATGACTCTGTTGTCGTGCGACTCGCTGAATGCTTATCTAAAGCCACGTTCTGTGGCGCCGAAAGAGTGGCTGACGTCCCCCAAGGTATAGGTATACTTTGTAATGTTAGCATTATGTTCATCCTCGTAACTTATACACCAACACAACCACCCACGACGCAAACCACCAGAAAGACTTTTACCCAGAAGCCTGTCATCTAAATGTAACTTGACAATCATGGCCGATATGGAGGGCGGCACTGCCCAATTTGAAGAGGACGATCACCGGGTAATTGCACTCACATTAGATTCACCAACAAGTCAATACGCATTTGTTCACTAACATCCTAACAAAGGCCGTATACATATTCAACCCTGGAGATGGTGATGGGGACATCCAACTCAGCGCTCGTCCCGCAAAGAGACGCAAAGTGGCCAAGAAAGACGCATCAAAACTGCAGCAGCCACGCGCTGCACTCAGTCTGGGCTCAGAATTCACGCCGCTGTTCAACGGGCTGGAGCGCCCTGCCGCTGTTGAACTTCGCAAGCATCTCTTCGAAACCGCTTGGCCAGTGTTGGAAGATGGCATTCAGGTCAGTCAACGTCTTCTCCAATGGTTGCGTATCAGCCAGCCATTGAACTCTCACTGAAAATGTGGTGCAGCATGTTTTGAGAGAAGCAAACCGAAACACGCTCGATGAGGTTGCTAGCTTTCTGCAGCAGGACCCGGGGTCTCAAACGTACGTGGTCTTCTCCTGATGATTCTCAAATTGCTCACCTAACTTACTTGGACCGATCTAGCGGCAAGATTGCCGCAGCGTTCATCATCACCGGCCCCAACATCGCTTCCCAGGACCTCCTGTTTGGACAGTTGGGTAGCACACTTTGCACCGCGACTCAAGCAAGGTTCGTCGGGCTACGCGCCTCAGAAGCCCCGAATCTCAAAGCGGCCTTGAAGAAGATCATCCGAGATGCCACGGCACGTGTGGTTGACGATGAAGAGGACGATCTGGAGCTTTCAGTTGGGCAGGATGTGAGTTCTGATCTGCTAGCCCTCAAGCGCTCTAGCAGAGCATGCGGGACTAACTACCAGCTCGGTCTGGCAGGGGAGGAAATATTTGGACTACGACCTTGAGGCGCTCCATGTCTTTCTGCGTCACCAGCACTCGCCGCGTCGGGTTATTGTTGCGTTTCAGGACAGTGAAGCCTTCGATAGCGGCCTGTTGGCCGACCTGATCACGCTGTTCCAGTAGGCGAATCCCCCGCTGTATTGTGGTAAGCTCGAGCTGATAGTTGTTAAAGCTCCTGGCACGACCGCATCCAGTTTGATGTGCTGTTCGGCATCGCCACATCGGTCGAGCTCCTCCAGGCGAGGCTGCCCAAATCCACCGCCTGTCGTCTCCATGGCGCCCAATTCGATGTCGTCCAAGCCAACTCTGTCCTGGAAAGCGTCTTCAAGACCGCTGTGGCCGGAAGCCAAGCCAGTTTGAGGATCGGGCCGTCGCTGCTGCGGAGCATGGTGGAACGCCAGCAACACCAGGTCGCCGGCATTCAGGCCTTCATCAGCGCCCTGAAGGCAAGCCCAGTATTTCCCGCTTCAACCTTGCTAAATGTGCTGACAAACACCCCGTTTAGTACGCATACATGTGCCACTTTTATGCGAACCCTCTCAGTGTGCTGCTCGATATCGAGCGCTGCGTGGACCGCGGGCTGTTGCAGCCAGAGCACATTGAGGCTATCCGGACCCTTGACTCTTTCAAACACCATACCGAAGCTGCAGTGGAAGCCAGGCAGCTGAACCATGCTCTGTCTCTGCTGGAAGATGACGAGTACCTCATCACCCAGGTGTTGGAGCAGAAACAAAAACAACAGGAGTACCTGACGCGTCTGCTGCGATCCCTGCATCTTGTAACCTCCTCCGGCCTCAACTCGGGCTTCTTTGTAGAGCTTTACATGCTCGCCCTGAGTACAGGTATCGACCTCGACGAAAAGTCAGGGGCGTTTTTCCTTGTCGACGGGCTGAGGCGACTAAGCCCCGACGAGTTTCTGTCCCTGATAGACCGCATCTCGGCTGCCATGCGAACGGGGAGCCCAGAGCTTGGTCTGGAACCGTGGATAGCTGATGTCGACGAGTTTGCCCGTTCTCTTGCCGACCTCCGGGACGAGGTCGAGGGCCTGCTCCTCCGATCAAAGAACAAGGGCACGACACTCAAGAGCAAGTACAGCGCACAGAGCAGGGTTCTGCGCACAACGGTAGTGGCTCAAAAGGTACAGCTCAGCCGAGACACGGCAACACTGACCGAGGAGGACAATGCCTTTACCGCGGCCATTGACACGTTGGCCGGTCTTTTGTCCGAGAACTTGCACTGCGACTCGATTGACAATCTCTTTCTTTACGAGGCCTGGGTGTACGACTGTAAAACGCCTTATTTGGACGTCTTTGTTCCACGGCCGGGAGCAACCTTCGGACGGAGCCTCTCCCGGCCGCACGACTACCTTGCCTGCGATTGCTGCAGCCAGGCAAAGGGCTCATTGACATCATCACTGCCCACGACGTCCATCCTGTACCATCTCTATCTAGAGGCGGGCGCGCTGATCAACGTGGCGGATCTGTGGTCTGCCTACTACACGCTTGTGGGTGACGAGTCTGAGATTGGACTCGACGAGCGGTCGGCGCTGGTGCATTTCTATCGAGGCCTGGCCGAGCTCAGAATGATGGGCTTTGTGAAGCAAAGCAGAAAGAAGGCTGATCACATTGCCAAGCTGAAGTGGCTATAACCAGATTCCGTTCCGAGCGTGGGGCAGTTATGAATTGCATTGTGGCAGTTACGAGGTTATGGACCCGGGTTGTTGGTATATTTGCGATTATCCTTTTCCGAGCGTACAGCCGCAACGATCAATGTCTTGGATTGTTCGGCGGAAGAACAAAGACGGGGTGGAAATGGACTTGTTCCCAGGGTACCTAAAGATAGCACCACACGACAAAGAGATTCATACTTGGGTCGATGCCACTTTTGGAAGAAGAACCCCGTTCAAAGAAGGATAGGTCCCCTTTTGGGCGTTTACAAGAGCAAGAGGTGCCCCCGAGGTCATTATTATCCCTGTGCTTCGAGAGTCGTCGCAACATTTCACCAACGCGAACTACTAGTTCCTGTTGTCTGGTCTTCAGAAGCAACAGGAGACCAACTCTGGAACTGCTACTTAGGTATTGCATTCTGCTGCTAGCAGCTCCCATACTTTGAAATCAACATAAGTACGGGTTTTCTACTCTCGCGTCTCCTTATCTGCTTCTCTTCTTCTCTGGCGGAAGACAAGAAGGGTATTGTTTACTATATCAATCATCCCACATCTGTTCTTCTCTTTTTACTGTTATCTGGTGCTGAACCAGACTGTTCTCCTATCCTTTTCTACACGCCGGAACAACTTCCTTCAAGCCCACCATCCCCGGGCCGAAAAGGAAGGGGATATAAAAGGAGGAAGACTAGAATAACGCGGCACTCACACCGATTGTCAAACGGACCACTCGAGACTAGAAACGAGCCAGATCCAGGACGGAGAAACCACACAACACATCAAAATGGAGCAGCCAAACAACAACACCAGCCCATTCCCTTCCTCCACCCCAGCAACAACCACAACATTCAGCGCCCGCCGCGCAGCACTCAACCCCGAGTTCGAAGCCAAACTGGCGCAGATGTCTCAGCAGCTGGCCCCCCTGGTGCAGCTGACGACGGGGGCGGTGCACCCGGATTTTCCCCGGAACCTGCTGGCCTTTTGGCTGCTGACTGACTCCCAGCTCGAGTCGCTGGCCCACTTCTACCACCAGCGCACTCCCGGTCCCTACACCGACCAGTACCCGTGCCCCGTCTCGTGGCCGCCTGGTTTAACGCTCGAGGAGAAGCGGCGCAAGCTGGGCAAGTTCATCGGCCTGCGCGGCTGTGACACGCCGCTTGCGGAGATTGTGGGCCATGAGGTGGGTAGTATGATCGCGAGGAGTGAGGAGGAGATCCGTGAGGCTGCTCGCATGGGGACGGAGAATGGTGGGAATAGTAGGCGGCAGAGGGTTAGTGAGGAGGAGGAGATTAGACGGAAGATGGGGTGGTATTAATATGAGGTTCTCCTTTCTTTCAATGGGTGCCACTGATATGATTTTACTCTGTGAAATGTGTAAAGCAAGCGAGCATGTTGGTTTTGCTTGGTTCAGTCATGACATGTAATGCATTCTCTGTGAACATGAATGGCTGCTAATACCACCGAAGAGAGGGAGGAGCAATCAAGATCCTTTCTAGATGCACGAGTACTCTTCTACTTGTGCACTATTACCCATAAAAGGGTCACGCGTTAGTGTTAGCTACGACACATGGATACCCCTATTTTACCCTTCTGCGACGATCGATTAGCTCAGATAAACTCAGATGCACTACTTTGCTACAGAACCCTCAAGTCTTCCTGCCTCCTGCTTATACACACCTGGTCCCCGGTCTTGTCGACTTTGCTTGCTCCGCCCTTGGCTGGGAGAAACTTCTCCTCAGCCTTGGGTTTGTCCGGCACAACCATCGATGGCTCATTGTCCGTGGGTTCAAGCTCGCTATCCTTGGATATATCCTCTTGGTCCTCGGATGCATCCTCCTTGTCCTGAGGCGCATTGTCCACGTCCATGGACGCCTCTTCCTTGTCCTTGTCCTTGTCCTCGTCCTGGTCCTGGTCCTCCGGCACACCATCCGCGTCCAGGTCCTCATCAGGAACATTGGCAGGCTGCTCCTCCACCTCGGCAAGCGCCCCCTCGACAACAGCCTCACTGGCCTTGGCTTTCACAGCGTCTTGGTGCTGCTTTGAGAGGTAATGTCGTCTGAGGTTGGACGGTTTGGCGAACCCCAAGTCGCAAATCGTGCAGACATTGGGGTTCAGGTGCTGCTTCAGTTTCCTAAAGTGGACCGGGCGCGTGAGATGGGACTTGAGACTGGTGCTGCTTGTAAATGACTTGTTGCAAACAGCACAATGGTACCTCTTTGTTTCGAGGTAATTGGCCTTCCGATTGTGAACCGTCTGTCGGTGTCGCTCCGGGTCCTTTTCCCTAGACCGGTTGACTTGCTCGGCGGATTTCCTATAATATGTGTCACGGTCCTCCTCCTTCTGCTGTTCGCGCCAGTTTTTCATATACTGACGCTTCTTCTCCTCTTTCTCCTTGTAGAGCGCCTCGAGTTCCTCCTCGGACAAATTGAAATGTCCGGCGACCATCTCCTTCAGCACGCAATGAGTGCAAGCGCCATCCCAAGGCAGGCGCTTGCCCCAGGGCAACAGGCTTGAGACGTCGAAGGGGGGGGGTAGTTCTTGTCCATGGCCCAGAAGATGAAGGTCAAGATGGCTTCGAGGACGATGAAGAAGAGGCGACCAACAGGGCGGAGTCTATAGGGCGGGCGGTCGGACCAGCAGAGGAGTCCTCGGACGGTGGCGGTGTACCCGTCATCGAGGGCGGCTTGGTATCCCTTCGGTAACCATTCATCAAGGTCATACTGGCGCCACCGTGCTACCACGCCGACCAGACCGTTCGTTCCATCCGCCGTCCCAGAGCCGATGTAGAGCCGGGGCTTGGCATCCGGCTTCTCGAAGAGTATCGCGTAGACGGCCCAGAAGCGACCGGGATCGGATGGAAGGCGACGGAAGAAGTCCAGATCTGGAGCGCAGCGGCTCTGAGAACCTCAAAGAGACCAGGGGCGAAGTTGACCGAGATATCAAGAAGAAGGGCCTTGAGCTCTTTTTGGCTCTTGATAAATCGGGTTTTGAGAAGAATCGAACTGAGAAGCTCATGAGAAGCTCAGTGATCATTATCTGGGCGGCGGATGGAGGAGTGCTTTCTTGGTACCATTTAGCTACTTCACTCTACCTGGTGGGGGGGTTGAAAGTAGGAAGGTAGATGTGACCTATAGGCCTCGTTGAGATTGAGGAACGAACACGGCTCAGACAGAAGTGAATACTTGAACTCGATCAGAATGCTCGCTCGGGTAGAAGAGCGGGAAATATATCTAGCATGCTGAAGACGACATCCAGGGCAAGCACCGGTGGGATGCCATCAAGGAGGAAGTTGACGTTGGTGCAGCATGGAAGGAGGCTAAAGAGCATATACCATGAAATAGCGAAGTCTCGCTAGGAAAAGGTGCAACTGCCGGTGAAGTGCCATCAAGAGGGAAGTAACGCTGGTGTAGGATAGAAGGAACACACACCGTGAAATGGAAAGATCGTCTTGAAAAGGAAAGATCGTACCAGGGAAGGAATCACTGTAGGAGAATTGATGTACTTACCTACATTGACCATCAACGTCCTTTCTCCCATGTTTCTCAGGGCTTGGGATGCGCTGACAACACGCCAATCGGACTCGACGCAGCTTCCCAGTGTCTAGGTATTCATGAATAGTGTTTTTTCTCCCCATTACACCTTTCCCATCAACGTACAAGACCTTGGGACACTCAATTTGCGGTGGGTTGGATGCCGACTTGGCCCAGTACAAGGAAGTATGCTTGTGGTACTCGACGTGCTGAAGGAGACTAACCTGAAGTACCTAGTAGTTTTCAGTAGATGGTTCAAGCTGGCTCAACCTCCTTAGTCTGCCGCCCTGCCGTGCCTTGCGCCCTTACTGAGTTGAGGTGGCCTCCCCTACTCTACGCCCTCACTAGCTACGGCGCGTTGCCCAGGGCCGTACCTGCTCTCCCTGATCGCCAACAGCCCTCTTCCGTTCCCTGATCCAAGAAAATGACCGCTCCGCTTTGTCTGTCCCTGCTGCTGCCGCGCTAGGTGGCTGAGAACCGGGTGAATATTGTTGCTGGGCAGCAGCATATTCGGCCAGAGAGAGGCACGTTCCACGCGGGCATCTCCCTCCAATAAACTGTAACCACGCCCGGTGACGCACTGGGTATTGCAGTGGGCAGTGGGCAGTGGGCAGTAGGCAGTGGGCCGCTGCCCCATGATCTGAAGCATCGATTGAGCAAGGAGTCCAGCCTTTGCAAACAGAACAGCGTATATCATACCCAACTTCTATTAGGCATAAAGACACGAGTCCTTTACGGCTCGGATGCACCAGTCAGATCACCGCCAATAAGGCAAAGCACGCCTCCCCGATTTGCTGTATGTTTTTGTCATCTATTGACACAGCCACCAGAATTTATTCTTCCATGATATGCTCCTCACTTTGTCATGAACTCCCTTTCGTTTCGTTGGTATGTTTGCTCGTAAAACCCAGCCTCATCGGTCCTCCTTTACTCCTCCCCACCTCTTCAATTCCGCGGACTGTCCGGCGGTGGAAACGGCGGCGGTCGGGGTTCGTTTAGCCTGACAGCAGCAAAACGCTTAGCAAGAGGTTCTCCCGTCTTGTCGTCGGCAAGGGCCGCCTCGTTGCCGTCATTAGTGTAGGAGTGTCGGGAGCGCTTGGGATTTCTCTCACCAGTGGATTGCAGGATCATGTGGAGCGTCTGCCACCCCGTCGTGGACCCCAGCTGGAACGACTCCGCCAGGTCATGCTGCGTTGCTACCCTGCAGAGAAGAGCTTCTTCCTCCTAGAGGTGCGAGTAGATGGGTTAGAATTTGTTTGAAGAGAGAAAGGGGAACATCTGGGGGCGGGTAGGCGCATACTTTTGATAAGACATCCATCTGCTGGATGAAGCAGAGGAGGTGAAAGTCGGAGACGTTCAGGCCAGCATCCTTCTGGTTCACCTTGAGCGCTTTCGCAACGGCCGAGACCTCCTGTGCCTCTCCGACGTACTCTCGGTTTTCGATGGGGAACCCGCTATCCTTGAAGATCGGCTTGGGTGATTCTGGGAAACCGTGCGTGAGGGTGACGAAAAGGTACTCGACTGGGAACGCTGGTTTGGCGTTCTCCAGCACATTGGCTCCGTATTCGTTGATCTTGCGGTAGAATACCTCCGGAATGTACCGTGTCCTGCTCGCCGAGCCGTCGTCCTCTTCTTCGTCGCGGACGAGCATCATACCGGGATCGGCAGAGGGCTCGACAATGTCGGCCCTGACCATCTCGACAGCATCGTTGGACATTTGGTACGACGAGATGGAGATCTCGCCCTTCTCGTTGCCCGAGACAACACAGGTGACGAAATTTGAACCGAATCTTCCCGTATCGCTCCACTTGGTCGGTTTGGGGTGTTGAGCTTGCAGCCGCGCGGCGAAGACGATCTCCTGCGAGGCGAGGAAATACGAATCGGCATGACGCTTGCAGATGGCGCTCCCATCTCCCTTGCCAGCGTCTAGCAAGTCAGTCCAAATCACTCCAACCTGTTCTAGGCCGCAAAGCCGGGCGACGCGATTAATCTTTTGCTCGTTTTCCCACGGATCAAGCGAAATGCCGTCAACCTCATCGATTTGCGGAGGCTCGTAGATAGCCTCGACCACGGCCTTGATGCCGAGGGGCACCACATCATACTCGAGATACCTTCCGTAGAGAATGCCCAGGCGCTGTGTCCCGGTCCGTCGCCAAGCGTCGAGGAATCTGTCGATGATCTGGGGAGTGGCAAACTCGACATGGTCCACCATGCGGAAGGGCTGAGGTTGGAGCGTAATAGCACTTGGTTGGCACTTTGTGCAGATGCCTTCAGGCCACTGCGGGTGGCCGGAAGGGCAATCGCGCTTGACGCGGTAATAGGGCTCGACAAGCGGGGGTATGAAGGAGCTACCAAGCTCGGGCTTGTTCGTGGCTGCGTTGATCTTGCGCAGATATGAGTGCACAGACATGTACTTTATTTTCTTCTCCTCGAGGTACTGGGGGTTAAAGGGGTCCAAGGGCGTGCAGTAATCGCACATGCCCTTGGGCCCGTGGCGGCACATCTTGGGGTCCCTCTTCCTCGGTATCTTGCCGTCCTGCTTGTCTAACCGGTCATCCAGCGGCGACTGCTTGACCACCTCCCATGGGTTCTTGATCCGTTCAGACGGGGACGAGATAGGGGGCAGGGGGTCGATGGGGTGGTCTTCTGTCGGGAGGATCGGCTTGCCGTTAAGCCGGTTCGTAGAGGATAGGGGAGCTGATTTCGGGGCCTCGCCGCCTACGTTTCCGTTTGTGGCGGCATCTTGGTGTTGATAGCTGACGAATATGAGGTCTCCGTGCCTGGCATCCCAGCGTCAGCATGGACGGCCCACCAAGTGTGCAACAAGCGCACAATCGGGCAGGGACAGGCTTGCCTGAGCCCAACCTGGCTAATCTTGAACCTTGCAATCTCCCCAATCTTTTTGGAATCGCCGCCGCTCGGGTGGTTGGAGAGGGTAATTGTCTTGGGATCGACGGTTGAGGGGAGCTGCGGCATCAGCTGCGTGACATGTTAGCCTCGAGCTCGCGACAACCCGAAACACATGCTCAGTACCTGACTAATGAGGTCGCCAAAGGTATCGTCCTTTTCGGCTGTCAGGCGGAACATGCCATCGGGAGCACGCAGTCGTAGAAGCATCTTGAACGTGGGATGCGGCGAGCTTCGTAGGTCCGAGCACCAAGGGAAGGGAGGGTCAGTTGCGTATCACTCTGTTCCGTCAGACTCTCTCGATGGCTTATGGAGGGGCGAAGTGTTGTGGGCGCGTTAGATATAGGGGAGGAAGGCGAGATTATGTATTACTGTGGGAAGGCTTCGACCAGTAGCACTCTTCCAGGTTGGAGGGGAGCTCGAGTTGAGCAGGCACTGTAACTTTATAAGGCCTTCGTCATACCTGCTGTGCCTGGGCTCGACGACTGGAGTGCCCCTCGGCCCCGCTATAGGTTCACAGTGAGCATTGTACTCAAAGTATACAGTACTCGATGTACTATCTGATACTAAGCGGTATGGAAGAGTACCTGTATTGACGGCCGGGTCTGCATTACATACTGTAACCAACCTTCGTTACACAGCTTAGTTAAGCTAACGTTAAGAGGGTTCACACCCCTGTCAGTGCCAAGACCCAAAAAGTTGTCCAGCTGTTCTTTCAGTCCCCGTTCCCAAGGCCCAATCGCAGGGCCACCACCTTTACAGGCATTGTTGGCCCGACTTTAGTCTCTTGTGTCTTTGAAGACACGGTGCCAACTCCTGACGCTCGTTACTACTTAGTAACCCCGATCTCTGTTGCCGCAGGTTTCTTCTCCGTTCCAGGCGCACGCAGAAGGGACCGCTGTACGCATCCAGCGGCGACAATGTTCGAGATCGACTGGAGGGGCTTGTTGCTCCCCTTTGCCTACTTGGTCGTGCTGGGGGGCACCTTCATGACCTTTTCTACCGTCTACCGGAAGAGGAAAGCCCGTATGTCTGCTCTCAGTCCATACACATCTGGTTGCGGAGCGATGCAACTGTTGGAAACAAACGAAAGAGAAAATTGGCGGCGCTAATTGCTCTTGTTGTCTCTCTCTAGTCCAAAGCGCAAACCTCGCCCCGTGGTTTGGCCCGCACCTGCAGCGGAATATCTACCTGTCACTGCTGCACATGGAGCCCGAGGAAGGGCAGGAGAAGGCGCCCAAGGTACCCGAGAGCGTCATTAGGGCGGCGCTGCTGCGGCGCGCCGTCGAGGACATCCACCGCATCATCCAGATCCGCACCGCCAAGACGGCGTGCAGCTCCCTGCTCCAGCGAGGCAGCGTGGGCGACGACCTATGGCAGCGGTTTCAGCGCGCTGAGAAGGAGATGGAAGACGAGCTGCGGGATGTTGTCATGGAGGTAAACGACGGCGCCCGCTCTAAACAATCGTCGGTCCGTGAACATTTTTTTTGCTAACGAGAGTATTCGTCCAGGCCAACGCCATCGTGCCGGGATGGGGCCAGATAATCTTCCAGTCGGCCAACGAGATTGCCGCGAACAAGGCGTTCCGGGATCGTCTCGATGAGATCGAGGAGCAGACGGAGCGCGAGAAGGAATGGTGGGAGAAGCGCAGAGCCAGTATCAAGAACGAGTTCATGAAGGAGTTGGAGGAGGAGGAAAAGTCACAAGCCAAGGCGGGCAGCGAGGACGAGCCCGTCCTGGTAGAGACGAGTACCCCGTCAGCCACCCCGTCAGGGAGTTCGAAGAAGAAGAAGGGCGGCAAGAAATAAGATCTGAGACCTGGGACCTACCTGGGTTCGAGAGGGTGCCAGTGTGCCTGGTGTTCATGATTCTGGTACTGTACAGTAACAGATATGAGGCATTTCGAGCTGTTGATGCATTGTTGCACGGCGTTTGGGTTGAAAATGTGGTTTCGGTGTCTCGGATCTACTTCACTTGCCCCCTTGGTTCTTTCGCTGCTGTCGGGGTCTATTAGAGTTTTAGAATGCGCTGGTTCCATCTCATCTGGTCTTCATATCCATCTCAATAAGCTAATCCAGGAGTACATAATCAAGAAGCTTGTGGCCTCCGTTGGTAGTCAGTTGCCTAGCATGAAGACTCAATATCCGGCACTCAGAGTGTTCTCTATAGTAAAGACCAGATGTAACCAGAAAAGCCTCCTTCCCTCATCAAAGTACTTTATTGCTAACGATATTGGGTGGTATCGAATGAGTCTCGGGGGAATAGCGCCAAATATAACTGGAGAAGGTAAGATTTATCCCTTTCTCCCTCCCACTCCCTCACACTAAACAAAGTCCAAACCTACAAAACGCCCGAGTTGCTTTTCCTCGTCGACCGAAATTTTGGGAATCTGATTAAGGGGCTGCGATATTTACAATGGCTTGCCGCCAATGAACTCAGACCACCGGCGGACCTCAGAGGGGATACCCTCCGGGCGGGGGACCTTTTCAGCTATGCACTGAGCGAAGAGCATGGCAGTCTGCAAAAATCACACGGTTAGTTACGATACTAATGTCAGCGGGAAGGGAAAGACGAACCTGGGGCTCCATAAACAGCGGCACGCCAAAGTCCACTGCATTACGGCGCATGACGTAGTCAACGTCCATGACTGTCTTACCGCGGGCCTGGGCGAGGTTAAACACGCCGCGAATGTCGTACTTTTTGAACACCTCGCGGAGAGCACGCTTGTCCTCCTTGGGGAATTCAATAACGTCGACATTAATCTTGTGCTTGCTGGACGACTCAAGGTGCTGTTTGACCTCGTTGTCTGCGGCATACAGCTTGTAGCCGAGAGGAGCCAGGTAGTCAACCACCGTGGTGAGCCAGTTCTTGCTCAACTCACCGCCAAAGAGGATACCCTCGCCCGGCTGCGGCACGCGGAAGTTCATGGCCGACTGGAGCGACGTCCAGTATGCCTCGACGAGATCCTTGCCGAAGCAAGCCATTTCGCCTGTTGATGCCATCTCGACACCGAGGAAGGGATCGGCACCGGCCAAGCGGGTCCACGAAAACTGCGGCACCTTGGTCGCGATATAGTCGCGCTTGACGGCCATCAGGTCGGTCGGCTCGGGAACGTCCTTGCCGACGAGCGCCTTGGTGGCGACATCAATGAAATTGGTGCCAAGCACCTTGCTGACGAAAGGGAATGACCGGGAAGCGCGGAGGTTGCACTCGATCACCTTCAACATCGGGCTGCCGCCCGCGGGGTTATCAGCCTTGATGACCTGCATGTTGAATGGACCCGTGATTTTCCACGCCTTGGCCACCTTCTGGGCGATCTCCTTGAGGCGGCCCATGGTGTTTTCATCCAGGTTCACAGGAGGCAGAACCAAGGTAGCGTCGCCCGAGTGGACACCAGCTTGCTCAACGTGTTCGCTGATGGCGTGGACGATTAGCTCGCCCCCGGATGCGACGCCATCGACGTCAATCTCCTGCGCTCCCTCAATGAATTTGCTGATCACGACGGGATGATCGGGGGAGACATTGGCGGCGGCCTCCAGCTTGTCCTTCAAGTCCTCCTTGCTGCGGATCACCGTCATGGCAGCACCCGACAGGACGTAGCTGGGACGAACAAGGACAGGGTAGCCAACTTGTTCAGCGAACTCCTCGGCGGCCTCGACTGAAGTAAGCTCCTTCCACGCCGGCTGGTCCACACCAATGCTGTCGAGGATCTCGGAGAACTTCTGCCTATCCTCGGCCTTGTCAATGTCTCGAGGATCAGTGCCAAGGACGTTTGCTCCGCCAGCCTCTTGCAGGCGGAGCGCGATGTTCTGCGGCAACTGGCCGCCCACGGACACCACAACACCGCTGGCGCTTTCCAACTCATAGATATCCATCACCCGCTCGTAGCTCAGCTCGTCAAAATAAAGGCGATCCGCGCTGTCGTAATCGGTCGACAGGGTCTCTGTGAAGAGGAAATTATCAGTCAGTGCAACCTAGTAAAGTGGTGGCAAGGATAGCTACCTGGGTTGTACTGTTTGTCAGGAGGAAGTTAGCATCTTTCCATTAGCATTTGATAGTAGTCGAGCAGCAAGAGGGGGAAAAAAAAAAGAAAAGAAAAATGAAAAAAAAAAGGAACTGAAAGGAACACTTACGTTAACCATTATCGTCTTATTGCCCATCTTTCTCAGGGCCTGGGTGGCGCTGACAGCACACCAGTCGAACTCGACGGAGCTCCCGATGCGGTAAACGCCGCTTCCGAGAATGATGGTGCCATTGTCTTCGAAGGTGATGTCGTGCGAGGAAGCATTATACGTGGTGTAAAGGTAGTTGGTGTTGGCCGGGAACTCGGCGGCGAGGGTGTCGATTCTCTTCACCCACGGCCGGATGCCGAACTCCAACCTCCGGGCACGGACCTCGTCCTCGGTGCTGCCGACGGCCAGGGCGATTTGCTTATCGGAAAAGCCCATTTTCTTGGCCTTCAGGATGTGCTCCTTCCTCAAGCCCTTGAGGCTGCCGACCTGTTGGAGCTCCTTGTTGCAGTCCACAATGTTCTGCAACTTGTGCAAGAACCACTTGTCAATCTTCGTCAGTTCATGGACGCGATCGACGGTGTAGTTCTCGTGGAGCATGGCTTGACCGACAGCCAGCCATCGGCGGTCGGTCGGGTTCTGGAGCTCGTAGTCGAGGTCCTCAAACTTGTCGCCCTGGAAGCCGACAAACCTGGGGTCCACCTGCCTGATGGCCTTTTGAAATGACTCCTCAAAGGTCCGGCCAATGGCCATGACCTCGCCCACCGACTTCATGGCGCTGCCAATGTCGCGCTTGACGTGCTGGAACTTGGACAGGTCCCACCTGGGTATCTTGGTGACGATGTAGTCCAGGGACGGCTCGAAATTGGCCGTTGTCGTCTTCGTGACGGCGTTGGGAAGCTCGGGCAGGCTGTGGCCGAGACCGATCTTGGCGGCGGTATACGCCAAGGGGTAACCGGTCGCCTTGGAGGCCAGGGCCGAGGACCGGGAGAGACGAGCGTTGACTTCAATGACCCTGTAGTCCAGGCCGTCAGGCTGTAGCGCATACTGGACGTTGCACTCGCCAACTACGCCCAGATGGCGGACGATCTTGATGGCGGCGGATCGCAGCATGTGGTACTCCTCGTCGCTGAGCGTTTGGCTCGGCGCAACGACAATCGAATCGCCAGTGTGAATTCCCAGGGGGTCAAAGTTCTCCATGTTACACACCGTAATGCAATTGTTATTCGCGTCACGGACAACCTCGTACTCGACCTCCTTCCAGCCCTTGAGAGACTTCTCAACCAGGATTTGCGGCGACAGGGTTAGTGACCTAGCGGCCATGTTACGGAGCTCCTCCTCGTTGTTTGCGAAGCCAGATCCCAGGCCGCCTAGCGCATAGGCTGCGCGGACGATAATGGGGTAGCCGATCTTGGAAGCGGCATCGAGAGCCTCGTCAACCGTGTTGACGGCGATGGACTTTGCGATGGGGATGTTAATCTCCTCGAGCGCCTTCGCGAATAGATCTCTGTCCTCGCTCAGCTCCAAGGTCCTCACGCTGGTGCCGAGGACCCTGACGCCGTATTTCTCAAAGAGGCCCAGCTTCTGCATCTGGACACCGAGGTTCAGGGCGGTCTGGCCACCGAACGACAAGAAGATGCCATCAGGCTTCTCCCTCTGAATGACATACTCGACATACTCCGGAGTGATGGGGAGGTAGTAGACCTCGTCGGCGAGGGAGTGGTTCGTCTGGATGGTAGCAATATTGGGATTGATGAGCACGGATGCCACACCGGACTCCTTTAAGGCCTTGAGAGCTTGTGCTCCTGTACGGAAGGGCTGCGGTCAGCCACTCGGGATCCTCGACTTTGGCGCTCGTGTGACTCATTTTTTCACCGCCGGGGGTATGCGATCGAGATACACGTACCGGAGTAGTCAAACTCTCCAGCCTGGCCAATGGCAAGGCCACCACTGCCAATGACAAGGACCTTTTTGACGTCGACGTGCTGTTTAGGTTTTACCACACCGCTCTGAAGGTAGGCCTTCGGGTCGGGCGCGGGCTGCGCAGCGCCAGAGGCGGCCCTGGCAGCAGATGCGGTGAAGAGGCGCTTCTGGCTCAACCTGGCGCTGGGTGTCTCTGCTTGTGTGCGCAGAAAGCCATTCTGAGCGCCTGAGGTCAAGTGCCTCAGCTGGGGCGTCGAGACGGGGACTCGTCGACCATGCCGGAGGAGCGCCGGAGCACGGCCCGCCTTGTACACGGTCGAGAGCATTATAGGGAGAGCTTTGGTGTAAGAGAAGGCGGTTGAATGATTGGGAGCCCGCTTCACAATGTGCCTACAGCAGTTCTCCAATCCCTCGTACTTTGCCAATTGACAATGCTGGAGGTCACCTCAGGTCGCTCTTGGTGTTGTATGGTAGGGGAATCGAAGGGAGGATGGGAATTTCCACAAAATCGGGATGCGGATTGCCCTGATCCAGAAAATAAGGGAGATCGGCCATTGTGGGGATTGATAAGAGATAAGATGTGACTCTTTTGCTCTAGCTCCAGTGATTGCAGATCAATCCCCAGTTTGTTCAGAAAATTTGCGGAGCCTGCAGGCAGTTTACCTTCCGACGCCGGAGCGCGGTGAATGGTGACTGGCGTTGAGGCCGATGGCATGGAGCGGTGCACTTCTTTTCCGTCCCAAATTTTCACGTCTTGTCAGTCTTCTGTACTTTTATTTGTAAGTTCCTCACTCTCAGCTGAGCTATGCCTGGGGATCTGTGTACAGTAAAGGACGAAGATCTACATCAAGTTACCTTGTTCAAGAGACCCAGCAATTCGTCCTGGTGATGTGACTCAAAAATAAGCTCCAGCAACATCCCGCATTCCCAGCAAATGGGGACCCCGCTGAGCCCTTGCTGACAGAGAGAGAATCTGATTGGCCAATGCCTTTACATCAAAAACTTCCAGGTTGTTCCGCCGGCAGAGAAGCAGAGCTCACAAGAGCAGATTGCGCGTTCTTAAAGCTTTGCTCTCACACAATACGTTTACATAACGGTTGCTCGTTGATATAAAGTGCCGGCCTAGGTGTTTTTACATGTCTACTGTAGTGAAGAACTTCAGATTGTGTATGTATGTAACTTACTTGAATATAGTGCGGCTATAACCCCAACCCTTACCGAACAGCAATCGCTCAAGCCCCAAGTCGAATGGGTCTACGCCACAAATGACGGACAGGCGCCAGCACAAGCCACCACTCCATCACGGCTTCAGTCAGCATCATGCGACAAGGCGCATTTTCTTCGTCCAACGCGTGCTTCGTTGCCTTAAGCTTCACCCCTTGGGCTAGCACCCTCGCGAGCCCAATGAATGGCAACTCTATAAACTACACCGGCGCTTCCACGCATACAACCAGCTATGTGATGCTCGCATTACTGTGACGTATCGAATCTCTCCCAAGTGCTGCGAGCTATGAACGATGATCCCGGCTCGAGCTCCGCGGCCCGGCTGCTACCTGACATATCTGACGCCGATTACGACATCGCAGCGTACGGCGGTCCCTCGGCGGGGAGCAGCGACGGCCATTCTCACGATGACGCCCCAGCAATGTTACCCTCTCGGCCGGAGGAGAAGCGGCGGGCAGGGTTGGTCAAGAAATTGGAGCTCATCAGCCACTTACAAAAGGGGCTTGACATGATGGTCTTCGTCTACATCTGCACCCTGTACTACATGGAGTAAGCGGCAGCCGCTTGGTTGTATTCCCTGGAAGGCTCTGTTACTGATGCGCGTGTGTCTCAAAAAGGTGCTCGTTTGTCCGTTTTCTACTGCGCATCGTGCCGCACTATTCCTTCTTGACCCCTAAGGACGGTCTGCTTCTCCCGGCCGAGCACCCACACATCTATACCATCTTCATACCGACCGTCATCTGCATGCTGGCGCATATATTTTTCTCCTTGCCCCAGGCTGGCGAGGCCACGCGCGGCTATCTGCATGGGGGCGTCATCATAGACTTCGTTGGGCAGAAGCCGCCAACCACAAAGCTCGCCTTCTTGTTTTTCGACTTGGTTATTTTGGGGCTGCAATGTCTGATGCTGGCAGTACACCAAGAGCGGGAGAAGCTCAAGAAGGCCGTCTCTCCCCATTTAAGAACCTTCAGCCCAAGCGGCGATACGGTTGAGCCGGCTGTCGCAGCAGCAACAACACAGGACCACGATGCGGAGGAGCGCGGAGTGCTCAGAGACGACACGTACATAGAAGACGGGGAGGGTACAGGACTTCGCCCGCTCTCCGGGGAGAATGGCGGCGAGGAGGGCAGCAGTAGCAGCCCAACGGATGGTGAGCGGACTGGTGACACTTATTCGTCGGCCGCAACGAGCGTTGACATGGTGGACTTGCTAATGTCGGGTAATGCCGTCCTGTCGAACCTCCACGTCATCCATGCTGTCAGGTCGGTAGGGAGCGGCGCTCAGAACGCTGCGGCATACTCGCTTCGCACGCTTGGTTATAATGCTACGCTTGCTGCTCTTGCAGCAGAGCGGAGGAGTAGGTTGATTCGAGAGCAACAGCGGTAGCAATGGCCCCCAACGGTTACCGAGCAGTTTCACAGCTGCAAAACCTGCCTCTTCTTGAATCGGGACACATGCAGTGAATTAAGGGGCCGGCCCTCGAAAACATTGTGCGTTTGTCATGCTACCTTTCTCCCTACATTACCCACCCCGGTTCCCTTGACGGAGAAGACCAAATCGCCCGTCCCGTCGTCGTCGCTATCAGCGTCCCTTATACCCCAGCTACTCGCCCCGAACGCCTTCAGATCCCTCGCCAGCCCTATGATCTCCTCCCTTCCCGCCACTTGTCGCCCTAGTCTTAACCTGCCTACATCCTCTGACCCCATGGCCATCAATGTCAGCACCGTGGGCGCAGACGCGGCAGTCACACATCCGCCCTGCGCGATGATCTCCAGCAGCTGGTAGGCGCACCGCGTGCCAATATCTTCGGGCACCATGCCTCCTTCGGGCGGGGCGACCTCGTCAGCGGCATAAATGACGCCCTCGGCGCTCGACTCGGCCACCAGACTCAGCCCAAACCCGATACCAATCTTCTTCTTATGCGGGCTCCCCTTCTCGCCGACCAGCGGCGCCGGGTCGTACTGGGCGGCGACGTGCACGTCCGAGACGAGCTGGTTAAGCACCCCTCGCGCGGCCGTGATCATCCTGCTGTTGTGGCTGGCCGAGACGCCCGTGCAGTAGGCGACGCCGCGCACGCGCCGGATCCTTCCGGGCCGGCGGTTGAGGTGCAGCGTCTTGGGCAGGCGCACCTGGCTCTCGAAGCGCATCTCCACCACCCCTCCACCGCCCTTGCCCCCGGGCCCCGCGCACGACCGCGTCAGCACCCGCAGCTCGATGCGCGTCGGCGGAATACCGAATAGTCCGTACAGCGGCAGCACCGCCGTCCGGAACGAGTCGATCGACATGTCGCCTGTCCCCTGCGTCGCTGAGGTGATGACGCCCGGTCCAGAGAAGCGTACGTTCATGTGCGCTTTGGAGAAGGGTGCCAATAGTGCCAGCGGAAGGAGGAAGTAGGTGATGCCTCGCGTGCAGTTCGCGGGTAGGACGTGCTCGATCAGGTCGCCGGCGAGCGAGGCGCCCACGCCGGGTGCGCTGCCTGTGATGAGGCCCGGCTGGTAGGTGATTGTTGTGCCGCTGTATGAGACGTCAATGACGCTGCCGTTGGTGACGGCCTCGAGTAGGCGCAGGAAGGAGATCTCGTGCGGGGCGAGGCCGGGATGCGTCGGCGACGAACTGCGGATTTTGGAGATGTGCACCGGTCGGCCGGTCAGTGTCGATAGGACAAGGCGCTGTGTAAAGGCCCGGTGGCCTGTGAAGCGCAGGAACTCTGGCTTCGAGCCGGACATGGTGTTGGTTTGACTGCGAGTGAGGTAATTGAAAATGGGGAGCAATGCGCTCCTCAGCAGCAGGAACAAAGATGCCAAGCTAAGCTCGCGTTCCAGAAATTTTAGAGGGTCTCGCTGATTCTGCCGGGCGGTCAGGGGCTAGTGCATCCTTATCGCTGAGGGTGTTCGCGTTGATAAGATATTTTAGACGGAAGCATGCAGTGGAAAAGGTTCTGTAGCATTTGAATGCGACAAGGCGACATCTGGACCCTTGGACCGGAAGACCCGATTTGTGGTTCATTATCCCAGCACATGCCTGCTGCTTTTCTTTTCTGATATTCCCAGATGTCCTTACAATAGCCCTTCAAGGCACTTTCATCGATGCCACCCAGGCCTTTCTCTATCGACCTCCGGCGTTGCAGCAGCTATGTCTGCAGATCGTGCCTCGACAGCCAACGTAACTTGCGCCCATCGAATCCGCCGCCATGGCTGGTGACACAGTACTCCAGTGCTGCCCGGCGGGCACGGCCGTCCTCGGTAGCAGCCGGCCGCAGAAAATCAGAGGCGGCGCCGGATCCCGCAGGGCTTGACAAGAACCTCGCCGAAGAGCTCATCCGCGCCGACGACTCGCCAACGCCGCTCGATGTCAAATACTTCGACCAGGTGGCGCCCGGCCAGCTCCGGCGGTTACGTGGCAAGGACGAGTTTGACGAGTCGATCGGCGGTCTAGACAACGAGATCGAAACGGCCATCAACAACCTGGAGAAAGAGATGATTAACACTGTCCGGATGCTGCAGCGCATGGAGAAGGAGGGAGGGCAAGACAAGGCAGACCAGCTAAGGAAGCAATTCAAAAAGACACTGCGGCTGCAGTACAAGGGGAAGACCGGTCCCGAGGCCGAGGAATATGGACTGCTGCGCATCTCGGGCTTCAGCGGACCGCGACAGCGGCCCGTCGCCAGCCTGAACAGCTTCCTTGCCCGGGACAGCGTTGTTAAGGGAGGCGTCCTGAAGCCAAAGGACATATCCGAGTGCTGGAAATACTACTCTGCCGCGCGCAAGACGTTGTCGACGGCCTGGGACAGGGTGCCACCCGAGGTCTGGAATTTCTTGTGGTCAATCCTTTCGTCTGAAGACGTAGAGAATCCCAACCGCATGCAGCATATCTATATCCTCGCAAAGGACATGCAGGCCGCCGGCGTACCTCTGCGGGACTCGCAGCAGCTCCTCGCCATGGAGGCCATGTTCATCGAGGGCTGGCAAGCAGAGGCCATTGACGCGTGGAAGAAGGCTGTTGTCACGCTTGGCTCGAAACCTGAGACCTTCAAGGCCTACTGGGAGCTCGGTGTTCGGATGTGTTGTTTACACGGAGACGTGGAGCGCGCGCAAAGGGCCGCCGATACGCTTCTCAGGTCTGCGCACAAGCCCGACGCCCGGATCCTCATCCCCATCATCGGGGCGTTGTCGGCCGACGAGGCTACGCTTGAGCAAGCCTGGGAGTCATACCGTGACATGCGTGACCTACTCGGAGAGAGCATGCAGATTGAGGACTACGACAGGGTCATTGGCTTGTTCCTCTCTGCCAATTGTGTCGAGTACGCTTTGCAGGCCTTCGTCGACATGATGTTCTCCGGCGCCATCGACATTCGCGGGAGGACAAGGTTGCCTCTGAGCGTCAGCAACCACTTCTTCATTGGAAAGTGGCTAAAGCGGCTCATTGGAGTGGGTGATTTGGACGGCGCATATCAGGTGGTGGTATATCTTCAAAGCAAAGGGGTAACCGCGTCGCCCATCCAACTTAACGGCCTCATCGGGGCCTGGCTGAGGTCTGGATCTGCGGAGCATGTTGAAAAGGCCGAGACTCTAGCATGGAGCATGATCCGTGCCCGCCTAGACTATGTCCGTCTGCGACATCGCCAGGCTTCGATGCAGGGGTCGATCCAGTTCTACGACCCTTACCAGCTCCCAGCCACAGAGAAGCAGAGCGAAGGAAAGCCTGAGTTCCAGTGCCTGACGCGGGCGACTGCCGAGACGTTCTCCTTGCTTGCAGAGAACTACTGCTCACGCAGACTCCATGGCCGCCTGCAAGAGCTGTTTGAGGTGCTCAAGGAGGCTGAGATCGGCCCGACCAGCTTCCTCATGAACCAGCTGATCCGATCGTATTCCCAGAATGGCGAGGCTGAGGAGGCTGTTAAGATTTACCGAACCATGACGCAGGAGCAAAAGATCCGCCCTGACGGACACACCTTCCTGGCCCTCTTCAACAGCCTTTCCGTTAACCGCCTCATCCAGCGGGATCCAGACCTCTCGAGGCAGGATATCATCTCGGGCCGGCAGTTCTTTGCAGACATGGTTCGGGCGGACTGGACGTTTGACACCCCCGAAATCCTGGCCCAGCTCCCGCGCACAATTCTGTTCACGATGCTCAAGGCAAAGGATTACACGGGGACCATCATCGCCGCTCGGGCCATGAGGGAGCTTTTCGCTTTCCACCCGCCCGAGACTCTGCTCATCGAACTGGCCTCAGGCGCTGGATCCCTGCATATCAAGTCCAAGCGGAACATTGAGCGCCTTGTGACTGGCCGGAATACGATCGAGATCCTAATGAAGAAACACAGGCTGGAGCTGATAAAGCGGGGACATAAAGGCGACGTCATGACAGACGAGGAGAAACTTGAGGAGCTGTATGAAGTTTTGGAAAAGCTTGTCCTGCTGAAGGCCAAAGCACAAGATGTAAGGCCCGAGGAACTGAAGCCCATATTAGAAGAGACAGCGCGGGAGATGGGCGTGTATGATATTGTGATTCTGAAAGACGCTGGCCAGATTGCGAGGCACAGCAAGCTGGCCAAGCAACCGGTTGGACAGATGTAGATATATTGTACAATACAATACCATGTAACTGGATCCAAAAATGAACCTAGTCGTGATCTTCTTCTGTCATCCCCGGACACCCGTCCATCTCCTTGTCCGGGTACGCAAACTTGCACCAGAAACAATAGTTGTGCCGCTCGCGCAGAAACTCGACAACCCGGCGCAGCCTCTCGTCAACCGGCAGGGCCTCGAACTCATCCAGCTCGGGGTCCTCCTCATCCAAATCATCTGCCGTAACGTACATCGTCCGGGCCGTCTTGCCCAGCGCCCTCTTGTCGTCTTCGTCCTCCTCCGGGTCCTCGTACGTCGGAAGCCGCGAAGCAAGGCCCTGCTCAAGGTCGTACCGCATCCTGCGGTCCCGCTCGGCCTCCTCCCGCGCCCTGACCAGACCGCGCCATTCCACGGGGATGGACTTGAGCAGCGGCCGAGCGGCGGTCTCTCCTACTAGACTCGTAGTAGTCCCGACATCATTGCCCTCGCCATCCCGTAGTCCAGCATCATCCCCGGCTGCTGCAGCAGCCATCCTCTCGGCGACCTTTTGCGCAGCCGCGAGCTGCCCGGCCCAGCGCGCCTCCTCCCTCTCCCGCCGCAGCCGCTCCCGGTACTCTGTCTCGTCGGCGCGCGCCCGCTTGGCCCGCTCCCCCGCGGCCTCGGCTGCCTCGCGCAGCTTGCGCTTCCGCTCGCTCTCGAGCCCGATCCCCTCCCGCCCGTCCTTGATCGCTATGCGCAGCGGTTCCGTGACTGGTCCGTCACCCCCGCCACCTCCAGTTCTACCGCCATCATCATCCTTACTACTAGTAGTCACCCCCGGTTCTGCTGACGGTGCTCCCTCCTCCTCTGCTCTCTTTTGCGACGACAACGACCCCGGACCACTTCTTCTGCCCAGCGCGCTGCCGGGTGTGAAGCCCATCTTGGCCATCATGGCTAGCCCTTTGCTCTGGGGCCGTGCGGCCATGAGCGAGCGCGACAGCGCCTCCTCGCGCCGGGCTTCGGCCTCGGCCGCCAGCTCCGCCTTGGACTTGGGCCGGGCGCGCGCCTCGGCCTCGCGCCGGAGCCGCTGGTGCCGTTGGAGCGACGTCTCGCCCACACGCGGGCCCCGGCTGGTGCTGATACTGCTGCTGATGCCGGTTGCTGGGTCATCTGCGAAGTTCATGGTCATGTAGTCTTCTTCCTCTTCTTCTTCCTCTGTGTGTTGCGCCTGTTGTGTCTGTTGTTGCCGGGGTTTGCTGTCGGATTGTGGGGCCATGGTGTGAGATCTGGATGGCTTGATCATAGTGTGAAACGGCTTGAATGCCGATTTATTTGGTTGCTTTGGGTGGGTTGAGGTTGAGCTCAGTGAGGTTGAGTTGAGTTGAGAATTTTTGAGATTGGAGAGCGTAGATAAATCTCGAGAACTTGGGCCGTGGGATTTATGATTCCATCAATCGGTCAATGAGAATTATTTAGATGTATCGTAGTCGAGGGCAGTATCAGTCGGAAAAAGTGTTCCATCAGAACTGCTCGATTTCTGTTTTGGTGGCACGTCATGGTTGAAGTTTGTGGTTGGCGCGAAATCACTGGAAAGTTCAAGTTGAAGTTCAGTTGTAATTAGTGTTTCGCTTCCTCATCAAGCTCAACCGCTCCCGTCGACGAGGAGCCGTAGCACAACCATGCTCCCCATATTTCTTTCTGGTGAAGTGCCATCAACAGCTGCCATCATTCCTTCAACTCAGTCATGAGAAGTCTCCGCTTGTCGTCTTCTATTCCTATGCGTCTCTAGGCACCTACGGGTTAGGGTTGTGTATAGTAAACTGTGTTTACTCCCGGCCGGTCTAAGAGCAGGCACTATACTGTACGATAGTTACATACACACGCTGGAGAAGACGATTGCTGCCATCTCTTCATCAGAAACGGGCCCAGATCAGCTGCTGATGTCCGTGGCGGCCAACTTACAAAAGAATATAAGTAGTATCGGGTCTCGATCCTGTTTGTTCCTTCGAGACGAGCAGACTCCTCAACACTCCTCAATGTTATGATCAAACCATCATCTGTATGGCTACACCGACTATCATTTGGACTCCATTATACTAAGGTCTGTTTGACACAGCACTGGTCCCGTAATGAAACGGTTCGTAGACATGGCTTTTGATTACCCTTCTCTCAGCAACGAGTCCTTGCTCCCTCGCTGCTCACATTGCCCCGCATGACATCTCGGACAGTGGCGGCAGTTTCAGACGGGCCAAACTACATAAGACGTCTTATCCATTCCCTTACCGCAGGAGAGGGGTGGGCAGTGAAACCAGCCGTCCGTACTATAGTATAACTGTACTGTACAGTGTAGAGGACGAGAGGTGACAGCACCTCTTTGTGCTTATGGGTGATGATCGACCACGGCGCAAGCTCGGCGGCGTGACTAGTTGTAACAAGAAGACTCCTGATGAGACAAGATGGACCTGAGCGAGCCAACGAGAAAGTAGAGATTAGAGTAGAGAGGCCGACTTGTAATGCTGCCTTACCACCCGATAAGCGGCGTGGTTACGGCGCGGCGGCATCTCAACGGCGAAGATTGGGACGAGAAACAGGATTCAGTTCGGCAAAGGAGTCGAATCACAAGAATCCAAGGGCAATCAAGCGGCACGTATTGCACAGAAATCTGCCGAGTCTTCTGTTACACAGTATTTCCGATTCGCTCGGTCTTGCATAGCATTGGCTATAGGGACGACTCCCTAGCGAGAGGATGACGCATGTAAGGGAAGCGGTCCCGGCGCGCCGCTCCGTCGAACGTCCCGCCCAAGAGCAAACATTGATCCCATTGTACCCCAAGATGAGGTATACAAGCTTCTAATCTGCGATTGCGGCGACCCGGCCTGGGGTTGGTAGAGGACGGCGACCCCGCGGCAGGAGGACTCACATGCGAAGGTTGGACGCTGGCGATCGCCAACTCGACTGCCGAGGCGATCTCCAAGCCTCGCTGGGCCAAAGGTTGCACCCAGCGCAATTGCCTCGGCCGTGCACCACGGTAGAAACCCTCTGCGGTCACTCGGGAAGCCCGCGAGCGCGCATGGCCGTGGGATCGGATTGCCGAGCGGGGATTCGTAATGTGGCCGTGCAAACGCGGCCGGCTGGGCCAACACCAGGCAGACAGAAAAGAGGCTTGGCCGTTGCAAAAACGCTGCGAGGGTCATGGAGGATCATAGCCAGTTACGTCCAAATTCCAAGATCTCGTCGCCCTCCTTTACCCCAAGTTCGACCCCAGCTGTAGTGTACAGTACTGTATAGTGATGGGGCAACAACAGCGTCCGTTCGCCGTCCCCTTCAGGTAACGCGCAGAAAGCAGGCATCATGGCGTTTGTTTCCGGGCAGTCCCAGCTACTGCGATGACAGGGACTATACCGGTTCTCCGCATCCGATCAACCGGGCAGGTTGGATCAGATCGTCCAAAAGTGGTGTGCTACCGTAGCTAGTATCGAATAGGCGAACAAGAACGAGCCGACTCTGGCATGAGACTTTTTCTGTCGAAAATTGCCTGGATCATATCAAGTTGACCGCACCGTGAATAAAGCCGGGTTTCGGAGTGCTCTGCAGCAGTGCGAACTGCGGAAGACATGAGCGTTGGGTCCCTTGACCGAGATCTCGGTGGATCTCCTGATTGCCCGCTGTGACTGGTCGCCATAGCAGGTCGGGTTCTGAGGCATTCTGTGCTCTGGGCTGCAGCACACTGGTGAGAAGTATACTGTATGGTGACCGCCCAGTCACCGTCATGCTCCAGACGCGGGGAGACCAGACGAATAGCGCAACAAGGCACAACTACCTTGCACTACACTTAGCCTTAGCGGAACCATGGTATACCTAGGACAGAAGTATCGGCCTGCGCATGGGCGGCGTTGAGCGGATTGACGCGGCGAGGATGGCGAGACTGCAGGCTCGGACCACAACGGACCAATGGAGGGAACCCGCGGTTGTGCCGCTGCTGCAACCTTGGAAGTTAAGCGTGCGCTTGTGTCGACACTGCTCGCAGCTCAGCGGAGTCGGGGACTCTCATCCGAGATCATTCTCTTGAAGAGTCCACCGGGGCAGCATGGTGCGTGCACCACTGCGGCAGTTAGCGTAGACCTGGCTTGTTGAAGTGTGTCCGTAGCGCAGTGTGTCGATGGTCGGCTTGCATTTTGTCTTGAAACGAAACAAAAAAGAATTTCAGCCCTCGGATTACTTACCGGTACATACTTCATGTGTGGGACGGCAAGCAACTCGGAGAGTCGAAGTGCTCATACTTTTGAACTTCATTCACACTGTCACTGCAGTGCATCGGCAGTCCGACGACAGCGTTCGGGTGCGGTTTGTGACTTTGTCGCTTGCAGCTGCTGTGTCCAAAGACAACCCGCGCTTGAAAAAGCAAGCAATGGGTTCTAGTCAGAATTCCGTGCGAACTACGGAGTATCGCATGCAACTACAGTATGTAGTCAAATGGGATCGCAAAGTCTCAGAAGACAAGAAATATCTGTACCCCAAGTACAAATGTGCCGTGTGTAAGGTAGGAGAAGGAAGCAGTTAGTGAGTCTGAGCTAGCACTTACATTAGGCAGGAGGTCCTTCCCTACATACAACGTGCTGGGTTCAAGTGTGAAATGTTATCTTCTGACGGCAAGAACCTTATCGGCGCCCCGATTGCTGCCAACGAGGGACCCTTGCTGCATGGCGAGCTTGGGGACCTTGATTGACGAGCAAAGGCAATTCTGGAGCTCCAGAACCGAGACTATGGAAGTGCCGAAAATGTGTCCTTCCCTCTTTTTGTTGCCATCCCCTCACGCTAACGTCGACCGACAGTGTCAATGTGTGTCGAGCTAGAGACACCTAGCTTCGGCAGAGTTGAGCCCTTACGTAAATGAACTGTCGATCGCCACATGCGACAGCTCAACTTCAACAGACAATACAGTACGAATTCCGTACGTATATTTTCTTCGCTGGTGGGGTTGACCGACGGCCATCAGGTCCTGGTGCGAACATCGAATTGGAATCGAATTCATAGCCACGGCCAGTAGATATAACACACTACACTCGAGACTACACTATCTCCGTGGCGTTGGTGGCGGCGATGGGCGTCGGAGGGCGGAGATGTCGTTGCCAGCACAATCACAAAGTCGACTGCATATCATATCTTTATCGATATTCCTCTGATACGGACTGATCGTTCGTGAGGCACCCCGCGTGTCTGTGATATCTTCTTCTTCCATCACACCACCTCTCTGCGAGTGGATAAAAGACGCCAATGCCAAGTTTGGCCTGCAACACCGGAATTGGGAGGTGGAGTCTTTATGCAGGAAACTGGACCCTGAAACCATGAAACCTTCGAGAAGATCCATCAACATGGCACGCGGAGCCGCCCATTGGTGAATCAAGACAGTGTTCCTGCGCTAACGTGTACCCAGCGAGTGGATCCTTAAGCTTTGACATGAGTGGGTCGGTGGGGGACAGCGGGGGACAGCGGCGGGTCGTGGTTGGCAGCATCTGGGTCCTGGTCCCGTCTGCTATCACCGAGACGGGAAATATCGGGGTTGCAAATGCGGATACACTAGTACTGTACATTACCGCAAATACTTATTCGATTTAGAAATACGACGCTACTCCATCCAAGCCCGGCTTGCCTTACTATTGGCCACATTTGTTCCTGCACGTCGCTTACGTACTCAACCAGTTAGTACGGGCCGCAGGCATGGTCATTTAGCCAAATTTGCTTACAGAGGACATCAATCGCCAAAATCGACCCGGAGCATCTTGACGCATTTGACAGGCAAATACAGAGTCAATAAGACAGTCAAATTGAGGTTGAATGGCGTCGAAATGGGCTGGGCTAGGAACGAGGGACTGGAAAAAAGCGTAGAATTGGGGTTAGGGTTTAGGATCTTGGCTTACTACGTGTGACGATAAGCGAGGTGCAGCGTCACGACGTGGCCAATTGTAAGGCAAGCCGGGCTTGGATGGAGTAGCGTCGTATTTCCAAATCGAATAAGTATTTGCGGTACCCTCGCTCCCTGCCAACAAAAAAACTGAGACTGCAAACCACTTCGGGCCTCTATTCGCTAGAAAAGTATCAACAAATAGGGACATTCAACCCCCGAGATCTTCAAAGACCACTTGAAATTAGATAGGGGAGTAGCTAGCAGTTGAGTGCATATTCTAGGATCAGACTTGCAGCTATTTTGTGTGTGTTGTTGGGAGTTCAATGTGGTGGTAGGCCATTTGCAGTCTCAGTTTTTTTGTTGGCAGGGAGCCTCGTTGCGCCATCATTCCCAGATGTCATGAAAAGCCTCACGTCTCGTTCGGTGGAGATGTCGAGCGTTGATCCTCGTCACCTTGCCTTTAGCACACTGGGATGGTTATAGCATAAAACAAATCTGGCCGAATGGATATGCTACCTAGTATCCGTAAACCACTGCCTATCTCGTTTTGTGTAAAAGTAAGTTTTACTCGGTAGCTTTTTGGCCTTCTGCTGAGCTGTGCATCCATACCAAAGAGTAATGCATACAGGTATACGGATATGCGTTCTACTTCGTATGTGTAGTGTGTGACTTGTCCACCTCGGCTTTCTTTCATTGTCATATCGATACGTACTTTACCTTACATATGTACTATACGTACCTTACTGGTGGCACCACGTTGCACTCACCCTGGTGGATGAATGCGTTAACCGCGACAGGGCTCTGTTTCCCAATCCTTATCCGCAAATCCGGGGAGCGACACCAACATGAGCATTGACGGTTGACCTCCTCTTTTTGGGTGCTGCTCCGTCCACGGTCCATGCCACCAGAATGCAATCCCTGGGACTGACAACGGGCCCTGTCCGCGGCCCGTTAGCCAACGGTCCGTACCAGGGTTGGCAAACCAGGAAGGATCACGATATCCGACGCCACACAGAGAGGAAGAAAAGCGGGAGTCTGTAACGACCCTTGGGACAACGTTACCATTCTCGCCATTCTTCTATGAAGATCAGTTGCCGGTTTGTGCCTACCTTGGTCACCTTATCCACTCGTACATGTGTCAATTATGCGTATTGTAAATGTCTCGTGCGTACTGTACCATTTGAGATACGCAGTGTCCCATGAGGGCACGTGCACAACAGGACTACCAAAGCGTTGACCGAAGTGCGGTGGAGATCGTTGAATCGCGTCAACATCTGGCTTCTTGTCGTCTCTCCCACGTGCCTTGCCATTCCACGCCATTGGTAACTCACCTAGCAGGATTGGCAACTTGCTACCCACGTTGTAGTGTATCAGTTAAATAACCTTCTCCTCGTGCTTTTCCCATGATGCAGTTCCTGCACTGTAGTACGGACGTACCGTATACACTAGGCTACGACTGTATAATCTGTTTCGGGTTAGGTAAATTGTCCCAGAGGACACTCCCGTCGGGTCTGCCTAGCCCTCCGCGAACCCTTGACAGGACCCGAATCTGCGGTGGCGAATATTGCCAAGACGACCACAAGTCCACCCGATTCGGTCCTGTCGCGGTTTCATGGGCGAGACGGGCTAGAGAGGTCTTCATATACACAATACCGGGACTACATAAGAATCATCCAGTATACACTAGTGTAGTGTCGAGAGTGCATACTGTATCCTCGATAGAGATGCCGTCCGTGTTCGAGACCGGCCGACCTACTAATAGCCCATTGTAGTCTCATATACTACAGTATGCTGGGAGCTAGGCGGGCTAGGTAACTTAGGTAATTAATGTCCATACTGTTCTACTCCTTCGCCAGAGAAGTAGACGTAATGGACGGTATCCTACTTCGTACATACATATCTTTCCCATCAGATGCGGCTGGTGCCAGTGTACGCAACGTCGTGTAGGGTAACTACAGTATCCTATTTACTACATATAGACTATTGGTCCTAGTACCTTTCTAGTTCATAATTCACCACATTTCTGTGGTGGCTGAACCCAGGAAGCTGTGAGACCCGTCAGCTCGGCGGTCTGCAACTCGTCATGTTGCAGACATTACCGAGTTACAGTACTTCGTAAATAGTACATAATTGCCATGGTTACTACTAAGATACGTCGTAATTACAGTAAGAGCTGGTATTGCCTTGTACCTTACCAGCGTTACCAGGTACGGTAGATTTCCAGGCCACTGGATCCAGACTCGATGCCAGCGTCGTAGAAGAGTCTTCTGAAGTGCAACAAGCCCTTCACCGCCTTCTTCTTCCTCTCCGGTTGTTATTACGGTAGATATACTTCATGCGACTGCCACAACAGGAACGAAGTCCGCCAGGAAAGCGTATAGCATCAATGCGCTGTAGTTAAGGTACGTTGTATGCGCTGATTAGGCACAGTCCTTAGTGTAGTGTTATGGCTGCAAGTAAGGTCCTAGGTAATCTACAATTAGAACTTGTACTATCGGTCAGAATTGAACAACGAGAAGAGGCGTCTTTACATACGGTGAAGTATGAAGGCATCTCAATGAAATAGTCGGATGGAGCCACTATGCTACAGTAGCTTACTAGCACCTCCCCTCCATACCCGCTACAATGCGTTCGATGTGGGAATCCGGATGAGTGCCGTAGTTTAATCAGAAGGGGACGCAGCCAGACACCGGCTTCGATTTAGGTTGGATGCTGCGGATTGTCATGGACTGGTGGAAACATAGGTATTGGATACGTGCCAAGTGTGAGCCGTGTTGGGCTCTCCCGATTGCCGTGGAGTGAGCGGACTCTGGCGACGGAGGCCCTCGGCATCAAGTTCTGTATTGAGGTAATTAGAGGTCGCCAAAAGACAAGGACGGCGTCTCCCTTGAAGCACGTGAACAAACCCGACTCTTGGTAGGGCTGGCTGAGTATCACACTGATGGATAGTCGCAGCAGTGATGTTCCGTTTCAACTGACCGAGACGCAGCGAGTTGTCCGAGTCCTATCTTGGGTGTCCCGTCACGCTATTCTGCCGCTCTGGATTGGTAGTTTCCTCAGTGGCTTTTCGTTAAGGACGTATGAAGCACAGCATGACTTCGACTTCGGCAGAACACGTGCGTGTTTGGCAAGGAAAGCTTGCATAGCATGAGAATGCACTCTGAGGGAGGAGATCCAGCCGCCTGGCGCATCTCTAGTTTGTCACACTGGTTCAGATTCACTGGGCTGTCCCGTCGCGTCACCGGACACATGCCTGCGGGGTGGTGTAAGTGATTGCATACCGGTGCCTACCCTATGGGGCGAACGGAGGCCCTCAAGTCTGAAGTGACGCGCTTCTCGCGACTTCCGAGTGGTAGATCAGTCTTGGACCACACAAACCTCTTCCTGACGAGCACTGCTGCTCTGATGATGAATGGTCAATCGTTCGTCACGATCGACAAGCCGCGCGCAGTTTGCGAACAGCCTCTCGGGTGTTTCATGTTTCCCTGCATGAGCGCTGAACAGCTTGGAAGACGCCCACTCAGAGAGGCAGCGACCGCCCCACTAGCACGAAAGACGGTGACGGCGAGACGCTGTTGGCTGCGCATCAAGTTACATAGACACAACGACCCGATATCTCTGACCGCTACAGTGAAAGGAGGGGCGGTTGATGGGTTACCTGGCTACACCTATAGCGATGCGAACTGTAAGAGCTCAGGTCGCTCTGCGATATCTAACGATATCGTCCTCTTGGCGCGCGAGGTCAGGCTTCTCGTCATTGAAGTGGGTTGCTATTCTTTCCATTTTTAACTGCATAATAAGTAAGTATCCGTGCCTCCTAGAATGCTGTAGTCTGTTTAGTAGATTTCTTGCAGTCAGTGAATAATCGTTCAAGAGTCAAGACTGGCGGCGCAGAGGCAGCATGACGCCCCGAGCGGGCACAGCGAAAGTCGGAACGCTTACTTCCACCGCTCAGGTTACATGGAGTCGATAAATATCCAAAGTAAGATAATACTCGCTGTTGTGACACATATTCATCCGTTTCCATCTCGGCTGCTGCCAGTTTTAGGACATTGTAGACATGGTTGGGATAGAACCTTTGGGGCCAGCTGGTAATAGCCAGAAGCTACTCCGGAGGTATGTAAGGGATCCGGAATGGCACGCATTGTGATTTCCTGTTTGTTTACCCTAGCCGGTAAGGTAGGGCATGAAGTCGATCGACGGATCATCCCGGCGGCCCAGGACAACGCCATGCCCCGAGTCCCATCGGCGTATATGATTCGATGTGTTCGGTCCATCGCCCGTACCTTCCCAAGGATGAGGCTGCCTCGCTTGCGTATGGCATAAGGTAGCTCTCAAATATTCAACGTTATCTGAACTCACTGAGATGAGTCCGCCTGATGTCTGCCTGCCTTGTTTCTTGTTCATACCCTCAAACGGCCAAAGCGGTTGGCTGTGATCGGCTCAAGCCGACCACTACAGTTCATGGTTGGGTGCATGTCGGCATCGCTGTTCAGTTCCTTCTCTCGATTCCGCCGTGCCAACAAGCGGCGCGACGCCCTCCTCGCGTTTTTCTTTGTGATGCAGGTGGCCTCATGGGGTGTTCGTACCTTGCAGTGCCGCAACTGCGGTCGCTACTGGCTGGCGGCGAGAGGGTGGTCAGGGACAATGATATGTGACCTGAACACAGATACAGCGAATAGGTGGCCCCGGCTTACCGTTGAGCACACGCACCACGCCCGAGGCTCTCTCTGTGTGCTCTGTGTGCAGGCTCAGTGGAGGGCGGCCTGCCGGGTGGCCAGCCTATCAGCTCTCCGCAGGCCATCACGGTCGGCTTCATGCATGTGCTCGTTCTCTCCAGTTGGCCAGCGGCCCTGCCCCGAGACCACGGGAAAAAAAATTCCAGTCGGTGCGTGCGACCCAAGTATCTTCTGCAACAATCGGATTGGGTCCTTTTGCAACGGCTATCGCTGCCATACATCTCAGTATTGAAATCTTCGTTGAATGTGTTATCTCGAGTGGCCCGGTTCGAGTCCAACAGCTCTCGATTTGAGGCAAGACCGCGGAATTGAGAGCAAAAACACCCCACTGGATATCTTTTGACCACTGCAGTCGATAACAACCTGGCGGTGGGGGCAAGAGGCAGCATTTCCTTCTCTCTCTCTGGTGAAAACCCAAGCGGTCGTCTCCCATCATTGGTGGAGAGGCTGCAAGAGGATCCAACCTCTCCACTTGGACCTGCTGCAGGCACAGACAGGTCGATAGTGCCATGAAGGTGGACATACCGTAACGTTGGGGTATCACCTCATGTATCAATGTAAGGTACTGTACTACTGTGTACTGTACAGTAGATGCAGCGTGATGGGAGGCAATTGTGGGCCGAGGTACCGTCAGTTCTGTGGTACTTTCCGAGCGCAGGGCCGGACCAGTCCCGATTTAGAAATTCCTGCTAGTCGCTGCGCCATCCTCCACCAGAGAAACCCACACACATCTGATGTCGCCCCAGACATGCAAGGCAAGGGTTCTCGGAGGCCAGTCTGGGTAGCCTGTGGGAATGCAGGTCCTTCAAACGAGACCATGGGTGGGTTCGACGGGTGGGTTCGACAAGTGGGCCCGGTCGAGCCACATCGACTACGGTATGTATCACCGCGACCGCTGTGGGCAGTGTAGTGTAGGTTGGGACCCGTGGCATACATACTTATCCGCGAGCCCTTCCGTTTCCCGGGACCACTCTCTCTCCCCTCCCACATTGGCAGATCTGTCGCGGAAGCACGATCTCTGTTTCTTCTTCGTTTACTTATCGGTTCTTGTTTCTTTTAAAGTCTCGAAGTCCTTGGAATACGTTCCTTCCATTCCTTCACGGCACTTCTGTCCAACCCACCCGAGCCCAGTCTCACCCCACGGCACCACGCATACCCCTCAGCTCCCATGCAACGATAGCGAAGAGACGATAGAAAGGGAATCGAGAGACTGCGTGTCTGTGTGTTCTAACACCATCCCTTGGACGAGTCCATGTATATCAAGTACAACAACTGTCTTTGAGACTAAAACCGGCCGGTTGTGGATCCATCATCACAACTGCCATCCATTCCTTACTACCAGAACCGAACCACACCATCATTTGGCCGCTGCCAACTACGCCGTCGCAAGGACGTGTACATTACGCCCCATATATACCCACTTAATACTTAAACCCCGAGAGACGCCAAGAGGCAGGAGAAAGAGAGAGACACCAACAAACGACATCCTGAATCTTTGCCTGGTTGGTAGCAGCTGCAGCATAGAGCAACGGTGACAGGCGCTGGGTGGCTGACGGAAACGACAGTGCTGCCGATATGGAGACCACGATGATGTCTCAGTCAGCAGTCCCGGCCTTCCTGTTCTACAACCCGGACCCGAACCCGGAGAGCCGGCAACATGGCCGTTTTATTCCCCAGCAGTTTCCCCTGCTCACGGCGCAAATGAGCATGCTTCCAGTCGTTGCCCCCCTCCCCTCGACGCCCATCACACGGCCCGGTTCATCGTGCTCCAAGCCGTCTACGAGCGTTCTGATGACGCCTCAGTCCTCGACGCCTGTGCTATCTCCGCTGCCCATCGCAACTAAGCCAGCCATCGTCGTGGACACAGACCTGAGCGACGCCGAAGGGATCTACTCCCCGGCCACACCGCCGCTATCGTCGTCTTCAAGTGTCATCAGCAGCCCTGGCAGCTGTGATATGCTGCAAACGCCGTTGAACCCTATGTTCTCGGGCCTCGAGGGCAAGGAATCATGCGATGTGGACGCAGAGCTTGAACGATTTCCCAGTCTTGACTGGTCTGCGTGCACATCCCCGCCTCTGACACCTGGTAAGCAAGCTGTCCTTGATCCGTTCTGTTTTCATGTCCATTTCCTCGCGCCTGGACCCTCGTGCATTTCCATGTCGCAACCTTGGTGTTTTCGTATGATTCTCTGTGGCGAGCCTAGCGGTTTGTGAAAGCGCATTTGAATCATCTGGGTTGCGGCGTGCTTCTCGTGCATTAGATGTTATGGCTCAGAAGTCGGAGTGGTTGGGCAATAAGCAAAAAAATAAGAAGCAGGGCTGATTTCGCTGACACGGATCCATTGCAGTTTACTTGCAACCCCAACCACAAGCAGCCAAACTTGCCCCACTTGACACGCAGACAAGCGACCTCCTTTCTCCTGCATCCTGCCCATCGCTGTCACCTTCCCCTTCTCCGTATGCGCGATCCGTGTCTGGATGCTCCGACGACATCGATTTTTGCGATCCTCGCAATCTGACTGTTGGCGGCGTCAATTCGACGCTTGCTCCGGAATACTCTGCGTTGACCACTCTATGTGCGAGTGAGGACGAGGACCAAAAGTTTGCCCTCAGAAACGCCCCTGCCCCTGCAAGCTCGTCGAGCGCCTCCTTCGAGTTCAGCCAGGCCGCCCCAATCAACCTTCATTTTGACGACTTTTCCGATCTCGATTCCGAGTACAGCTTCGTCAAGGGACTTGTAGACCTGAACGACGGCTCGGCCACGCATCTCAGCCGGTCGCGTTCGAGTTCTGACGCCCTGTCCCTTGGCCAATCGAGCTACGCGTGCGACGACGACTCGGAGGGTCCGTTTGTTGTGGATTTTCCAACCCCTCCTGACTCGTGCGACGACAGCGACGCGCACCGGGATAAGCGGCAAAGGAAGTCCGAAAACGCCAGCAGGCCCGTCATGAACTCAGCTGCCGAGTCCCAATCGGGAAGTGCCCAACAGCAGACGCCGCCCAGCCACCAAGAAGGTTCCTCCACCGAAGCCAACAACGGGTCCGAGTCAAATTCGGGCTCCGACAACGCTGCGGGGTCGAACCCTCTCCCGGCACCCACTAGCCGCCGAGGGCGTAAGCAGTCCCTCACGGAGGATCCCTCCAAGACGTTTGTTTGTGAGATTTGCAACCGGCGTTTCCGTCGCCAGGAGCATCTTAAGCGCCACTACCGATCGCTTCACACCCAAGAAAAGCCGTTTGAGTGCAGCGAGTGTGGGAAGAAGTTCTCGCGCTCCGACAACCTGGCCCAGCATTCTCGCACCCACGGTTCAGGCGCCATAGTCATGAATCTGATTGACGATCCAGATGCTATGGCAGGCGTACCAATGCACCCTGCCTACCCGCACCCTGCCATGATGGGCGCTGACGGCTTGGTTGGTGGCGACGACTACCACGCGCTGGGCAAGGTGCTTTTCCAAGTTGCCGCAGAGGTTCCCGGCAGCGCAAGCGAACTCTCGTCAGACGAGGGCAGCGACCAGGGCAAGAAGAAGCGCAAAAGGGCCGACTAAACTGTGCCCTAGGACCTTTGGGGGATTACCTCCACCTACTTTATTTTCTCCGCACACTCTTCACGATGCCGATGGTTTTCGCACTGGAACGTGCCGTCGTCATTGATGCCCCGACATGACCATGATGATCAACTTGTTATCTGGGGATCCGGCATGGGTACGTTCACTGGGAGGTACAGCAACACATTATGGGGAAATTACTTCTTTACGAGACGCCGGGATGAGCCTGGATGGGCTTTCCCCCGGCGCAAACTCCCCACGGACGGTTCGACGAGGCAGAGCGAGCGGGGCTGTATATTTTCCAATTCGGCATTTGCATGTTATCCGGCCTTCTTGTATCATCACACTTTCCCCATTACACCTGGCGTTTATCTCTGCCTTGATCAAGGTCGGCGTCGTGACCCATAAAAGGTCTTGTGGCATTTGGGAGGCCAGGAGTGGCAGGCTCCGTCAAAAAATCACACGGAATTCACCAGTGGGAAGGAGGACAGCAGGCGAACTTTTATGGTTTCTTCGATTCCTTTTACCTCGGCCCGCTTGACATGGCGACAGCGGCTTCCCGAGTTTTCTATTGCGGTTGTAATTTTACAGCAGACGGAGCAGCAGGCTTAACCGTCGTCGCTTTGAAATGAGTTTTAGCTCTTTCTTTCTCGCATCTGACTCCTCTTATGGGAGAAAACGGTATCCGTGTTTGATGCTAATATTCGGGTATCTGCTTCTCAGAGTCGTGTCTTTCTATTCTACTATCATCGCCTGTTTCTGCTTTCCCGGACAAATCATTCGCAGGATTGCTATCCATCCCCGGACAAGGTTATGGTGTGCGCGGGTCACACATCAGTGGAAGCTCTCTGCGTGTTGAAATACGAAGCTCGTGTCGTCGGGTGCTGTACTCTTTTAGTTAGCGGTGTATACACAGTAAGGATGATGTCTGTGCTGAATGCCGATGGTTTCCTACAGTGTTCCTGATGAATTCGCCGTTGCCTTGTCAATGCAACCTGGAATTGACTATCACTCGGCCCGACACAATGGTTGCATTCCTCCAGTTGTTCAAGTCCCCACCACACCAGAGAACAAGCATGCATTCGAAGCCTACAAAATAGCAGTGGCGTTAGCGGGCAGATCGTCTCAGGCCCGAAATCACTGCGGATCATACTGTGTTATTCTCTTAAAATTGCAGAATATGTGTAAGGTACATACAAAGTATCCATGGTAATATTGATTGTCAAAAAGAGACATCTATATATGAGTTACATTAGTTGAGAGCTGAGGCGTGCTAGGTAGTTAATATAGCGCATCTAGGTACCTTATAGAGACTGAAGAGCCAGCTACAGTCAGACCTACATATAACGATTAGAGGCATAACGATTACCTACCTTTGGCGGTCAATATCCTAAGCCCATCGTTATTTATATGAGAGATTGCAAAATCCTACCTACTACAAAAATCGTTAGATCTCTACTAAGTAATATATACAAATCGCTATAGTCAAGGAGGTCTCAGAGCTTTAGCCTCCCTGAAATGGTTAGCTAAGCAGCCTTAGGGCAGCACTGAACCTACGATTTTAGTGGTCGAGTTGAGGTTTTGCCCTATAAATTGCCATCTTGGGTAGGAAATGGGTTAACTCTGGATAACAATAACCTGGAATCAACGGTTAAATTTCTATAACCGACCCAATCGTTATGTGTAGGTTAGTCTGTACTGTACCTAAGTAAGTCCTGGGCAGCACTGGAGCAGGTCCCTATAGGCTCCTGTCACCGTGGACGCTAGAGGCAGCGAGCCAAGGGCCACTAAGAACGTTAACTTCGCCGTCGGTCCACCAAACCTCACTGACCCCGGTACTTGGCGGTAATTACTGTACTGTAATTCGATACAGCTAGTTCAAGCGCTAGTGCAAATAACCACAGGCCACTCCCTAGCACATACAATGCACTAAAAAACCATCAATCGATAGACGGCCAGATTTCGGCTCTGGCCGCTCAAAGCATGAAACATGGACTTCGGAATCCATCAACCCGGCAAGTCTGGCTATAATGACCCACAGCGTGGTCATGCTGCATCGAGCTGCATCTGTACTCCATAACTAACTCTAGTGTCTCCTCCGAAATCACATTTCGCTTGTTACAGAGAGGCCCACGGGCGGGATGATCCGGCTCCAGTCTGTTGGCACCTTGCTCCGCTCCGGGTCATGAGGTTGAGGTTACATGAGTGCCTTCGTTGGTTAGCTGATTACGGATACCGTGGTACGGTAGGCACAACAGTTGACTTGGGTATGCAGTAATTAATCAGAACTTTGAGTGTTCTCCACGGCGTCGCCGGCTGCAACGTCAACGGTTCTAATACCGACAGTTACGGATACAGACCACAAACAAATGTCAACGAAGCAGCCTGGGCTCAAGGTGATCGCCCTGGTCTCCGGTGGCAAGGATAGCTTCTTCTCGCTCCTCCACTGCCGAGCAAATGGTCACGACATCGTCGCCCTCGCCAATTTGCATCCGCCACTAACGCTATCGCGACCGCTCGGACCGTCCAAGAAGACTCCCTCCTCCCCCCCGGTGCTGGCAGCTCCAAGCGCGAGCCAGGATGGAGCTCTTGACGATGCCGCCAGTGCGCCGGCCCATGCCTGCCGTGACTGTGGGACCCCTGGAAATGAGCCCGCGTGTGCTCCATGTGCCCCAGATGAGGATGAGCACGACCTCAACAGCTTCATGTACCAGACTGTGGGCCACCAGGTGATCCCCTTGTATGCCGAGGCCACCGGCATCCCGCTCTATCGCCGGGCCATTGTCGGCGGTGCCACCCAGCACGACAAGGACTACTCGCACTATGAGCCCTCTCGTCCTCCGGGCACCAAGACCGGCCATCGGGATGGCGACGGTGCGCCCGATGAGACCGAGTCCATGGTGCCGCTGTTGGAGGCCGTCAAGGCGGCGCATTCAGAGGCTAACGCCCTATGCGCCGGCGCCATCCTCAGCACATACCAGCGCACGCGCGTGGAATCGGTTGCCATCCGCCTCGGACTAACACCCCTGGCCTACCTATGGAAGTTTCCGTTGCTGCCAACTCCGCCGCTCTCGGACCCCGCCATGGAGGCGGATGCGCAACTCCTGGATGACATGGCAGCCGCCGGCCTGGAAGCCCGCATCGTCAAGGTTGCGAGTGGTGGTCTGGATGACTCGTTCCTCTGGACCAACGTTGCAAGCCCAGAAGGCAAGGCCAGTATTGCCAGGGCGATGCGGCGCTTTGGTCCGGCTGAATCCGGGGCGGTCATCGGTGAAGGGGGCGAGTTTGAGACCCTCGTGGTAGACGGCCCCTCAGCGCTGTTTCGAAAGCGAATTGTCGTGGCCCAAGAGGACCGCCACGTTGTTAGGGAGGGCGGGGGAAGCGCCTGGCTCAGGCTGCAGAATGTAAGACTAGAGGATAAGGGACTGGGGGACGACAGGAATGAAACATCCGCCGTGAGGATTCCGGACTTGCTGGATGCCAAATTTGCCAGGGTGCTGGATGTGCTCTCCTCTCCGGCGCGCGATGAGTCCAAGCCATTCGCTGCGCAGTCGAGCACCGAAATCCCTCCCATAGGGAGCCTACAAGCCCATGCCAGCCGGAAGCTCCAGCACTGGAGCTTCGCCGGCCGCAATTTCAACTCTATCACGACCGAAACGCAGTCTATCGTCGAGCAGATTCGCCGCCGACTCTGCCAACACTCCCTACCCTCCTCTGCCATCCTCAGCGCCACCATTGTCCTGCGCCGCATGGCCGACTTCCCCGCGGTAAACGCCGTCTACGGCGCCCTCTTCGATGCGCCCAATCCCCCGTCCAGGGTCACCATCTCCTGCGGCGACGCCCTTTCGGCCGCAGCAGACGCGGGTGCAAAGATAGTTGTCTACCTCTCGGTCATGCACACAACCGCCGCCGCCGCCTCCTCCTCCCCCCTCCGCCACCGCCGCGGTCTGCACGTTCAATCCCGCTCGTACTGGGCCCCGGCGAATATCGGCCCTTACAGCCAGGCCATCTCTATCCCTGTCGCCAGCCTCGCCAGCAGCAGCAGCAGCAGCTGCAGTACTGCAGAGGCAGATACGGACGCCGGGACCAGACTGGTTACGGTCGCAGGCCAGATCCCCCTCGTCCCGGCCTCCATGGCTCTCCCCTCCCCGGCCGACATCATCAAGGGTAGTAGTGCCAGTGAGCTGCAGCTGCAGCTCGTCCTCGCGCTGCAGCACCTGTGGCGCATCGGGGCCGAGATGGGCGTCCAGTGGTGGACGAGCGCCGTGGCCTACTTCCCACGGCTGGTCCCGCAGCCTGATGACGCCGCCGCCGCGGGTATGGAAATGGAACTGGAAATGGAAATGCAAGCAAGAGCCATGCTAGCTGCTCGCGCATGGCAGACGGCGCACGCCGCAACACTGGCAAGTAGTAATAAGGGTGATAGTGGTGAAGAAACGGAAGAGGAGGAAGACGAGGGCCCTGACCTGTGGGATCGCCGGTTCAACCCGCAGTACAGGTCTTATTACCAGGGCGGAGAGCAGCCGCAGCAGCATGAACCGTCGCTGGCGGGGGAATCGTTGCCTGATCGCCGCGTGCTTGCCCCAGCCGAGGGAGCGAAGACCGCTGTGCTGCCGCCCTTGTTTGTCGCCGAGGTAGACGAGCTTCCTCGTGGTGCCGGGGTCGAGTGGCATGCCCATTTCGGCGTTGCACACGCCGACCCGGGGAGTGTCTTTGTGCGTGATGATGTGCGTGTATCGAGTAACCCCGGAGGGCGTGAGGAGGAGGAAGAGGGGGAGGCGACGGTGTCGCAGGTGATTGTTACCACCGCCGCCGGGGTGAGTTTTGTCCAGACTGTGGTTGCTCACAGGTTCAATGGGGACGACTACGAGGTTCGCGGGAAGAAATCCCGTGACTATCATCAGATGGCCGGGGCGGCTCTTGCACAGCTTGGCGTGGTTCCTGGTGATGTTTCTTCCGCATCGGAAGAGCCGGCTGCTGCAGTGCTGGCAAGGTATGTAGATGCTCGGGTGCTGTCAATTGATCAGGCTGGTGAGGAAGGGCGCAAAAACGGCGAGACGCGGCTTGGCCCGGTGGTGCCGTGCAGGTCATTGTGGAATGCCAAGAGGGAGAGGCTCGCCTCGGTGACGGTGTACCAGAGTGTTTTTGAGAGGTCACACGCTATAATTGAGAAAGGTAGTGATATGTGAAAAGGGGTAAATAAAGGGGTAAATAAAAGGGGTAAATAAAAGGGGTAATTGACAACGAGTGCTGGCTATCCTGGGAATGGTACGGGTTCGAAATTGATATGGCCACCTAGACCAACATACGTTTCAAAGCAAGTCATGCCGTGGATTGAGACAGACTGCTTCACCCTCTATATGCATCCAGCAAACAGCATTACACCAGGGTAATGAAGCTTTTGACCGTTCCAGAAACACCCGAGAAGCACCAATCAGAGCAAAAAGCGAACATACACCACTGAGGATTCCCCAGTCGTCACCGACCTGAGTACTAGTTCAGCGGTCAGTAGCTTATCGAGGGGAGAGCGGACGGGATCCCGAGTTGTCTACTGCCTATGGCCGTATGTGGCATTCAGGGTCGCGTATCCTGTTTACGAAGGTAACCAGGAGATGGCGACTTCAAAGGTGTAGGGCCCCTCTTGCCCGGCCCTAGGCAGGATGTCTTAGCACTTGCTGCCATTATAATCCTGTCCATGGCTTATAGCCGCCAACTAGAATGGCAGTGATACCACTATGGCATTACATCGGAGCGGAATCGTGAGAATAAATAAGTAACAGGCAATTAAACACAATCCTCACCTCTGTTCCAGCCTATCTCCTAACCCGTCCATCCAGAACTGACACCGCTGCCTCTCCTCAGCCGGCACACTCTCCACTTGCACCTCGCCGCCCGTCTCAAACACCACCCGTCGCATCGCCCCCTCTCCTCCTCCTTCACCTCCGCCTCCGCCTTCCCAGACTGACGGCCACTCCGGGCTACCGGGGGCGCGGTAGCGGTTGGGATCTAGCGAGCGGGCAAAACTGGTGTAGTAGCCCATGACCAGGGGCACGACGGGCGCATTGTACGACTTGTAGCTCTCCCGTGCGCCGCCACCGCCGCCGATGTTGTCCGGCCCAAAGATGGCAGCCGCATCAAAGAGGTGGGGCACGCCCAGGCCCGCGACCAGGTTTTCGTCGGCGTGGACGTTGTAACGGTAGGCGAATAGGGGTCGGTTTTTACGGCGGAGGAGCTGGGACTGCGGCTGTAGCAGCAGGTTGAGGATGTTCGTCTGCGGACAGATGAAGGTTGCTTCGCCGTAGGCTTGGCTGGCGGTGGGGAACCAGGCTTTGTGGGCGGGTAGGGGGCGCAGCTTGGGATACCGGGCGAGAATGGCGTCCGTGTCGTTGCTAGTCAGGTGCGGGTAGTTGTTGGCGAGGAAGTTGGCGACGTCGGATTCAGAGGCGGCGTCTGCCGCAAAGACTGAGCCCTCTAGGAGAGTTGATATGTTAGTCATTCCTGAATTTACACGTGGTGCGATGAGGATCCCTTTAGTGGGACACATACCGTCTGTTGACGTACCAAATAGCATTGGCACGTTGACAAACCGCCCTCGTTTAAACAATCTGTACGGCAGATCCTGTAGGAGAGTTCCATCCACGCAGGGGGTCCAGTAGAAAAGGGGCATGGGGGGTTCCCGGCGGCCGGGAAACGGCTGGGCGAGGTTGACAGCCTGCAGCTCAGAGACAGTCTTGCTGCGAAGGCATGTCATCTGCTGTGTCTCAGATATATTACTACAACCTGTCTGTCGTACCACCCTGTCAAACTGGTACTCGAGCTCTCGCACAAACGGCTGGGCCGGAAAGAACAGGGACTCGGCCATGCCACCAACAAAGAGGCTGTCGTTTCGTCCGCCATAGGCTATCAGGTGCATGGCAACGGACCCAGCCCCGGCCGAGGCACCGTGAATAACAACGTGGTCAGGATCTCCGCCAAACTGCTTGAGTAGTGAGCGACTAGTAACGACTCATCGAACTCCGATTCGGAAGACACTGTACCGAAGAGATGTGCGCCGCCACCCACTTGAGCAGAATCCGCTGGTCGAGCAAGCCAGCGTTCAGATCGCCGTCAGCTCTGACTTGCTCGCTGGCCAGGAAGCCCCAGAGACCGACTCTGTAGTTGAAGTTGACCAGGATGACACTGTGGCCGGACTTTTCCACCACTTCGGCACCGTTCCATTTGCCATTGGTGTTGGCGACATATCCTAGGATCCCATACACAGATGGTAAGTAACAGCCACAGAGCAGTTTCAAGCTCTTTACAACTTACCGCCGCCCTGAATAAACACCCACACCGGCAGCTTTGCCTTAGTGGTGGCGTTGGACGGGACCCAGACATTGACATAGAGGCAGTCTTCATCCTGACCAGGAGATAGGTAGCCCGCTGCAATGCCCAGACATAACGGGGGAAACTTCGACATGTGGACGTGTACATGTATTCAGCGGACTGCTCACAAAGACAGAATAAACTGTGCGGTAGATTCTAGTAGTACTAAGTAGATGTGGGCAGGTGGCATACCTGAGTAGCTAATTCCACGGTGTTGGTCCGCGTGGGCTCCACCGGCGCTCGCCATCTGAGCTGTCCAACCGGCGGAGCGGCATAGCGCATGCCCAAGAATGCATTCACGCCGTTGGGCAGTCGCAGGCCCTCGTATGAGGTGTAGTTGAGGTCGACTCGGGCTGTGCTGACTATTGCAGGCTGCAAAAGACGTGTTGCTATCAGTCTTGTGTAATGGACCATGGGGTGCTCTGGCAAGAGGGTATCCCTGGGAACAATAAAACAAGCAATACTAGTAACTGCTCTCATGAACTAATATTTGTCTGTTCCTCTAGCGGGTGAGTGCGCATATTTGATTTGGTTCGACTGGTGCGCGGGGAAGGTGCAATGCAAGACAGCTTGGAGAAGGAGACGACAGGCAGGCAGGCATACGGGAACGACTTCTGGAAGGACAGGATGAGATGGGGAAGTAGGTAGCAAGCCATACCAATTCCACATGGCCGTGAGAATCAAACTTCAGAGCCCAGATGCTCAGCTGGACGGCGAAGACGAGAAGGACCGAGACTCTGAGCAGCACTGCAGAGACTGTCGAGCGCTGCCGTACATCTAGAATCACTACAGACCCCCCTGGCTGGTAGGGGTGATGTGCTTCTTGTTTACCATTTCTGTCGCCCTTGCCTTCCCTGGACAGGGAACGATAAAGGCCTTGCATGGTGGTGTTGAAGCTCGCCCTCTCTGGACGAACCCCGTCGCCCAGCAACCCAGAAGATAATATGTGAACCATGTCACACACAGAGCGCTTTTACGCCCACGATATTGGCTGCTGGTGATCTGCTAAGAGCATTTGGAATAAAGTAGGGCCCTGCATACCTATTAGTTTAGTCGGGGAATGCAATAGACACAGATCTCAGCTATAGGATTGATGGTCTGAATTGAACATTTAGATGTAATGCCCAACATAGGACTTACAAGTTGTTTAATGCAACGAGACTCGGGACAACTCCCTGCTTCGATATATCAACAAAAAAAGGCGAGTTCGATACAATACTTTCCACGATCTGATGCTATCTGTTGATCGCGGAGAAAAAACTGCGACGAATTGCATGACAGACACATCACGGGACCTGAAGACACTCTCAGTCTAGAGCAAGGCAAACATTGGCAGGAATAAAACCAAGCTGAAGACAAGTATCGACTCCAATTGCATGCTTGGAAAGTTCGTACAGCATTTCTCAACACTGATATAAACGCCTCGATAGGACCGACCAACTCTAAGTAATAGAACTCGAACGCCGCACATATCATATCACCATCTCCGTCTAGCTTCGTACTGTGAATGTCTTTCCGAGGCCCCAACAAGCAGCAACATAGAGGAAACAGAACAATAATGCCATAACCACCAATTGAGCCGCCCAATACCTTGCCTGCCCTAGTCATGTAAAAGAATACCTAAGCAAGGGAGAATGCTAATCGTACTAAAAAAAGCCACTCCATTGGATCAACACATTCCTTACTTGTTCAGAAACAATATCTCCTCCTCTTTCCGGCCAGGGGCAAACACGTCCTTGTACGTATGCCACATCCTCCTCAACTCATCCATGTACTCTCTATGCAGCCTGTCCAGCTCGGCTGGGTCAATCTCGCCGTCCTTAGCCTGGGCAACCATGATGGGGCGGCCGACGACGACATTAAGCGGCCGCCTATAGGGCATAAGGCCAACGTCGTAATTGAAGATACCCCTGCCGTGCAAAAACGGCAGCGTGAATTTGAGCGTCCTGAGCAGGCTGAGCTGCAGCTTATGCAGGCCCGAGTGCCGCTTGGGGCTGACCTGGTCGTACAGGTCGTTCTCACCAAAGGCGAGCACGGGGACCAAGTCCGCTCCCGTGCGCAGCGCCATCTTGACAAATCCCTTGCGCTCAGTCAGCATTAGGTGCATGATTCCGGGGCGGGCCTCGAGCGACTCGCGCGCTCCGCCAATAACGATGGTCACGGCACGGCCCATGCCCTCGCCGTTGAGGCCACCCTGCGTCAGCGTATTGGTGATGGACTCCTTGGACACGGACCGCAGACCCGCGGCCAGGATATAGTCGCGGTAAAGGGGCACGCGGAAGTTGGCGTCGAGTGTGAGCAGCGAGTTGGTAATGCCCGGAAAAAGATCCGAGAAGCCCAACGCTTCTGTGCCAAAGGCCGCGAAGGCCCCGTGCGAGATGATGCCGTGCGGGTGATAGCCAAAGATGTATTTTCGCGTCGGTGGCAGATCGTGCGTCTTGTGCAGCTTCGCGGGGAAGTACTCGGCAAAGAACTTCCATACGGGGAGCCGCCGCCAGCGCTCCGAACGCATGCGCAACCGGCCATCGGTGGGCGACTTGGAGAGGAGCATGTGCAGGAGATAGGGTATCACGATGGGCCACGTGAGCGGGATGGCGCAGAGGAAAAAGAAGAAGGCCGGCAGCACGACGATCGTGAGCAGATGCATGATGACGGCCAGGGTCTGCAGTCGACGACGCCAGGGTATATTCCAAGGCGCGAACCGGATGCCACCCGCCCTATAGGCCATCGCTCGAGCTCGCTCCCGGGCCGCTCTGTCATCGATGCTGACCGTGTCGACAAGCGGGGGATAGTCACGATCCCGGGGAGCTCTGGGGCCCCTTTTACGGCGTCTTCTTAGGTCGCCATCCAGCAAAGCCACGCCATTGGACCCTGAATTGTTTGGGTGTTTCGAAGCTGGTGACACCGTGTGATGTAGATCGTTATCGGAGAGGTGCATACGCATGGGATTGGCCTTTCTTTCATCGTCGCCCAATTCGTTCCTCGCCGGCAGCTCGACCGAGACACGCTCAGCCTCCTTCTCTGCAACATCCCCGGTTGACTCAGCTAAGGACATCTTCTCCTCTAGCTCCATTCCCACGGACTCGGAAGATGGTGCCTGAGATGGTGACGTCGGCTTGCTCTCGAGGCTCTATTGCAGCAGTCTGTCAGCAACCGCCCCTTAAGCGAGCCGAGCGTTAGGGACGCCGACGCACAGTATCACTCTTCTCCTCTCTTGACGACACTGACGACGTGTCACTGTCTGGCACGGGCACAGCGAAGCCACCATTCTGGCGCCCTGTATCCGGGTCAATAGGCTGGCCTGGACTGTTGTTTTGCAGCGCCTTCTGTGCAGCCTTCTTCTTCGCAGGCCACTTCTTTTTGTTCTTTCGAGTCGGCTTGGCGCCAACACCATGTGCTACGCTGAGTGTTCTCTCCATGTTGACTTGCAGGTTTGCTCACCTGAGACGAGAAGATCTGGAGCAGACATGGCTTATGAAGTCTGGGCCCTGGCAGAGCACCTGCTTTTGTAGGGAAAAGGCAGCTACGCATGCGCGAACTCGGTATCGGCGCTGGAATGGGCGGGCGCGACCCCGGATTGTGGGGAGCTGAGTCGGGCAACCTTAGGGACGGAAGGTAGTCAGAGAGAGCCGGAAGGCACAAGGGCCGGTGATGATCGATCTTGGTCGGGGACTTGTACGATGAGTTACTCGTGTACTTCGCAGTACTTGCGTAATGTCGCCAGATAAGGTTGACACATGCCGTGCACGGGTCTAGGAGTTCGGAAAATGTCTGATCAGACGAGGGATCATTGTTCTCCTCAAGATTCTAGCATGCATCGTGTTCGTCTTTGGAATTCGTTCCCTTACTTCGGAGCAGGCGCGCCCTGGGCGCCGTTCGCTAGCCAGAGCGTTGGCAGTGCTAATGATGACGTTAGGGGGTGGGGTTACGGTAATCATCCGAGACGAACTGCCAAGCATAAATTGAATGGGGAATTCTTTTCATACCGGTACTGTACGGAGCACGGCGTAACTATTTGATCTTACTAGGTAGTATGCTCAAGGGCTCAATGCAAGGGTTTTCAACGTTTCAATGCCCAAAGCCGGAATTATTTCATTTTCGATGCCATGAGGCAACCTGGTCTCGGAAATGCGATACCTATGATACATACAGCAGAGATCGAAGTGGATGAGTACTACAATCTCCGCAAAAACACAGAAGCCTGGCTGTTCTCGGTGTCGTGGCAGGCGATAATGTCGGACGTGTCTTTACCGGCAAGCGTATGGCCCAACTAGCAACAGGGCACCATATTGTGACAAATAGCCACTTTTGCCAGCAACAAACACCAAATCATTCACCTTGACGCTCGCCCTCGCGTTTTTGTTGACAAAAGCAAAAGGAAAAAGCCCAATACGGAGTACCGCCGTCTCTACACCGTAACACCCAACCCCGGCCATAAACCGCCGAAAACAATTCCCGTAGCCGGTTAACCAAACGCCCGAAGAACATATGAGAAACTGGATGTAGCGAAGGCGGAGCAGGTGCTCCTAGTCCCGACAAGCCGTCTTCGTGTTTACAGAGAAAACGCCGATCGCAGGAGCCTTGCCGACATGCGCCGTGACCTACCAATATACCCATTGTTTATTGCTGTGCGGTAGACTCGGCAACTGGTTCGGCACTAGCCTCCGCGGGAGAGCCCTCTGCTGGGGACCCGGCTAGTTGTTGTCGTAAGGCCGCGATGTCGGCGCTCAAGGAAGCGATATGCTGGTCTTGGAGGTTGAGTCTTTCCACCAGCTGGGCATTGGCTAGCGCCCCCGTCTCCACCTGGTGTGCAAGGTTCTTGACCTGTTGCTCCAAGTGCTGGAAATAGGCCCAGTAGCCCGGGTCGGCACCACCAAACGCACCGCTCTCTGTACCTTGCGCAGCTGGAACACCGGCGCGGTTGCGTCCGCGGTTGGCCATGTGCTGGGTCGGCCCCGCATTGCCTTTGGTTGCGTTTGGGTCAGCGGGGGGATACTTGGAGAGCCAGGCTTGCTTGGACGCCGGTGACATACCATGCGTAGGCAAAGCGCCGCGATGTTGCTCAGCTGCTGATCGCTGTGGGCCCGCAGCGTTCACTTGGGCTCCGGCAGGGCTCAGCGCTTTGGGGCTTTCCGTCATACCGGTCTGCGAGTACATGGAAGAACTGCCCGCACTCAGCGGCACTGAAGATATGCTGGTGTGGGGTGTGTGGCTGTTGGGTACGCTGGGCGACGTATTTGTACTCAAAGACCCGCGGTCGGCATTCGGGGGATACAAACCACCAGCAACGCCGGACCGTCGACCAGCCGGGGGATACGTTTGCGCGTGGGCACCATAGCTTTCCGATCCTGATTGCCCAGCTACGTGCTGGGCCTTGATGCTCGGCATACTTAAACGACGCCGCTCCTCCTCCGCCATGTCTGCCCCCGCACCCTCGTACAGATCCCCCGACATGGCAGAATTGTCCGCTGACCCAATACCAAAGGGGCCCATGGTTGATCTCCTCCCCGCGCACCCGCCCGCTCCTTTGCTATGCCTAGCCAGCGCGTCCCCGCGAGCAAACTTCCTGTCGCAATTTGGGCACACATGCGGCTTTTCGCCCGTGTGCAGCTTGCCGTGCCTCTTTAGATCATGGAGGCGGCGAAAGCGCATCTGGCAAGATTGGCAAGAGTACGGTTTCTCCTGGCTGTGTGTGAGTAGATGGCTTTTGAGATTATGATGCCGAGTGAATTCTGTCTCGCAATAGGGGCATTTGTGTTTTTTGTTGCTCGGTGATCGGGGCGCAAGGTCCGGGTTTTGTGAGCCCGGTGCGGGCGTGCTCATTCCCCTTTGAGGATCGGATGCCGGCATGGAGCTTTCAGATGGCAATACCCCAGGGTACGAAAGCGAAGTTGTCGTCTTGTCCTCTATCTGCGCCTCGGGCTGCGCTGCATAAAGCCGCTGGTCGCTGCGAGAGTCGACGTCCATGGCTGTGGGGCTGTCGACAACCTGCCCGTCACCGTCCTCCATGCTAGCTGCGCTTGTACTGCTCTGCGGACTATCGTTTTCGAGCTCTCCACCCGCAGCTTGACCTGTTGGTATGGTGACAGAACTGAGGGCTCTCGTGGCGGCCGCTGCGGCCGTCTCCATCGCAGACTGCCCCGTTTGGGAATTCGAGTTTTGCGCTCGATTCATGGCTGTTGCGACGCCTGACATCAATTCGTTGAGATCCTTCTCCGGGTTGGTCTCGTCGTTGTTTCCAAGTTGGGCAGCAAGTTGTTGGTCTTCTTCTTCCTGCCGGTTTCTTTCCTCCTCGGTGGGGGGGCTTTCCGAAGGCGGATTCGACTGCCGCGCGAATCCGACCAAGCGAGCGATCTTGGATGGCGATATGTCGCCCGCCGAAGCCGAATCGGACGTATCCGGTGTCTCTGAGCGAGCGCGCTTGAGAGCCTTCTGCCGTGAGAAATCGGTGAAGGGCGAGAATGTAGCTGCTACAGCGGCATGCGGCGCGGCCGAAGTTGAGGCCGCACGCGGAGCTTCTGTCGCGGTGGGTCCCCGATCCGAGGCCATGAGGCGGCAGGAGACGCGACAAGACGGCCAAGGCCGACGACAGAGGATAGGTTGAACTGAGCACAGCGCTCAGTTTCGTGAATGCACGTCTATCGCCCTTACACGGTCAAGAGCAACGTCAAGAGTGCGGTCTCCCCAGGCTGAGGGGACGCTCGAGGCTTTGATGTGTGGCTGGAGATCGTGGCGAGAGCTTGGGGTGCGAGCCGACGGCAAAGGGAATGCCAACGCAGAGACGCGGGATGCGTGAAAACTTGCTTGGGTAAGGCAAACTAATCGAACCAAACGCTGCAGTTCCCGCAGAGCCGGCCGGCTCGAATTACTGTCAAGAAATATGCAACCCAGAACACGGCAGTTGGATTTGCTCTTGTCACTGGGAACGATGTGGCAGGGAGAGCGAAAAGCCTCGAGGCGGAAAAAGAAGGCTGCGATGGGGAACAGTGGGAAGAAAAATGGGCGCGGGTGCGCTTTGCGACTTGGTGCTTCTGCTTCAACTGGCATCCACAGATCACCTACTTCGTAACTAGGACGGGTGTCAAGATCTACGCTTGTTAGGCGGTACTTCGGGAGGTCCAAGCTCTATCCGCGCTCCAGCCCGCCCCAGCCTTGCAACACTAGCCTCTTTCGGGAGGTTCTCAAGCCACCCAGCCCCTTCCACGCATGATCAAGGTATGCGATGGAAATCGTAGTGTGCAGTAAATGCTGACATTGATTGTCAAAAGGTCTAAGGTTGTAAATCAGCACAGCGACATATGAATCGTTCCCCGTGGAAATCAGAACCATGCGAAAGTTGGGGTTGACCAACGTCATTCTAGTTATTATGCTGCTGTTGCTGTCCCCTGGGCTGCTAGGTCTACCTCAACGTTGGGACACATTGCCTCACCTTCTACCTCCGTAATTGCCCTTCCAAAGGGGTTCGAAAAGCTGAAGGAGCCCATGGACCATGAAGTACCAAATAAAATTACCATCTGCCTTCTTGAGGGTAAATACGACTAATCAGGCGTCAGAGCTTAACTACATGCGGTCGCCTGCCGGGAAAATGTTGGAGCGGGCCATAGAGTGGCTGTGCAGTTGTGATGTCTAGCGAATGCTTTTGGTTGGCGAAAGATCGTGGATCCTCTGGCATAGAGTGAGAAGAGTATCCCCTTAACACGAAGTGGCGCACAGCCAAACCACCTCCAAGACGAACTTTCAGCCGTGACAAGCAGCCGTTGAGGCTGTGACAGACATTTATTGACTCGACCTGCCCCCTGCTTTCCTTGGGGGCGCCAATGAAGCCATTACTCAGTGCTCTGTACTCCGTAGAAGTTGACGACTTACATATTCATTCTCCCGAGCATCAGGTACCGGTATTTTGTCGACTTTGGACGGAGCTTGAGACTTCGAGTCTAGTTATGTCCTCTATTCCAACCTTCATCGCCTGATTGTGCTCGCATCCCGCCGTATCCCTTGCATGAAAGATCCTCACCCCTCGAGGCAAGAAGAGCACCGCAGGCCTGGTCGCATGTGAAGAACGGCTACTGCCCAGCTATGAAATTCTGCTTTGACCCGGATCTGGCACTCTTATTGTCCCGGAACCGTAGAGAAGGGCCGTCCTGAGCTGGTGTAGTTACGGTAGATCGAAACCTGGAAATCAGTCCATCCGATCGGTTGGTTACCAAGGTAAAAAGACCACACCTGCAGCCCCGCTCATTGTGTATCAACGCTTGGGACTGACCTCATCACCCCCATCGTCCTACGAGCTCGCCTCGTAGCTGTTGGTAGAGGTTGGTTAGCTTACAAGACAACTTTCTCGATTGATCCAATCACCGACAGAGTGCGCTCATAGATTTGGGAGCTAATCACTACGAAGCAGCCTAGTGACTGTGTACAATAACTACCTACCTACCTACTTAGTCATCCTGTTTACTGTGGTACGTGAGGCTTGTTGACAGCCCAAACGGGTCAGCAAAGCGTGATGATGGGGCCTACCTGTGTATGATGTTGTACCTACGTATCGTCAAAACCCCGCCATCCTCCGTCAGTTGCGGCTTGGCCCTTCAGGGACGCATATCCTGGAGGCTAAACTCAGAGCTGTCGGAGCGGTCCGAGAAGGCAGAAGCCAACCGCGTGATGTGCTGAAGAGTGAAGAGTAGCTTACTATTAAGAACAAAGCGACATCAAAACTTGCCGAGCAAGCCACATGTGTGTCGGTCCAGATGAAATACTGGTGTTCGTTCAGGCAAACGTCCGGACAAGGCTTTTCTCAGGAGGCTTTTACATTCGGGCGTTCCTTCCCTTAGTGCTCAACCCGGCCCGACGCATACAGATATGGACGACACATGGGAACAAGATCTTACGGCCCTTGCCCTGCCGACCCGAGGAATTGTAGCAGGGCAAAGATTGCAGTTTACGCTGGGCATCTGGCTACCAGAACGCCGACAGCTAACGAGCGACGCCAAACAACTCCAACTTGCGGACACTGACCGCTAGGACCTCCGTACTCAGTACCATATCCGTGTTCTAGGGCAAGTTCTGACGATTTCCTGTCGATGGTAATCCAGTAAGCAGGCGAGGCAGGCCGCGCCTATCTGACATATGGTGGGTTTTGATTCTTCAGTGCCGACTTCTGTGGGTACGGTAGTCTTCAGCGAGAGGCACGACTGCCAAAAGCCCAAAACCGAATGCGGGCGATCCTGTTTTGCTCAAGCAAAGTCCGCGAGATGAGAATGTGCACTTCCCCGAAGCTGCCGCGACTGTTTTGTTCAAGCCAAGATGCTGCTATTGCGTGTTTGCACAGATCTTTAAGTATGGCAGACAATGATCTGTCTGGCGATGGTAAGTGCCGCCCAGACCCGCTAGTGTATACGGTAGTGAAGAGTTCCGTTTACGCGCCGGCATCGATGCTCGGAAACAATCCCGGGCGAGGACTCGAGGTTTTGGTAGAAGGCCGACGTTCACCTCGCTCTTGTCCTGGACTCCTGGGGATCCCTCCTTGGCCCTAACTCGGAATGCGCCCCTTCCGCCGTGCAAATAGAGGCTGGAGATTGTTGCTATGGAATCAGAAAAGCGGCTGCAACAATCCCCAGACGCACTGCAGAGCGATCAACTTTCGACGGCGGGGAGGACGGCCTGCGGATACAATCAGCTCTGTTATGTATATGTGGTAGTCTTTCAGCGAGCTTTATCTGTTTATGTCTTGTATAATGTACCAAGTATGTCGCCCTGATGCGACTGGGATAGCTTGGTGGTGGCTATGAATCTTGTCCCGCCGAGCTTTTTAGGGTCGTCTTGGAATCCTGCCACCTCCTAAGTTAAGATTGGACGACAACAAAGGACATTAAGATTAGCATCCTCTCCGCGGACGTCGAGAATATTTGGCGTTTAGTCCAAGCAAAATCTGATATTTCTTGAACAGGTACTGTAGGACATCGAAGGAGGGAGCAGCAGTAAACAGCATCAATACCGGTGACGTCCAAACTTTTCTTGGAGGATTGGCCGGCAATCAATCTGGGACAGTTTTACGAAATTACGCACGCGCCAATCGCTTGACCGCGCGTATCGTAACGTGTTGAGTATTATTAAATCCGTCAACATTACGGAGGGGCTAGTAACGCTAATTATGTACACCGTTATCTCGAACGGAAGGTGATGATGGGACGATCGAGGCCACATCGGGGAGATGGAGAACAAACTCGGCCAGGGTACGACGGTGGACCTGCGCCGCGTAATGAGGTGCGCAAGATCCTCATAAGGGTGAGGAGCCATGGGAGCAAAGCAACGCAACGTCTAGGCATAAAGTGCAATACAAGGACACTATAATGAGTGAACACAACATCGATAACGCTGTGGTGCAACTTGAAGCTGTCATCTATGGTTTGCTCAGGTATCGGCTCACACATCTCATCCGTGAGGTTCAATTTGCCAACTGGTGCAGCCAACTGAAAGTGGTGGTTTTAGGGGCCAAGACCCAGGAAGCCAATCCGCAAGTTAGACAGGCACGGTACCTGCAGTAGTGGCGCATCCAGGAACCAGCGTGTAAAAATTTGGTGGCCCTCTGCCAATTTCGCCAAATGGGGAAGCACCTCAATCCCCACCCTGTTGGGTTGCTCTGCGAGTTCTGGGCGAAACATCCTGGCAGATGCTCATTTCGCTCCCTTTTCTCCCAGCCAGGCCCGCTGCCCGGACCAAGCGAACAGTCCTTGCTCCACCCCTGGAGGACGCTCGTTTCCGCTTTCTTCAGTTCATCCCTCTCTTGAACTGTTGTTGTCGCTCGTTTTCTACATTTTACGAACACTTCCATCCAACAGAGGGTCTTGGGCTCTCTCACACATTCCTTTGGAACACGCGCGAAGACAACGATCACAACCTGAATTGGAGACCAAGGTGACGGATACGTGAATCCACTTGTGCTCATCGCATCGATCGCTAGGTGAGTTCCACAGGAGGCCACAGGAGGCCAGCCGTACATCCTCACGCTTCGCCAGCCGGACCCTCTCCGCTTCTGGGTGATCTCGTCGTGGCCCTGGTAGGCCATCAAGGAGCACGGGGCAGGTGTTGACGATCTACATGGGCAGAGACTGACAGCAGCCCAACTCATAGTGTACATCCTCAAAACCGGCAGAGATGAAGGGATTCATCACAACTGCCGTAGCAGCGGCAGCTGTTGTTGGGGTTGCGGCTCAGCCTCACAACCATGGCCATCATCACCGCCACGCCAAGAAGCACGACCATGCGGCAATTGCGAAGCGCGACACGGTCGTCGTCACTGAGGTGGTCGAGGGCCCTACCGTTGTCAAGTATGTGCTGGATGGGCAGGAGGTCGACGCTTCCAAGGCGGAAAAGGGCATCTCGGATGGTGTTTTTGTTGTCATGGGCTCGACTAAGCCTTCGTTCACCGCGCCTGCGCCCATCGTCAGCACTTCGATAGCTAGTGACGACAAGGGAGGCCAGTTCTTTGAGAAAGCGGTGACAACATCTACGTCGTCCTCGGCGCCACCCCCCGCAACCTCGTCAACTGCGCCCGCTTCCTCCACCTCGTCGCCTGTTTCCCAAGGCACCGGCATCGACGCTGACTTCCCGGATGGCGAGCTGGACTGCAGCAATGTCCCGACCGACTATGGTGCCATCGCGATCCCATGGACTGGCACCAACGGCTGGACGACTCTAGCGAGTTTCGGAAAGTGGATCAAGGGCGTGGCCGTTGACAACATTGTGTCTCCCACCTCGGGAACGTGCAGCAAGGAGATGATGTGCTCGTACGCTTGCCCTCCGGGCTACGAGAAGACGCAGTGGCCCGAGGACTCGCAGGGCGCCACTGGCCAATCCGTTGGTGGTCTGTGGTGCAACGAGAATGGCAAGCTGGAGCTCACCCGTCCCAAGTTCAAGAAGCTCTGCCAGCAGGGTGCCGGCGGCGTCTTTATCCGGAACGAGCTCTCGAGCAATGCCGCCGTCTGCCGTACTGACTATCCCGGCAACGAGGCCATGGTCATTCCTCTTGACACCTATCCGGGTAACACGTATCCGCTGACAAACACGGATTCGTCGACATACTACAAATGGCAGGGCAAGCCTACAACCGCCCAGTACTACGTCAATAAACTGGGATATGAGGTCGAGGAAGCGTGCACTTGGAAGAGCTCAAAATACCCCAACGACGCCGGCAATTGGGCCCCGTGCAACATTGGTGTCGGCAAGAGTGAATCTGGCATAACCTACATCTCCATTTTCCCGAACTTGCCCACTAGCACCGCGGTACTCGATTTCGACATTGAGATTACTGGCGATATCTCCGGGACGTGCTGGCTCAAGAAGGGTTCATACTATGGGGGTGGCAACGGCTGCACGGTAAGCAAATTTATCATCCATCGGGGTTCTTACTTTTGCGTAGACAGCAGGCTAACAGCAGGATAGGTCGGCATGAAAGAGGGCGGCACGGCCACCATCGTGTTCAAGAACAGCTCTTAAGTGTGAGGGCACAAGACTGGATTTCATGTTGGATTGTCTTTTTCCCCTCCAGCCGTGGACCCTTCCAGCCCCTGACATTGGGTACGCAAGGCTGGTTAGGCCTTGATGCTCTTCTAACCATGACAATACACGAATGGCAGGGACGGCCAATGCATCCGAATCGTATCTTAATGGTCATATGTATGTATAATTGCTAAATATCGGGGATGCGTTGGCGGCTCGGCTTGCACGAGGTTTCGCTCTTTGGACAGGTTGCAACCTCTGCCGATCACGGCTTTTGTTTCATTGCTTCTTGGGCTCTGCATCTTATTATCTGTCAGGCGTAAGCGGAATTACAGAGATTGATACAACGTCTTGTTGCTCCGTAGTTCGATAGCCGTGCCAGTCTTCTTGAGCAACTTTCAACTACTAATACGCTAGTATGTACTTGTACAGTACAATACCTTGTAATCCCACCGCGGCAAAGGACCCAGAGTTGGGTTGATCCTCCCCGGGTATCTAGGTACCACGATGTAAAATGATCATACCGTTCCTGGCTTAACACTACGAGCCTTCACGTTTCTCTACTTCATCTAGAAGAAATGTTCAGTGCAGTCCCTCGTTTCTCAGGCTCTTCCACTGAGAAATGACCTGGAATCCCTAGGTAACAGGCCAGTGCAGTTAAGCATGTAACTGCATTTGGCCATAAGCGGATTGATTGACGGGAAGAATACGGTACGGAGTAATTACCTGAACCACTCTGTGGATTGTGGATGCCTCCCTAGAGTTCTTTCCCAGCAGTGCTTGTCTTAGTGGTGGTAGTTCACCTTATGTATTCGTATATACCTTATGTACTTGTACAGTACTGTACAGTACTGTATCCAAGGGGCCCAGACCAACTGTGGCGCATAGAAGTAATCAGTATCCGTACTCCGTAAGTCTGGCCGACTTGGGTATCCATATCAGCTCGGTGCTCGCTGCGATTGGCGAGCTGCGTCTCAGCTTGCGACGACATCTGAAAAGACAGCTAGATATTCCCGATCAGCCTCGCCTCGTCCAACTTTTGCACAAACAATCTGCTCTTCTTCAACCACTATACCGGTATTGCCGCTCTGTGTGCATTCGCGCTTCGGTTGAAAACATCATCGAATATAGACGACAGCGAAGAGCTGACGAACCTCTTCGCTTCGCCGCTTGCTTCTGGTTGCACGCGACAAGACGCTTCTCGGTGCTGCCTGAGCCTTCCCCTGGACCCCTTGGATTGAATCTTTCGCGCAAGGCTCTTGATCCCCAGCTGTCCTTCTTAATGACCGCCCAAGTCGCAACTCAAGCACCATGAGGGTCAGGGGAGCTTTACAGGTGGCGGCCTTGCTTTCGTCGACCCTTTGCGCGACGCCCCTCGCAGCGAAGAATGACCGGCCGACGTTCTACACCAAGTCGCTTGAAAGCATGCCCAGAAACCTCAACTATTTCGCCGACTCCGACGTTGTCTTGTTTCAGGACACAGATGCCAACATTGTTTACCGTTCCGATGACGCCGGCGCAAAATGGGAGCGCGTAGACTCGATCCCCGACGGCAAGGCCTGGCTGCTCAAGATGCACGAGTTCGACTCGAACCGGGCTTACATCCTCACCGAGGGCACGCACCACTTTCGCACCAGCGACCGCGGCAAGACATGGGACAAGTTCGACTCTGGCGCCGAGATGAGCATGTTCCGCAACGACATCATGCAATTCCATGCCTCCGATCCCGACCGTGTCATCTTCAACGGCATGGTCTGCCAAGGCATCTTCTGTCAGGAGGTTGCCATGTACACCACTGACGGCTTCAAAACTCCCGCGAAGGAGCTGCGTAGAAACACGGACGGCTGCTGGTGGGCCAAGTCTTCGGACCTGTTTACCACGGGCTCGGATGACCTGGATAAGAACCGCATCCTGTGCATCGTTAGGGACGCCTTCTCGCCTTTCAAGCAGGACCAGCGCTTACTGGTCTCTGACAACTTCTTCAAGCCCACCAAGGAGAGCGACAACATCCAGGAGTTTGAGCCTGACCTGGACACCAACAAGCCTGTAAAGGGCATTGTGAACGTTGCCGCTGTCAAGAAATACATTCTGGCGGCCACGACCTCCATGAACACAGACGAGATGGCCCTCTTTGTCACCGACGACACTAAGAAGTGGCACCGCGCCATTTTCCCCACGCCGCATGACAGCCACGACCACCGCATCATGCAGGAGGCTTACACTGTGCTCGATAGCACCAACTATAGTATCCAAATCGATGTCATGACCGCCCGGCTATCGAACTCGATGGGCGTAATCTTCACGAGCAACTCCAATGGGACTTACTTCACCGAGAACGTTGAGCATACAAATCGCAACAAGAGGGGCAATGTCGACTTTGAGAAGATTACTGGCATCCAGGGCATATTTCTGGTCAATACGGTTGAAAACTGGGAAGAAGTTGAGAAGGCAAACGCCAAGAAGAAGGTCGTCTCCAAGATCACGTTTGACGATGGCCGGACCTTTGAAGATGTCAAGACGGCTGATGGCAAGAGCATACATCTCCACTCGGTGACAGATTTAAGTAACGTGGGACGCGTCTTCTCCAGCCCCGCTCCCGGCCTCGTCATGGGCATCGGGAATACGGGTGGCCATCTCAAAGACTACTGGGACGGAGATCTCTATGTCTCGGACGACGCCGGCAAGACGTGGACCAAGGCGCGGGACGGGCCACACAAGTACGAATTTGGAGACCAAGGGTCTATCCTGGTTGCCGTGCGCGATTCGGAAGATTATGATGTCGGCGAAATCAGCTACTCCCTTGACCACGGGTTGGAGTGGAAAAAGGAGCCTCTCCCGGACGGTCTCAAGATCCTACCATGGATTCTCACCACCACCCCAGACTCGAGCAGTCTCAAATTCATCCTCATCGGGAAGACAAAAAAGGACTGGCAAATCATCGGCATCGATTTTGAGGGTCTTCACGAAGCCACTTGCAAGGAGGATGACATGGAGGAGTGGTTTGCACGGGTTGACAAGGATGGGAAGCCGACTTGCTTGATGGGCCATACGCAGAGCTTCCACCGCCGCAAGAAGAAGGCCGAATGCTTCCTCAAGCAGGAGTTCAAGCACACCGTGGCGGAAACCAAGGATTGCGACTGCACCGACATGGATTACGAATGCGATTTCAATTTCGAGAGAGATAAGGACGGCAAATGCATCTCCAGAGGGCCTATCGCCGCGCCGGAGGGAGCGTGTAAAGATGGCGATCCGGATGCCACCTTCAAGGGCACTTCAGGATACCGCAAGATCCCGGGAAATACGTGTAAAGCGACTCCAGAGATGGACGAGAAGTACAAGGATGTGAACCGGAAATGCGCTGATATCATCGGCAAGCCCTCGGGTCCGGCAACGGACAAAGTCGAACAAACTCAGAAATCCTTCAAAGGCTCGTGGGATTGGTGGGAGAAGCACTACCTTGAGCGCGGCGAGTCGAGCTCCGCTGACGATGAGACCATTATCATGCGTGGATGGAAGGGGTCGTCGGCGGGCCCCATTCATATCACCAGCGACCACGGGAAGACGTGGAAAACTCCAAAGGAGCTCGATGACGAGGACATTCAGCGCATCATCCCACATCGATACTTCAAGGACATGATTTACTTCGTCACATCTGGAAAGAATGTCATTTATTCTCCCGACCGCGGCAGGACCTTCCACAGCTTCAAAGCTCCCATGGAGCCGGCTGAAGCCTACCCTATATCCTTCCATCCAGACAAGAAGCGATGGCTGATCTGGATGGGCAAGAAGTGTGAGAACAACGAATGCTATGGAGTTGCCTCGTACAGCAAGGATGGCGGGGACCACTGGGAGACAGCGGGCCAATACGTCCTGCGCTGCGAGTTTACTGGATCCGCGGCCTACAAGTATCCCGATCGCAAGGAGGAGCAGATACTCTGCTTGAGGCATGAGGAAGAGAATAAGGACAGCACGGTAGTGCTGAGCTCGACCAATGACTGGTTTGTGAACGACGAGGTTCGCGGCAGGAACGTCAAGGATTTCGCCGTCATGTCCGAGTTTATCGTGGTTGCAAGCGAGAATACGGACAAGAAGACACTGGAAGCGAGCGCGAGTCTCGACGGTATTACATTCGCTGAGGCCCGCTTCCCCTATGACTTTGTGATTCCGCACCAGCATGAGTATACGGTTCTGGACAGCTCGACGCACGCTGTTAACTTGTTCGTCGCCACTGAGAGGAGAGAGAAGCACACGTACGGAACCATCCTCAAGAGCAACTCCAACGGGACGTCGTACGTGGTCAGCGTGAGGAACGTCAATTGCAATGACGAATACTATGTCGACTTTGAGAAGATGCTTGGCATAGAAGGAGTTGCCCTCGTGAATGTGGTTGCCAATCCGGACGAGCAGGGTAGCGCCCCTAAGAAGCTGCAGACCAAAATCACACACAATGACGGAGCTCGGTGGGCCTACCTGGCGCCCCCTGCGGACGATGAGTTTGGCAAGTTCCCCTGCCAATCCGAGGGCGACGAGAAGTGTGCGTTGCACCTCCATGGCTACACGGAACGCAGGGATCGCGGCAAGACGTACTCGTCCGAGGGCGCGGTTGGAATCATGTTCGCTTGGGGCAACGTCGGTGAATTCCTGGGTACGCGCAAGGATGCCGATACCTTCATGACTACGGATGCCGGCATCTCTTGGAAGCGGGTCAAGCAAGGGCAGTGGACATGGGCGATTGGGGACCAAGGTGCCGTCCTGGTACTCATCCAGACCACTGTTGTGGCAGCAACGAAGACGAAGGTCCTCTATTATTCCCTTGATCAAGGTGCAACCTGGACAGAGCATGAGTTCTCCGCCGAGGAGGTCGAGGTCTGGGACATTACGACCCTCCGGGCGGGCAATTCACGCAACTTTTTGCTCTGGGGGAAAGACAGCAACGGTCCCTTCACTTTGAATCTAGACTTTACAGGCTTCACGGAGCGCGTTTGCAAACATGACGACGACCTGGACAAGTCAGATTACTACATCTGGTCGCCGGAACATCCCTTGCAGCCTGACGGCTGCCTGTTTGGCCACAAGACGCAGTATCTGCGCAAGAAGGCCGACAGGAAATGCTACAATGATTTCAGATTGCAGCCACTGTACGGCAAGCAGAACTGCACCTGCACGAGGGAGGACTTTGAATGGTAAGCCTTCATTCCTCATCCACCCCCGTCGAAACAAGAAAGGGTGATACTGACACACTCTTCCCACATTAGCGACTACAACTTTGAAATGGACGCATTTGGGCAGTGCTCTCTAGTGCAGGGGCTTCCGCCACCGGATCCCGTTGCCTGGTGCGCCAAACACCCGGATGAGATTGAGTACCACGAGCCGACAGGCTACCGGCGCATCCCGCTGACGACGTGCGTGGGCGGGCGCGAGTACGACAAGGAGTCGCCCGTCCGCCCGTGCAAGGGCCACGAGGACGAGTTTGAGCGCAAGCACGCCGCGTCTCCCCTGGCCGTCATCCTGGCCGTATGCGCGCCCGTGGCCCTTGCGGGCGCCGTCGGCTGGTACGTGTGGCGCCACTGGAACGGCAAGTTTGGCCAGATCCGCCTCGGCGAGGACGGCGCGGCCGCCTTCGACTCGGACAGGCCCTGGATTAAGTACCCCGTCATTGCCCTCAGCGCCGTGGTGGCCGTCGTTGGGGCCTTGCCCGTCGTCGCGGCCGCCGTGTGGAGGACTGCCCGGGGCGCGGCCGAGAGGTGGGGGCTTGGTGGAGACGCCGGAGGAGGAAGGGGTGCCTGGAGCAGGCTCAACGGCTCGGGCGCCAGTGCGAGGCGGTTCACCACGAGGGACAGCTTTGCCCGCGGCTCGGGCGATTACGATGTCATTGATGATGACGAGGGGGAGTTGTTGGGGGAGGATAGTGACGACGATGCGGTATGATGTATAAGGAGGATTTTGGGTTATGGCTAGGTTTTCTTGCCTTTTTTTTTTT